AATGTATGTCATAAAATGCTTGGAGATACAGGGTGTAGAAGTTTCATTTTTATTTCGATTTTTTTCAAATAATTTATGATGTAACATCAATATTTGGATGAAAATTGGTGTCTGGGAGTTTTTTGACATGAGAAATTTGATTTTGATGTCAATATGGCTGCTACTAGTATAGGGCGCCACCTACATATTTTTTAACTGGTTTGAAGAGTAATAACTTTTCGTCTGTACCTGTATAAACCTACTGAGTAAAAAAATATACATTTACGACGTTTTTTACGTGAAAAAGGTCACTTGGTAAAAACCGTTACGAGTAATGGTTTTCGAGATATTTGGAATAGAAATTATCAATACCTGTCATCATTGACATAAATTAAACATGTTGACTATATAGTTATTAGACTCAAATCATAAATTTGAAATGTTTATGTGCCAAATGTTCAACAGAAACTGTTTTATCATCAGTTTTATTTCCCAAATTTATTATTTCAGTGAAATAACTATCTAACTCAACGTGTTTATTTTTCGTCAATAATGACATGTATTTACTATTTCAAATCTAAATAGCTTAAGAAGGGTTGTTCGTAGCGATTTTTACAAAGAGATATTTTTTACGTAAAAAATCACAGAGATGTATATTTTTTCGCTCGGTAGTTTTATACAGGTACGAACAAAAAGTTATTACGCTTCAAAACAGTTAAAACAGACGTAGGTAGCGCCCTCTACTAGTAGGAGCCATATTGACATCAAAATCAAATTTCTCATGTCAAAAAGCTCCCAGACACCAATTTCCATCCAAATATTGACGTTATTTCAGAAATTATTTAGAAAAAATCGAAATAAAAATGAAACTTCTACACCCTGTATCTTTGAAACTAAGCATTTTAGGACATACATTTATACGAACTTTTTTATTTCTTTACAATTCGGACCACCCTGTATATTATAAAATTATCTGGTAAATATTATCAATAGTCATTTCCAAGCTAATTCGACACCGTTTTTTTTCTCTATCGTACGGTAAGTGTTTAACCTGTAAATTTCAATTTCTCCAAGCTAGTATCGCATTTACACAATGAGTGGAAAGTAAAGCCAAAGGAGAGAAAAAGTAATATCAATTTTGCATAAGTCTATCCTTTTGGTTCAACAGGATTTTCGTGCGCACGTGCCGAATAAAACCATCTGATTCGCCTACTTCATCGCTGAACACGGAACGTTGTCACCTGCCCGCGCACTATTTTAAACTCTAAATACCGTATGATCGAGAAAAAACGGCGTCCAGTTGGCTTGGAAATGAAGATCGCTGTCATTTTATATGTAAATTTATATGGGAAATGTCATCGATCGTCATTTCCCAGCCAACTGGACGCCATTTTTTTTTCGATCATACGGTATTAATAACATATAATATATTATTTTTGTATTGGTATCGCATTATTTCAACCTGTTATACAGCCAACCTGTTTAGATTAAATTCATGAAATATAGATATATCTATCCGTTTCTTATTTTTGTTTAAATATATCAGAGATTAAATTTAAATTTATCAGTAAAAGCGCGAACAATCAGACGCTAAATTGATTTACGTGGTAGATAGAAACTCACAAAAACTAGTTCTATTGGTTAGAATAAAATAAACCAACTAATCTCGAAGCACTTTTCACGCTTGCGTAGTTCAAAGCTGTTGAACGAAAAGGACAGACTTATGTGGATTTTGTATAGCTCCATCTCAAAAATTTGGCTTCAATTTCTGTTCCTCACTAGCAATATAGTCTTATAATATATTTGTGCTTAATAGCTTTTTAAAAAACTTACACTGATGAATAATACGACTAATTGACTACACAGTGGCACAGAATTTTCATTTTTCTCTTAATTTATTTTAATACAGGGTGTTTCAAAGAACATGTGCTATCTGTCGTGGGGAAAAATAAGATTTATTTTTCATATCTTTCTTTTTTTCTGCTTGTTTTCTGCTTTCTTTTTTTTGTCGCTGAAAGGGGTAAAGAATGAAATATTGAGGGTAAAAGTTACTATAAGTACTACATATTTTAATGCTAAAAAGTGTCGTCAGTTATCACTGAAATATTTTGCAAAAAAAAACACGTGCGCCACTGACTTTTTTCTTTTGGTATCAAAATTGTGTAGACTGTTTAATGCCAATTAAAAATTATCTCTGGATATTTTGTCGAATTCGGCCTTCTTGATGAGATAAACGCAATTTTATCAAATTAAAATTGAAGTTAAATTAATAAATTATACATTTTGCCTAATTTATTATTAAATTTTATTATTATTACTATTAGTCCAACTTTCAGCTATTTCAAATAAAAAAATAATGGTATTAATTTAATATAATTACAAAAAAATAATTTTGAAAAGTTTTAACATCCTGTAACTCTAAAATTATGCATTTCCATACCCATGTTTATAAGAACTTTTTTTCCTATTTTCTGATGAGAAATCAATGAGTACTTATTTAAAACTTTTGAAAGTTAATGATATTATTTTTTTTAAAGGTTGCTATTAGACTTGGATTAAGGCAAATTAATAAAATTGCGTTTACCTTATTAAGGAGGCCGAAATCGACAAAATATTAAGAGACAACTTTTAATCGACATTAAATACACTATTTCGCTAACAAGAGAAAAAAAGTCAGTAGAGTACATATTTTTTTTAAATATTCCTGTGATAATCCATATGCACGTCCCTGATGGATATGTCGCACTTATTTTTTAACATTAAAATATATCGCACTTATAATAACTTTTAAACGAAAAAAAAATAAAACTTTAACGCCCTGTAGCTACGAAACAAAGCAGAATCGGATCTATGATCTATGTTAAGTCTTACTTGAGGAATCTCCCCACGAGCGATGGCACATGTTTTTTGAAACACCCTGTAACTTAACTTGTTATTGAACAAATTTTACGAGTGGCAATAATTTATGTATAATACAATAAATAAGTTAAGTGATTACAATTTAAAAAGTTAGGATCTGATTTTTCAAGTGCTTGTTTTGTTTTCTTTTGCTATGTTAAGTTATTAGTAATATAATGTTAATTTTGAAACTTTAATGTAAGCTTCATGTTGAAGTTAAAGTTTAAACTCAAATTCAAACAAACAGAAATTCTAAATTTTAGATTAAGTTACATCAAAACCAAAGCTCAAAGTTCTTGGATAGAAAACAAGAGTGGCTGAAGTTGCTTTGAAACAATAACATTTTTAGGGATTTGAATTTTTGCATTAAACAATATATATGTATCACCCACTGAGGTTTGGTTAGGTGGGTTACACTATTTCTTTAGATACACCCTGTATACGACTAGTATAATTATGTAGTTTAAAAAATACTTTATAAAAAATACTAATATTTATAGGTACTAGTTATAAGGTTTTACTGGATAATTTCTATGACGATACGGCAAGGAACTATGGTATATACAATGAGATAATATAAGTTGAATTACTTATACAGGGTGAGTCTTAAATAAGTGCAAATATTTTCAGGGCTGGTAGATCTCGATAAAACCGTTTTTGAAATAAGTCCGAAATAACCGAGTTATTTGACTTGGCAAATTTAAAAAAAAATGATTTTTTGCTTAAATTTTGAGGTTTTCTGTCTTGTAACTTTAATCTCCTACCTATATGTTGCCATATTATCAAGAAATTATGTTTTTTAACTAAAAACTAAAGAGAAATCCAGAAATTTCAAATATTCAATTTTTTTTTCGCCAAAAAAATCATAGACGTGTTTCTGGGGTTGAAATATACCACCCCTAATAATATTTGCACTTATTTAAGACTCATCGTGTATATGTCCTTAGTTTTAAGTTCTTTAGATAATTTAATATTCATACTGCAAGAAAAATGTTAGACGAATTATTTTGTAATGTTAAATTGTGAATTTCTACGACAGTAAGAGAGATGGTAAGGCATTTTCTCTCCCTGTCTCAAAAATTTACAGTGTGAAATTTTTGTATATTAATTTTTAAATATTTAATTATTTTTCTCTTTTGATTAAGTATGGTGACTGATATTTTTTAAGACGACTTGGCTTGTTTTACGGATTATGATTTAGAAAATATTCAAAATAAGCTTCTGAATAAAGCATTCTTACAATATTGAATAGCAACTTCTGAATAAAGCAAATAATTTTGAATAGCAAAAAAAAATGGATATATTTTAAGACTGACTGAATGTATGAATGCAATTAAATAGACAACATAGAGAAATTTGGAAGTTTATTTTGATAAAATATTTTTGTAACAAATAAATAATTTGCAATGATATTTGTTTGTACTTTATTTACTCTGTTGTTGGTTTTATGAGCTTAATTTTTATTAGCTATTATCAATCTTAATATTGTCCGAAGTAGGGTTTACTATACAGTGTTTATTTGCACTAAAGAAATTAAAATTAAGTAGAAAAATTAAAAAAGAAAAATTCCTTGGTAAAGTGGAAAATAATTTCGTATCGTAAACTTTCTCGAGCGTATTTCTTTGGTAGTTTCATAATTATGTTTACTATAAAGTTTAATATAAACCTATTTTAACTCAGCAATTTTTAATTTTGTTTATCTGACAAGCAATAAAGATTTAATAATAAATATTTTCTACTAGTATTGTTAACAAATTAGCTGTTAAAATATTTTTATAATACTTGTGTGAATACCCTCGATTGCAATTTAAAATGACCAAGTTACTTTAATATTAGAAAACTACAATTTCAATTGTCCCACCTTGCTGAATTTATTGAAAGAAAAATTGTTAAAAACCACTCTACCGCTCCCAATCGCTAAACAATACACCGCTCCCAAATATCTATGATTTTTTACAAATGTTCTAACATTATAGGCAACTTAAAATACTTGCAGCACCACAGGTTTGAAGTCTTAAACAACATAGTTTCGTCATAGCGCCCTCTATGGGTGAATAGATTCGAGCGAACGACTTCCCCGTCAGAAAACTACAACGTCAATTGCCCCACCTAGCCGTATTATTGTAAGAAAAACCGTTAAAAGCCGCTGTACCGCTCCCAAATCATCGCCGAAAATAGTTTGGTTACCTCCACGCGAGTCCTCGACCGATTTTCTATCAATACGAGTGATCATCGCGCTCAGAACTGTTCGAAATATCGTTCCCCAGTTACTACATTAACGTTATTTAGTGGTGATCTTAACCGTAGTGCTACCCAAGCCCGAAAAACATGTCTTCAAGATCGAAGAAGTCGGCCACACCGGCGTCGCAACCTCCCCCGCGTCCTTCGAGCCCCCTGAGCCCTACCCGGCATTCCAGGCTCCAGGAAAAGGCCGATTTGCAGAACCTCAACGATCGATTGGCGTGCTACATCGATAAAGTCAGGTATTTAGAGTCTGAAAACAACAGACTCACTCGGGAAATTCAAACAACACAGGAGACTGTTACTAGAGAAGTGTCCAACATAAAATCTATGTACGATCATGAACTAAGCGATGCACGTAAACTATTAGATGAAACACACAGGGAAAAAGCACGATTAGAGATCGATGTGAAACGTTTGTTAGACGAGAATGATGAGTTAAAACAGGAACTAGCCAAGAAGTCGAAGGATTTAACGTTGGCAGAGAATTCTGCTCGAATCTACGAGACTAGGTGTAACGAGTTGCAGCTGAAATACAACCAGGCTAATGCCGATGCTAAAAAAGCCATCGGTGATTTGAAAGATCTGGAGAAGGAACGGGACAAACTTAAAAAACTTCTAGACGAACATAGAAAACAGCTCGAGGAAGAATCTCTGGCTAGAGTGGAAGTTGAGAATGCCAATCAAAGTCTAAGAGAAGAATTATCCTTTAAAGACCAGGTAATAATTGTTGATTTTAACATTACTAACCAGATGGTATTTCAAATCTATATACAAGCGATGATATAATTTATTTATCTACGTGTGGGTGGATTTATATTTGTTTTTACTGTAATTTTGGTAATATGGTGTCCTAATTTTATAGTTTTATGTTATTACTTGTTTCGAATTACAAGGTTGTTTGGTTTATATCTGTAAAGACCCCTCCACACATAAAGTGTTGCCTGTCAGATACGACTGTTTGAAAAACAGCAATCTGGAAGATTTACCTGTGCTTTTATCAATTATAGCATTGTTTTTAGTGATGTTGAAAAGAAAAACATGGAATTTTACTACAAAATTGTATTCATGGTTTAAATTTAATTTGTAAACAGGCAAAGTTAAAAAAAGCATAATTTTTGCTTATGAATGGTAAGGAATTTTTTAAATAAACACTGGGCTTTGTAAACATATAAGGAATAATCAAACATTATTTGTTGATAAATGTGACAAAATTGATTTAAAAATTTAGTCCATGAAAGAATTTTTCTCCTAGTGCCTTTTTTGACAAAAAAAATGTCTTTACAGTAATCTCTATTCTGCAAATAACTATTTATACTAGGTATTTACATTTTTTAATGCCGGCTAGCAGTGATGCCACTTCTACCGATTTTTCGGTAGATCTACCGATTTTCATTCTTCGCTATATTTTAGTTTCGTAAATATTACAAAAGAATTTCCGAATTTTGTAATGGAATTTGTAGAAACATTCCTAATCATATATTTTCTTGGCCCACAAATGGACATTTCTGGTAACGCTGCAAACGGAATGCGACTGTAGATCATTCTACAGTATGTCCCTGGATTATATACAGTCAGTGGATTGTATTTACAAGAGGATTTTTTTTATTGACATCTTGAAAAAAATTCTCTCTATAAAAAAATGTTTGCTTGTTCTAAAATGGTTAATCCCGTTTATACTTTTTCAAATTTCCATACCGTTTTAGAGAAAATAAAGAAAAAACATGAAAATATAGTTGATTTTTTATGTATAAAGATTACGTAAATAAGAGAACTACAAGTTATCTACGGAAAATAGAATTTTAGTAGTGGCAACACTGGCCGGCCTTATGCAATACACAGTAATCAGAAATAATGTATCCCACATTATTTATCAGAATTATTATAATGAAGTATGACGTCATGGTTACACACACATTTTTCGGCGAAAATAAGAATGACTTCAACTCATTTTTATCTGAAGGTTTATTTACTATTTCATTAATACAAATGGCAACCCATTAGTTCTTGTAGAGTTCTTGAAACGTCAGCATTTATTTGTGTCAACAATAAAGAATCTATATTCGGATGTGGGTTAGATCGATAATTATACCTAAACGGGAAAAACGAACTGAAAGCACGCGTTTTTCCCATCTGTTTTCCTTTTATACAGGGTTGAAAAAAACATGTTTACATAAAAGATACATTCCTAACACAATGCACATACAATTCCTAACGGAATGCACATTACATTTTCTATCAAATAGAGTAAAAAATACTGAGGGTACCATAAATAAAATTATATGGGTGAGCTACTTTTGAAAAACACCCTGTGTAAAATACTTGTTTTTAAACAAAATGTTTAAAACTTCTTAAAATATCCGAAATTTTTTAGTTGATTATAAAAATATATTTAGATTTTTCTTTCTGTTTTTTTTTAGATTAAAAATAGATATTTTCTTAGATATTTTTGATTTGGCCCACATTTTACTTAAAAATATAGTGATGTCTGTACTTTTTACAATAAGGTTTTTTTATATATTTTCTTTTTCTAATGAAGATATTTTTAAAAAATGTCTATACCTATGTGGCGGATTCATATTTCCAAAAAAATCCTTTATGGGTATTTCGCCACTGCACTGCAAGAAAATCTACAAAATAAAATAGTTATTTTTTGTAAACACTTCTGCGTTAAACATAAACGGACGCTGCTTGTCAGAAGTTATGTTTACAGTAGGTTTGTTCCAACCACAAGTTTTAGAACGGTTCTGGAACCGTTCTGAAATCATTGGGACTAGTCTTATCCGCATGCGTTAACTCGGCACTGTTTTTGAACGATTCCAGATTGGCAATCGGTTGGAACAGTTTCGGAACCGTTTTTAATCTGTCTTGTCAAAACACCGGTTAAAATAACCTCACTTTTTGTTTAATGTAAGATGTAAACAAAACAAACCTTAATAATATTCTTCACAGATATTCTTATTAATTGTATAGAACAGTGGAAACTATAAAAAGTGGTAAATTACTACCTACATTAATAAATAATGGACACAAACCATAATTTTGGTAAGTTTCACTTGGTTTACTATTCGGTTTTTTTTTTGTTAAAAAGTGTGAACTGTAAAATGTTAAACCCGAGCTAAATTAAATAGACAATTTCTAAGTATAGAAAGAATTCTAAACACTAAAACCCATTAAACTCCAAACAAATCCACAAAACAAAACAAGCGAACGCCCCGGCCCAAATGTCAATCAGCTGATAAAATTTACTAACTGGTTCCAAAACCGTTCTAATAACGATCAGAAAATTGGTTGGAACGCAAAGAGAATCGTTCGAGAACGATCCCCATTAAGGTTGGAACGCTTTTAGCCCTATGCGCAAGAACGGAACCGTTCCTGAACGGTTCTCAGCGGGGTTGGAACAAACATAGTAATACAAATTTGCCTAACAAAGAAAAAAATGCTTAACGTTTCGGAAAGTCTCTTTCCGTCGTCGGAAGCAAAAAAATACAAAGAATAAAGAAAAAACTATTTAAAATATTTAAATTCAACTATTCGAGAACACTTTACTTTTTTTAAACAGATACGTCTACAAGAAACCGTTTTACAAAAAAAATCAACTATATATTGAACGGTTATATAATTTCCTTGATTTATCTCTGTGAAAATCTACAGTACCTACCTATGTCCCATAGAAAAGCGTTATGATTTTTAGGACTTGTTTTTTTTTTCTTTTTTTTAGAACTTATGTTTTAGGGAAAAATTCAACTATATTTTATTTTCATGTTTTTTTTTTCTAATTTTCTCTAAAACGGTATGGAAATTTGGAAAACTATATAAACGGGATTAACCATTTAGGAACAAGCCAATTTTTTTATGAAGAATGCATTTTCCTCAAAATGTCAATAATAAAAAAGTTTTTCTTGTAAAGACAATCCGGGGACTGTAGGTATAAATTTTCCAAATAATAAAAAAATAGAATTTTTATCAAAGCGCGACATTGACCTGAATCACGTCATCAAGCTATAAAATTCTTCGCTCCACGTAGTCACCTTTTCGAAAAGATTTTATTTTAACTATGACATCAGTTTCATATTAAAAATTCAGACAGAAACAAGAATTTTACCCGTATAGCTATTTCCAATGTACGCTCGAATCGTAAAGTAACGAATTTTATATTTTTCCTATCAGCATAATAATTAATAATTTTTATAGATTTTTAAATCGTTTGTATTATTAAAAAAAACACGTTTTAATTTTATATACGGTATGTCCTCAGATTATCTTTACAAGAGGAAAGGTTTTTTTGATTATTAACTTTTTGAGAAAAATGCATTATGGTTTTTGGGAGAAAAAATTCAACTATATTTTCCTAGGTTTTTAATTTAAAAACCTAGAAAATAGTATAGATGGGATTGACCATTTTAGAACAAGCCAAAAAACTTTTATGAAGAATGCGTTTTCCTCAAAAAGTTAATAATAAAAAAGTGTTTTTCTTCTTCAAAAGACAATCCGGGGACATACTGTATATTAAAATCATATGGTATTACATGTACGGCAGATAGTGATAAAATACTGTAATAATGTACACCCGCAGCGTAAAATAACGACATGTTTATGTCATACCTAAAAATAGAATAGTAAATATAAACTATTATGTATTCATAAAAATATGTTTGTAAGTTCTGAAAATAGATTTGATTCAATTCTGATATAGATAATTTTGAAATATATATTATATCCTCATGTCTAGTACAGGGTGGAACAATATGCGCCAAAATGTGTTTTAATATTTAAAAATACCGGGTGCGTCTTAAAAGTGGCTCACTCCTGTAACTTTTTTATATTTTCAGATAAAGAAACGAGATTTGGTATATTAGTATATGATATAAATTAGGATTGATTGACGTATTCAATTGTTTTTGGTCACTTCCTGTTTCACCGAAAATAACTACAACTTTTGATTTTTAAATGGCACCCTCGGTATTTTTTTACTTTATTCGATAGAAAATAACATTCTGAGTAGAATGATATATCATATGTCAACTTTTGAGATTCTCGCTTAATAAAAAATCGCATTTTAAAATTCAATCTAGAGTGCCATGGGTATGTTAAAAACACTAATTCTTAAGCAAGGAGCCTTGGAAAATAGATTTGATCGTCTAATATTTTTAGTGTCTTGTCCTGGCCAGTTAGAAAATGCCCAAATCGTATTTTTAATCATATCTCAATTTTTTCAAATGGAACGAGGGTGGCTCATTAGCATATTTGGAAAAAGCATTTTTTTATAAATAATTTGATACCACACACTAGGTATTTCGAGTCAAATTTTTGTTACGAACCGCAAATTACAATTTCAAATAAACCATATGTGAAAATGTCTAAAGAGTACATATGATATGTCATTCTAACCAGATTGTTATTTTCTATCGAATAAAGTAAGAAAATACAGAGGGTGCCATTTAAAAATTAAAAGTTATAGTCATTTCCGGTGAAAGAGGAAATGACCAAAAACAATTGAATACGTCAATCAATCCTAATTTATGCCATATACTAACATACCAAATCTCGTTTTTTTATCTGAAAAAATAAAAAAGTTATAGGAGTGAGCCACTTTTGAGACCCAACCGGTATAGATTTATTCTGATTTATGTGTTGTATTAGGCGACATAAGTCCTAGGTTTTTTAGTAGAATTTACAGGGCTTATTATTTACTTAAAATGAAGAACTATTTTTTGTTATACCCTGTACAGGGTGTCCCATCTTCGTGTGTTTTATAGGGTTTCTCGTTTATGAGTAAAGATACAAAGATACTGTTTTAACCAGTTAATTTTGCTTTCCATTGTGCTCTCTTAATAAACTTCACAGAAAATGAACTTGTGCAGTTGGTTATACATAAAAATGATATAAAATGTCAATATTCCATGGGTATATTGATAAATGATATCTAAATTATAAGAAAATAGATTTTCTACGAGAACTTGAAAAGAGGTTAAGAATGGTATAATACAATTTGATAGACAGTTAAATTGTGCATCTGATTCATCTAAAATATACACAGGATGTTCTATTTAAATTAAAGAAGTTATTGCCGTTTAAAGCTAGTAATTATTTAAAATAAATTTTTGGACATTCTGTATAAGGTATATTATAATATTATTTTTATTATTGGAAGACAAAATTTAGAAAATGGAAAAACTTCAGTACAATATTTGCTTTTAAAAACTTAAATACGCCTTGAGAAATGAAGCATTAAATTTGTTATTGCATTTTCACAAAATCGTGAATATTTCAAAAACGATAAGATTAAAGTGCTGTAAACCTTAATTAAATTTACCTTTATTTTAATCCTAGAAACTAAAAATGTAATAATATGCAAGGTGTTCCATTTAAAAAAAAAATACGACTTTGATATTTTTATTGATTTGGGACACTCTGTATCTTGTAAAAATATGTTTAAATTGTAGCTCTAATAGTCCTTGAACGATACCAAAACTTACAATTTGTAAGAATCTAATCGTTTGTCTGTTAGAAAGCATCAGATTAAAAAAATAAACTAAGCACTTTTGTATTGAGGTAAATTGTGATCAATTGACTTATTTTGATTATAAAAATTGCATAGGATGTTGTTCTAAAACCACGGAATATTGGTACACCCTGTATATGCAGGATCGCTTTATTTACAGCTTTAATAGTACATCTGCTCGCATCATAAACCGTATTTAAAATTTTAATTCAATGAGAAATTCCACCTTTATTTAAACACGCCGCGTTAATTTTGGTTTCGTAAACTACAAATTAATTTAAAATTTAACCTTAACTTCAGATATAAATGTTAATGACAAGTATGTACAGGGTGTTAAAAAAAAGTTAACAATTTGACATAAAATTGTATTTTCAGTTGGATTCTTCTCTGTTAACTCATTAAAACGGCGCCAGAGATGGCTTGGGAATGAAGATCGCTATCATTTTATATGTAGGTATGTTTATGTGGTGAACATAATCGATGGTCATTTCGAAGCCAATTTGACGCCGTTTTTTTTTTTTTTCTTCGATCATACTGTATATTGTTGCCAAGAAATAGCCTAGCACATATTTATTAGAATGTTGCGTGCTAATTTTCTATTAGGTAGAAAATTAGGTCAAAGTAAATTCATCCCATGTTTAAAGGGGCACTTTTTCATATTTTCTGACAAGGAATCGCTTTCTGAAATTTGAACATTGTGCATTTTTTGAACACCCTGTAGGTGTACAAGTATTAATAATACGAAAAGGTAGTTATTTCATAAATAACACTTACAACATTGATTATTTATGCGTCACTACTAGGTATTTTTATTAGTTTTTTTTATTAAAAGATTGTCATATCTATAATCCAAAAACCTGTATTTTTGGCTGCTTTTTAACATTTTTTTTTATTAGGAAACGTAGAAATTATGATAAGATAATTTGTATGCAGTAAATAAAAATATTGATATTAATGTTTATATAGATAAAAAGAAAATCTGTTTATCTATCTACCGCTATCTAAACACCTCACTGTAGTATTGAGTAATAAAAAGGATTGGAAGAAAGAAACGCTTACTCAGCATATAAAAGACCATACCATCACGTGGTATACTGATGCTTCCAAAACCAAAGCAGGGACAGGGATAGGAGTATTTGGGCCGAAAACTGAATACTCCGAACCAATGGGCACCTACCCCAGTATCCTTCAGGCAGAAATTTGCGCTATCGAAAGATGCGTACAATTTATCTTGGATAGGAACTATCGAAAACAGGAAATTGCCATCCTATCCGATAGTCAAGCAGCACTTAACGCGATCAACTCAGTAACCATCAATTCTGAAGTTGGTCAAAGAATACCTAGAGAAGCTCAACAAATTAGGCAAAGAAAATAAAGTCCTCCCTACTCTGGGTGCCTGCTCACCAAGGGATAGAAGGCAATGAAAAGCAAATGATCTAGCTAGGAAAGGAGCGAACACTCCACTAACTGGACCAGACCCGTTCTGTTTTCCAAACGGGAACCAACTGAAAGCGGAACTGAAGAATCTGGAAGACTCCATCCGTAACTTGGAATGGGTGTCCTCCAACGGTCTAAGACACTCGAAAAGTTCCTTAGAACTTATGACCGAGAAAAATCAAAGGTTTTCCTTGATTTAAGTAAAAACAATCTTCGGATTGTCACGGGGTTTCTAACAGGACACTGTCTCCTCAACGAACACCTCAGTAGGCTGAAACTGAGAAACAACGGCGAATGCAGATTTTGTGGGGAAAATGGGGGAAACACCAGAACACCTTATCACTGAGTGCGCCGAGACGACGACCATTCGTGCCATGAACCTTGGCACGTCTGATGTCGAGGATGGAGAGCTGGCCTCTGTGGAGCCGTCTCAGATACTGGCTTTTCTTAAAGCCCTGAGACTGTATGATGAGTTATAACTCGTTATAACTCAAGAAAGGGGAACACACAATAGATCTGTAAGGTCGCGGTGATTAACTCCCCTTCTAAACATTCTACATTCTACATCTACCGCCGCAAAAAAATTATATACAGTATGTACCCGGATTGTTTTTACAAGAGAAAAACCTTTTTATTATCGACATTTTGAGAAAAATGTATTCTTCGTTAAAATGTTTGCCTTAACCTTCTAAAATGGTTAATGACGTTTGTGGGTGGTTTTGGAAATTTCCATATCGTTTTAGAGAAAATTAAAAAAAACATGAAAATACTAGTTCCTAAGTCCTAAAAATCAAACGGTGTTTCTATGGTTATAACATTTCGATTTCATTCTTTGGTAGATGTTTATTATTAATTTCGATTAACGTCATACTTTTCGCTGTTGTTAAAGTATCATATTTTCCGATAACTATAATCACCCTTTCCGTAGCATTGTACTAAATAAATGTTATGCTTTTTTAACATTTTAAAACAGCAAGAAATATGACGTTAATCAAAATTCTATCAACAATCTATCAAAGAATGAAAACAAAATTATATTACCATAGAAACGCGTTTTGATCCTTAGGACTTGGGAAAAATTCAACTATCATACATTTTTCATGTAGGAAAAACATAAACGGATTTAACTATTTTAGAATAAGCAAAATGTTTTATAAAAAATGCATTTATCTCGAAATATCAACAATAAAAAAGTTTTTCCTCTTGTAAAAACAATCCACGGACATACTGTAGAATATTTTATAATTTTATTATGAACCTTCATATAACAAAATATTTACAATATATCAGCCCAAATTATTGTATATGTATTCCATTTTTTATTTAGTATACTTTATATATTAATAATTTGTTTTAATATATTATTTTATACTATTTTTATCCTTTTTCCAGGTCTACCAACAGCAGCTAACCGAAACACGTACACGTCGGCAGATCGAAATTAGCGAGATTGACGGACAGTTGGCTGAAAAATATGAAGCCAAGCTGCAACAAGCTTTGCAAGATCTCAGGGACCAGTATGAGAGCCAAATGGCTAGCAACAGGTCAGAGATCGAGCTGCTCTACGAAAATAAAATCAAGGTAGGCTTTGATACTAGACACTGCGACCTGTAAGACATATTGTGCAGGTCCTTGATAGGATGGGAGCATAGTTCCTTCTGTTCTAGCTTTGCTTTGCCAAATAGAAAGTTCAGGTTACACTTGACAGCTATATGTCACCCCTTTTTAATTTCACCCTTAATTTCACTAACTTTTGTACAAATTTTTATACTTCCCGAACCAATTTTAGCAAATTTTTGTACCAATTTTCACCCTTAATTTCGTCCTTTTTTCACTCTTAATTTCACTAACTTTTGTACAAATTTTCATACTTCCAGAACCAATTTAGCAAATTTTTGTACAAATTTTCACCCTTAATTTCACTAACCTTTGCACAAATTTTCATACTTCTAGAACCAATTTTAGTAAATTTTTGTACAAATTTTCACCCTTAATTTCACTCCTTTTTCACCCTTAATTTCACTAACCTTTGTACAAATTTTCATACTTCCAGAACCAATTTTAGCAAATTTTTGTACAAATTTTCACCCTTAATTTCACCCTTTTTTTCACCCTTAATTTCACTAATCTTTTTACAAATTTTCATGCTTCTAGAATCAATTTTAGCAAATTTTTACCCTTAATTTCACCACTTTTTCCACCCTTAATTTCACTAACCTTTGTACAAATTTTCATACTTCCAGAACCAATTTTAGTGTCCTGTTAAAAAAACCCGTGACAATCCGAAGATTGTTCTTCCTTAAATCAAGGAAAATCTGTAGCCCAGCAAACTGTGGCAAGTCACAAAACACAGTTTTGAGAAAAACGAATTTAAAGTTCTTTTTTGAAGTTATTTCCTAATTACTTAGTTATTTTTAAACATATGATTGTAATATTTGGTATATGAATAACTTATTTTGAACTTAGTAAGGTAGAACATAAAAAGTTAAGTAACTTATAGAGTTTTCTTAAATATGCCAATTTTGGACTTTGCTTGTAGGGTACAGATATATAGATTTCACAGAACAATTATATAAAGCTGGACATCCTAAGTTGCCCAATTGGATTTTATCGTTTTAATTAGGTAAAATGAAGACTTTATTTGTATAACGATTTTTTTTTGGTTTCAGAATCTCCAAGCTGCCGCAAATAGACAGTCAAACGCCGCTTCCAATGCTCTGGACGAAGCCAGACAAATCCGATCCAAAATTGACACCCTTACCAACAGGGTAACGCAGTTAGAGAATGAAAACTCAGGACTAGTTGCCAGAGCCCGAGATTTGGAGAAGTTATTAGAGGTAATAGGAGCCTAGAAAATGACAGTTGATGAATTACAATACTAAAAATTGACATACAACTTGTCAAACATTCAAAAATTAGCATTAACTATTGAAAGATCAAAAAAGTATAGAATTTCCAGACGTACAAATCTATTTCAACAAAAAAAATTCTTGAATTTTAACGTACAGGATTTAAAAATCATATTTCGTTAGAATATATTTTAATTTGTTTGTTGTTTTAATATAGAACGAACGGTTACGTCACGCCGAAGACTTGGCAGCGCTGGAAGGCGAATTGGCCAGACTGCGTGAAGAGATGTCCAACCAGTTGCAGGAGTATCAAGATCTGATGGACATTAAGGTGTCTTTGGACATAGAAATTGCCGCTTACAGGAAGCTGTTGGAATCGGAGGAATCCAGATTAAGAATTACACCATCGGGAGGAGGTAAGGACACTGGATTTTCAAGTGTATATTTACAGTGGCATGCATGTAATGTAGGCAAAGAGGCGTTGCCTACCCTTGACAATATAAAAAATGTTTCATTGCGTTACATTATAACTCTTTGTTTTATTAAGACATTAACAGTTTTGTAGGTATTGTCTATAAAATGAATAACTTTGAATTTTGACCGTTATTTTTTACCAACATGGCAAATATAAAATCCCTCTATCAAAAAAGTTACTGATATTCGTTAAATTGAGTGCCTGAACGAATCAGATACTGTTTGACCAGCGGATCTGTAGCTACGGAAGGAATGCGAGAAAAAAAAATCGATATTGCCACGTTTATCTATAAAATTGCAAAATTGCCAGACATGAACTATAAATTTAATATATTTTTATTATATATAATGTGTTTAGCATATATTCTGACGTATATTACTAAGGAATTTTAACGTAGTTCATATTGTTCGGATATGTTTTATTTAATAACTTATTTCTTTCATTCTGTATAATCTGCCTATTATGAAAGTTGAAGATTTTCAACGATATCATTGGCAAACCGGCATCGCCGCGCATGGCCGCCTATTCATCGAACATGATTGGCGAGTACGTCACAGGATTTGTTACCACGCGGTTGCCATGGCTTTTACGCCTTTCCTATTCGCTTGCTTTATCCCCAACTTCACGGTCTCTTCTGAAAAGAGTAGGAATATTGAATACTATTGAAATATCCAGTGGCGGTGTCATTTTTTTGATCATTATTACTTTATTTCATTATTTTATACCGGTTATCCTAAACTTTATTCCTATATTTTTAGTATATTTGATAGTTAAGTTGTGTTTTATTGTTTTGTTATCTTGTTATAATGTTTTTCGTTCGTAGTTTTTAATTATTAATATCAAGTTTGATCGTATATTTGTGTTTTAAAACGAATAAATTTGTTAAGGGTAAGACGCTACATAGTCAGACAAGAGAAATAATAGCTAATTTATATAGGTAAGTTAATAATAACGTGGATGAAATCTCATTTGGTGTATTTCCTTGTGTTCATAATAGGGTTTGCGATGAAGAAGCTACAGAGAGTTCGCTTGAGTTGCCGCTTAAACGTAAACTTGAGCGGATATTTCTTTATACCGGAGTTAGCGTATCGGCTATAAAAAAATTCACACAGAAGATAAAAAAAAGGCTGAAAACTAACCCCGATAAAATGATATCCTCTCTGGAAAGAAACGACCACGTGAGACTGCTGTCGAAAAGCTCAACGACTTTTTCGAAGTGGTCAGGAATTTGATAAATAGATTTTATCTCGAATTCAAACTCGTCCCCACAATTAGAAAGCTTTTGCAAAAATTGCAGGAAGAATCGAATTTTCCTTTTGCAGGGAAACGCTTAGGGGGTTATTAAAATCAAATGAATTTTTTTGGCGTAAATGTTAAAATAACAGATAAATATTAATGGAGCGGCCCATTATATTGCAGAGAGAGATATAAATATATATACGCGAAATTCGAAAATATAGCCAAGTATTATCTATTTGGATGTAACATATGGGTAGACAATGACCTAACCTTTAAAAACTGCTGGCGGAGCGATACCATATCTGGTGTAATAGGCAATATCAGATCTACTGATGAGTAAAATTATGTTTTGTTTGCGCTTCCAAAGTTAACTATTTTCAAGATTTTTTTTTGCTGGAAATAGTTATATCTAAAATTATGTATTATAGAAAAAAATATAGTTAGTACAGATATATAAATAAATATACCTCAAGACTCAGTCTTGATCATCTGCTGATGGCAGACATGGTTAGCGAAACGTGGTCCAGTGTAAAATTAAAAGTGTTAATTTGTGTAAAAGTGTTTTGGTGTATTGTACTGATTTAGTGTTTTATTTTGCTGTGTAACACCAAAGGTTCCAACCCCCAGCTGTAATTATTTCTTCTATTATATTAACAACACAATAATAAAATGATTCAAAATATTTAAGGGAGCTTTAATAAAAGCTTTTAGTGTGTATCTGCTAACTCAACAGTAACGATTCAAACAGCATAAAGTTTTTTGAAAAAAATTATTAATCTGAGTATTATATTTATGATACACATTATTTCCATATAACACCGTACGCCCATGCCTATTTTATGAATGAAATTGGGCGTGTTTTGTTTACAACTGCGTTCCCCTGCCGATACCCCGTAGCTACAGATCCGTTGGTCACACTATAGGTAACTCTTTTTACTTTCATGAAATAGAAAAGGAAAATAATAAAACAAGTGACAGTTCTTCCTCTTCTTGCAAAAATCAACACGAAATGTCATAATTGACAAAAGTAAAATGTCATCAGCTTTTGACATTTCTAAATATTAGACTACGTCTCTAATAGAACATCCATGGAACGAGATTTATGACGTCACGCTAGTTAGATACTACGGATTAATAAATACGTTGTAGAATACATGGAAAACATAATTATTCCTCGTATTTTTGGTTTGTATTTTAAAAATGATATAGTTTACATGAAATATACATAATATACAGTTAATAAATACAATATAATATATACCTATTTATAGTAATAAATACTTTGGCAAATAAACTATGAACCATACAAATGCAGCAAATGTTTTACAATATACAAATAATGAATAGATTTACATAAGACATAAGTACATAAGATAATGGGTAAAATGTAAAATATATTTTAAATTTTGGGGTTCGAAAATCGATCTAATTTAACAAAAAACATTCAATATCTACTAATAGTGGTGTATTATTATTTGCATTTACAAAATTTATTTATATATTATAATGTTTACTGCAATTAATAAACTAATATAAACTTGTCAAAAGATGACCATATATTTTTTTAAATTATTATTCTTAACACAAAAACTATCTACATTGACTATGGAGTACGATTTCAGCCATATTGTAAAACATTTGCTGCATTTGTATGGTTCATAGTTTATCTATTAGCCAAAGTATTTATTACTATAAAGAGGTATGTATATATATTGTATTTATTAACTGTATATTATGTATATTTCATGTAAACTATATCATTTTTAAAATACAAACCAAAAATACGAGTAATAATTATGTTTTCCATGTATTCTACAGCATATTTATTAATCCGTAGTATCTAACTAGCGTGACGTCATAAATCTCGCTCCGAGGCTGTTCTATTAGAGACGGCATTGCGTCAGCATGGCCGCAAGTTGCTAACCTAATAAAATTAACACTAGAAAAGCCCGCGGGAACTGTCAAATTCAAAGTTATTCGTTTTACAGATTATATTAAAATTGTTATAAAAATATAATTCTAATAAAAATACATAAGTTATAATAATTAGTTATTAACACGAACATCCGATATGCTACTGAAGCAGATAAGTTAAATTGACGTATCTAAATTGTTTGACATCTAATCCTTGACAAGTAGTAAATAAAAGCAAAAATGCAGGAAGAATTATATAATTAGTTAATTCTAAGTGAATTTCATAAATGATCAGTTTACTACACGTATATTATATAGTCACTTACTAGTGAAAAGTTATTCCATTATTTCCCTCGATTTTTAACCGAGATCTACCGCACGTTACACAACCAACTATTTTACAGTCTTTTTCGATAAATCGCAATAGTGTCGCTGTTAATTTTAGTTCTGCCACATTTTTTTTCTAGATTTACTACCTTTAAACAACTACCAATGGTTGAATAAATAATAAATAACATAAAACAAGCTCAGTAAAAACTAAAAAATCCACAAAAAATAATGCCAGAACAGTAAATCGGCTGACAAAAGCTGATTTTTTTGCTTTAAGTTATCTAAGTTAGCACATCAAAATAGATCGCAAGTGTACTTTAAATTTTGAACTAACAAATATCATTTTTCGTCAGCAGTTCAGGTGTTCAGTAAAGTGTCACAATATGAACTGAGTCATGAATCAACAGCCAAAAACGGCAAATAGACATAGATTAATCCCTTAAATAATACATAATACATACTTTGGTCAAATTTCACTGCTCAATTACGTCACTGTAATTCACAGTCTCGCTTGCATACGAGAATATTATTCTGTTTCTATTTAACTTCCTCCCATGTCAGCAAGGACTGCAGTTTCTATCGACAAATTTGGCCAATTAAACGATACAGAATAGTTTACAGTTTTTAAAGAAAATTATGGATAAACAGAAGTCCATAAAACCGTAAGTTTCGCGGCCAAATGGCCTTGCTGGCATGAGAGGAAATGAAATGGGAGATTAATATACAGGGTGTTTCAGAACAAATGCGAAAAACTTTAGGGGGTGATTCCTTGTTCAAAATAAAGGGTAGTTTGCTTTATAAACGTTGGGTCAAAAGTCAACCATTAAGGAGATATCGCGGTACAAAGATGGCGGAAAAATAATGTTTTTATTTTTTATCTTGAAAACGAAAAGAGATCGACTAATGAAATTTTATGGAAGCATTACTGTTATGAAAACACACTTTCAGGTAATTTTTTTACTTTTTTAAAATGAGTGGAAGGGGTTGAAATAAACTATCCCTATCATTCTTGTTAACGAAATTTAAAGAAAAATCTTATCAAACACATGCAAATGCTTTAATTTGGATAGTTTAGTTTGTTTAGAAACTTTTTTACCTCTTGTGTTTTTTTGATAAAACTCACCGATTGGAAATTAAAAAATATAATGTAAAGCATTACATGTCAGAACAAAAAACATTTTTAGATTAAGAATCTAGTGATAATAACGATAATAATAATCATCTAGATAATAACGTATTGCAGTAGAGTAATGTCAAATAAAATAATATTAGAAACATCCTAAAAAGTAACAGCGGTCGACTAGATTTTTTCCTAAAAAAATTACAGCAGCCCACTAGATTCTTTATCAGAAAATGTTTTTTGTCCTGACATGTAATGCTTTACATTTTATTTTTTAATTTCAAATCGGTGAGTTTTATAAAAAAAAATACAAGAGATAAAAAAGTTTCTAAACAAACTAAAATATCCAAATTAATTTTTTTGCATGTGTTTGATAAGATTTTTCTTTAAATTTCGTTAACAAGAATGATAGGGGTAGTTTATTTCAACCCCTTCCACTCATTTTAAAAAAGTGAAAAAATTACCAGAAAGTGTGTTTTCATAACAGTAATGTTTCCATAAAATTTTATTAGTCTATCTCTTTTCGTTTTCAAGATAAAAAATAAAAACATTATTTTTCCGCCATCTTTGTACCGCAATATCTCCCTAATGGCTGACTTTTGACCCAACGTTTATGAAGCAAACTACCCTTTATTTTGAACAAGGAATCACCCCCTGAAGTTTTTCGCATTTGTTTTGAAACACCCTGTATATTGACTTATACAAACGAATTTGAAGTGAGACTCAGGTCTGCAATGACAATGATTATGTCATAATCATATTTTAAAATTTGGTGAACGTATGTCTTACAACCTTAAATTTTGCCGGAAAGTATAAAACTGGACCTTAGAGGTTAAACTTTGTTTTATTCGTTTCAGAACGTGAAGTGATCCACTCTACCAGCACTCGTAGTTCTTCATCTCGCCTCACGCCTAGCAGGTTGGGTGCCAAGCGCAAGCGCACGCTCATGGACGAAAGCCACGAATCCAGTTTTTCCGACTACAGCGTCACCGGTTCCAGCAAAGGCGACATTGAAATCTTGGAAGCCAATCCTGACGGAAAGTTTGTCAAACTCCATAACAAGAGTAACCAGGAGATAACTGTTGGTAAGTTGTTTTTTTTTATTAATTTGTGCTTGTAGTTCTTTGGGAGTACTGGCAATTGGGACTATTAGCAAAGAATCTATTAGGTACTCTAATTTTTTTTGTTGTATGCTAATTTTTTTTGTTCTATAGGTGGCTGGCAGATTATTTTGAGGGCCGGAGACAACGAAACCAAATACAAATTTATTCGTTCGGCGAAAATTGAACCCAAAGGTACAGTCACCGTGTGGTCTGCGGATCAAAACAAGGATCATGAACCACCACATGATCTAGTGATGAAAGGGCAAAGGTGGGTCACTGGAGACAACATCACAACCACGCTGTTGAATTTTGATGGCGAAGAAGTTGCAGTTTCGGAAAGGTAAAATATTCCCATAAATAAAAGAAGCAAGTTTAGATCGGAATGTGCCCATAAAGACAATGTAAATACTATTTGGCGCTATTCTTGCAACGGTCGCGACCCAAAGCGTTTGATAATTTCGGAGCTGTTCGGTTTTTTTTCCGGATTTATGCCGCCAAATGTATTATTTGTTCAAATTTATTATTATTTTCTTTTAATTTTATAAATATAACACAGTGTGTTGCATATAAGAAACTTTATTTTATATAAGGACGTGTATGAAACAGAGAAGAACAATCGTAGAGAAACGACAAAACGAATCCCGCCTAAAAATTTGGAGTGGGAGGTAAACCGGCTAAATGTCATCTCAACGTGTTTTCGGAATACGGCCAGCGTTGCCATTGTTAAGATAAAGTCCTGAAATCTTACTATTTTTTTAATTGTGTACATAATTAATCTTTTTGAATTAATTAATCTATATTTTGTCTTTACCTTATAATAGTACATAAAGAAAGAACTAATTTTCGGAACTAAATATTATTATAATATATGCAGGTTGTTAGCGTTTAATAAAAAATAATTAGAAAATTAAAACTATGTATTAGAAATTTAAATATTTTATCGCAAATATAATATATTAGCGACGCTAATTTGAGTTGTGTTATCTTTAAATGTAATATGGTTTTTTATGCAAAATATGATTTTTTAATATACAGGGTGAGTCTTAAATAAGTGCAAATATTTTCAGGACCGGTAGATCTCGATAAATTAAGCATATTTTCTCTTTACCGTTTTTAAGTCTAGAATAACCGAGATTCTTTGAAGATTTAAAAAAAAATTGCTTACATTTTCAGAACCGCTGAATCTTTTCCGAGTTTTCTTTCTTGTAAATTTAATGTACCATCTAAGTTCTCATAGTATAGAGATATGTTTTTTATCATAGTTTTAATCATCTGCTGATGCACTGCAGAAGTAAAGTGTTTTGGTGTATTGTGGTAAATTAAATGTTTTATTTTGCTGTTGTCCGGGGTGTTCCAACCCTCAACTCTAATTATGTTATTTACTTATTGGTTTGTTTTAACTCTTGTGATAACAGCTGATAAATATTCGAAATTTTCTTAAAAAAACACTTTCAAATATTAATTTCGAAACAAACAATATTATCAGATACGATTTGAAAATATCCCTCTAAAAGGAATAGGTTAGAAAATGGTTAGAACGCGATAAATTCAATGTGATTCCTAAATATTTATAATATACTTTTTACTGAACACATGTTTTTTCAGTGTATAGCTTTTCTCATTTCTTTTGCCTTCATTGAATTTCTCTCAGTGTAGCTGTAAACCGGCGATCTCTCACGTACGCCAATTTGAAGGTCACAAAACTTGGTCCTCCTCACTTCAATAATGCCGACGGTTTTTGTCGCTTCTCTGCGATTGTTCTTCTCTGTATGAAATACCTGGAACATTGGAAACCGACGTTATCCACGATGGTTTTTGCAGTTCACAGTTCACACTGCTTAAGTTTTTTTAATGCCACTTTTTCACAATTATCAGGGATTGGAGTAAATAAAATTTAAATTAAACTTACAAGATAGCGATAATAAATTTGAAAATGGACGCTTTAAACACTTTTCGGTATTTTTTCAATGCGGGCGATATTAATTTTGAAAGATCTTATAGTATAGAGCTAGCAACGTCGGTTAAAGAAGTATTTTAAGACGTCTGGCTCTTTGATATATCTTTTACTATGCTCTCTAGAACAGCATGCGTTCCGTCTGGCTGCCGGTAAACGTTGCGTTCACTACTGCGCATTGAAAGAAGATCCTATATTTTTATTAGTCCTTTAAATTTTAGTATTGAATATAAATCGAACATGTCTCCATAGCGTAGTGCGTAGAGTTTCCGACCACGAACCGATGATCCAGAGTTCGAATCCGGGTCAGGGCAAAAACTTTTTTATTTTATTTTCGTTTATATTCTGATAGTAAAGTATTAAATAATCCTGGAGCCATGATTGGGCAGCTTACCTTCTTAGTTGGGCCGTATACTTCTTTTACAGCCTCGAAGAATTTACGATAATCGTGATGCGTGGCGTACTCTTGAATCTGATTCGCTTTTTGTGACCACCAGTTATCCTTTACTTGGCGCAGTTCTCTTCGAAGCGTGTTGTTGGCTGCTTTAAAGTTGTCTACCAGTCTTGGATTATGTGGATTTGCAGTGACTGCTTGATGTGCTCTATGCTTTTGTTCCAACAAAACCTGTATATGCGGTTGATTTTTGTTAAACCAGTCTGGTTGTTTATTTTTGTTCGACTTTTCCAGTACTGCTTCGCTGGTTTTATGAATCGTACCCCTTAATTGTGTCCAGCCTTGTTCAGCTTCCAAGATTGAGATTGAAGTTGTCGGTGGAAGTGATTCTTTGATGGCTTCCCGGAGGGCGTATTGTTGTTCTCTAGACCCCGCATGTTCAATCTGGTCATGTTGTTTTGCATTTTACAGTGTGGATGTTTGGGTTTTAACTGGATTTTCATTTTTAAAATTAAAAGTCGGTGGTCAGTGCCGCATTCGGCATCTATTCTGGCTTTTGTGAGCATAACATCTTTTAGATGCGTCCTTCGAACGATTATGTGGTCTACTTGATGCCAGTGGCCTGATCTAGGATGTTTCCAGGTACCTTTGAACTTGTCCTTCAACATGAACCACGTATTGGTTATGCAAAGATTATACTCTGCGCATGTTGTTAATAAGCGTTCACCATTGCTATTTAGGTTTCCTATTCTATGTTTTCCCAATACGTCAGGCCATATTTCCTGTTGTTTGCCAACACGGGCATTAAAGTCACCTAGCAAGATGATCCGTTCGTGCTTTGGAATTCGTTAGAGTGCGTTTTGTAAAGCTTGGTAAAATTTATCCTTATCCTCAATTTTACAGTCAAGGGTGGGAGCGTAGACACTAATGATGTTGACGTAAGTTTTGTCTGATATGGGGTACCTTAGGGTCATAAGACGTTCGTAGACACCAATAGGTACTTCTGTTAACTTGGTGGCGATTTCGTTTTTGATCGCAATGCCTACGCAATGAATTCTTCTGTGTGTTGCGGGGTGACCTTTCCAAAAGAAGGTGTAATGGTCCTCAGTGAGACTATCTTCATCCGCAAAGCGGGTTTCGCTTAGAGCGGCAACATCTATATTTAATCGGTGGAGTTCCTGTGAGACCAGTGCTGTTCTTCTCTCTGGTCGATTTGAATTTATCTTGTCCAGTAGAGTGCGGACGTTCCACGCCGCAAACGTGAAACATTCATGTTTTTTGTTTCTCCGATGATACGCTCGAGTAGGCACCCCCTCCCGGAGATCCGATTGAGGGGGTATTTTACCTCCGGACGATAATTTTGTCCCACTCGAATGTTACATCATTGCTGTGTGTAAGCTGCGTGAAAAGGTTTAACTGTGGCGGTTACGCTGCCGCAAGTTTTGGCTGCAACTGTAGCACGGGATGGTTATGGCACAGTGGAGACTGCGACGAGGTTCCCTTTGTGCTGCTCTCGGTCGGCTAGGTGTGTATTTTATTACTCCTTTTCCCCAGAAGATGGTAGGTCTGAGGGTTGTATAAGGTTATACCGCCTATACTCGGACGTCAGAGCCTCGTTTGTGTAAACAGGGTGCACCACGTGAAGGTGAGGTTGACTTTTGGGTAAGCTAGGCTATATGTATCGCTTCAATACCCCTTGCACCCCAATATGTAAATAATTCTGGTGATTTAAAAAAAAACAAATATTCAATACTTTACTATCAGAATATAGACGAAAATAAAATAAAAAAGTCTTTGCCCTGACCCGGATTCAAACTCTGAATCCTCGGTTCGTAGTCATAAACTCTACGCACTGCGCGATGGAGACATGTTCGATTTATATTCAATACTAGAATTTATAGGACTAAATTAAAAAAAATATAGGATCTTCTTCCGATGCGCAGTAGTGAACGCAACGGGTATCGGCGGCCAGACGGCCGCATGCTGTTCTAGAGAGCATAGTAAAAGATATATCAAAGAGCCAGACGTCTTAAAATACTTTCTCGAAAACGTTGCTAGCTCTTAGACCATTATAATCACTTATAATTTTTGAAGATTCTGACTTTGACAAGAGAAAATTCTTTCTGTTCTTGTTTGGCGGTTGTTCTTCGCAACCGCTATAGCAGCGCCAGATCTCGTACAGCGTATGCGACCCAAAACAATTAGCGGGAAGCCGAGCATTCCAATCTATATTTATTTCCTTTATCAATGTATATTCCTAATTTTTGTTTTTATGTTTTGACAGAGTAAAACGACAGCTGTCAAGCTCGCACCTAAGACACCGAGAGATGGCGGGGGGGTTTATAGGGGCCGAGGATCTCCATCATCAAGTCGGCGATCCCCAAGGCGATGAAAAATGTCGACTCATGTAAAAACGAAATCAAACTCTTTTTACATTCAACAAGCCTAAAGCTAAAAAGATTAGGTAAGTATGGAGCTAGATCGCCTACTTTTTGTACAAAAAAAATCACTTTCCTTTAGTCCTAACAACTGAAAGGGTGCAAAACGTTTTTGCAGTATGGTTTTCTTTCTTTCGGTTCAATTTTGTGTGATTTTTTGGTGGGTTACAAAAGGTTGGTTAAAAGTAATAAAAAAATGTTCTTAAGTTAGTTTGAATAAGAAGAGGATTTTTTCAGCGTAATAGTTTCGCACGTTTTGAAAGTTTAGTAAAAAAATATTTATTTGCTTTGTATAAGGTGTATTTTTAGGTGATATTTAGGACGGTCATATACATATAACAGAATATGGTTTTGATGGATTTTTAAAATTTTCTATAGAGAAATAAGATGATATATCACACATTTTTGTAATTTTCTTAGCAGAAATGTAAATATAGATACTTATATATCAAGGTTTGTAGGAAAAAACGAATTAAAAAAAACTTTGACAGATCCAAAATAACCGAGTTATTCTACTTTCAAAATTTCCAAAAAAAAAATATTTTTTGCTTAAATTTTGAGAACTATTGGATCTTTTCCGGATTTTCTTTCTTGTCGACTACCCATGTTGCCATATTATCAAGAAATTATGTTTTTTAACTAAAAACTAAAAAAAATCCAAAAAATTTTTAATTTTCAAAAAATTTTCTTCGTGAAAAACCTCCTAATCGTGTTTCTGGGGTCGAAATATACTACCTTTAAAAATATTTGCACTTCTTCAAGACTCACCCTGTATTGTGTTCTAGTGGACAGATTTTGATGATTTTTAAGCAATTTGTAGCTAATATATTTGATTTTTTAGTGTCTTTATAAATTAAAAACAAAAGTTGCTATCTGTCAATTATACGAGAGAAAACAAAATGTTGATATTTTGGTGAAGCACCCTGTGGAATAAAGAAAGAAGGAACTAAAGAAAGAAAAGAGATACATTCTAACCTCATATTTGGTCAAAAAATCAATAATTTTTAGTTATCAACTTGCAACAATAATTGTAGAATATCCTGCAGTATATTCTTTTATATGTATATCAGCACAGTCTGTCATTTTAATTCACATGTTAATTGTATTGGCTGTCATTTTTTGGATGTCGTCTGTCGAAATCTTCCCTGACTCGTTAGACAGGCAGTACTATAGAACATGAGTGAAACAAGTAAATTTGACGTATAATTTTTGTTCGCAGTTAAGTAAAGACAGTGTATTTTCTGTCAGATTTAGATAAGTTTACTATAATATCACCTTTAAAATTTGTCTTATATATTTTTTGTACAGGGTGTTTAAAAAATAAAAATAAATTAAAATACTTGACTAGCTAATTACAATTTATACCATTGATATCCAGTGCTACATATTCGAAATTTAAAAAAATATCTGCTATTTGAGATGATTATAAAAAAATATATTTTTAAAGTTTTAACATCCTGTATCCTGTATGTTTATAGGAACTTTCTTCATATTTTTTGATAAAAAATACTTAAAAAAACTACCTACAATTTGGCCCTGCATTTTTCAAACACCCTGTCATTGCCTAGGAATAAATTATTTGAAAAAAATATTTTTCTCATTATTCTTCCAAATACTAATAGCCAATTGAGTAGTTTTTTAGTTAACTTAAAAATTTAATATAGAAATAATTTATTCTTATTGTGTTATTTTTTTTCAAATAATTTTTCTCTGTTATTTAGCCTGAAATATTCCTTGTTTCGAAAAATCTGAGAGTTTATTATTAAAAGACTTTTTATATATTTTTATTTTATATATATAAGTATTAATACGGTTGTAGAATTATAATTTTTATCCCGTTCACATTTTTTTACAAACAAACGAGAATATATTGTAGTGTCTTGATTATTTTTTTATAGATATAATAATAAAATCGTTTATTTTTTCAGATGCTATTTTAAAATATAGATTATTAATAGAAGTTTTATAAGTTTAAATCTGAGATTAGAAATAAAAGTAATAAGAAAAAAATCTTGGTTAATTTTTAAAATGGCATCGAAAATAATATTTGCAATATATGTAATGTTTCATTTTTTTGATACATTAAGTTCTTACAACTGCTTCTTTGTATTTTCTATATGTGTTCAATAAACTTGATGTAAAATTACTATTAGAATTTTTTTAATTATTTTTATGTGCCTTAAAGGAGAGTACTATAACATTAAACGTAGAATTTAATTGTTTTAAAACATTAATCAACTATTTGATAGATATAGCAACAATATCATGTTTACAAAATTTATATAGGTAAAAGTAGTATGTACGACTCGTATTATTTGTAAGCTTGTGTTTACCTTCACACATAATATTTTGGATTTGTGGAAAGGTAATATCTTCAAATATATATTATATTTTCGTCACAAACCTTTTGTGTATATTTCTGTTAAAAAATAAACCCACCCTTATTTCCTATGTACTTATTAACTTGGAATTTGGTACTTTTTAAGGTATATTACACGTTAAAAACGTTTTTAAATAGTTTAGAAATGACGATTAATGACGTTCTTTTATAATTTTACAGAAAAAACATTAATAATAATTTCCAATCTCACACGCCGTTTTTTTATCGTGTCATTATGGTATTCTTTGTAGAGTTTCATAAGTTTACTAGTTTGAATTTTATTTGAAGATAAACAGAATATACCGTATGATGTCTTTTTCCGTTTACTATTTTTTTTTTCACTGTTTTACATTCAATGTGTTTCTTACACGGAAAAATAATTTGTAACGTTAAAGCAGAGCGTTAAAGTTATTTACACACCCATCCTTGTTTCGTCATATCAGGCCGGATACCCTGGCAGCTATGGCCTAAAAATTAAACTACCACCAGCATCATATATAATAATACACTAAAGTTATATATGACCGTCATTTTCTTCTGTCTTCTGTGGCTTGTGTGAATTTGACATTACTGACAGATTTGTCAAGTCATTGATTTCATTCCAGAAAGAAAACAAAAAATCACAGTCATTCTAGTATTTTTCTTATTTATAGAATAAATATTACAAAGTTTCGAAAGTAATTGAAATTATGGCCTCTGTAAGCGTACAACAACAGAATATCACCGATTTTTTGTCTAGGAAACAAAAGGAGGGCCCCAAGGAACTTGTGCCGGAATGGGCCGCTTTGGAGGAGCTCTACAACAAAAAGTAACAATGGATTTTGTATATTAAATCGTTTTATTTGTTTTAAACCGTACTGTTTACAGGTTGTGGCATCAATTAACGTTAAAAGTATTATCGTTAGTGAAGAAGGCTGACTTACAGAAAGACGATAATTTAATTCAGCTTTATAACCATTTTTTACAAACCTTTGAAAATAAGTAAGTTCAGCTTCTCTCTTTCTAACTGTTTTGTTAATTTATCTCTGCTTTATTTAGGATCAACCCGTTATCTTTGGTTGAAATTGTTGCTGTTGTTATTGAACAATTTAAAAACCCCAGCGAAGCAGTAGCGTTTCTTGAAAAAACTGAGCCCAAAGTTAAAATTAGTTCAGATGCTGTGAACTTATGTAAAGGTAAGGTATTCTTTAACGTTTTTCTTAGTTTTTATAATAATTACCTCAATTTTGTTTGTAGTTTTAGCAGGTCAAATATATCTAGAGAAATTAAACAATTTGGAAGCAACCAAAAAAATCATCGAGCAAGTTGAGGCTACTCTGGACAATGCTGATGGAGTTACACCAGTTCATGGCAGATTTTACTTATTGGCATCACAGTATTATAGGTAGGTATAGCTGATATAGGAGATGATAGTTTGTTATTGTAGATCTCTACAATTTAAGAAGTTTTAACATAAATGTATACTTTATTTTATTCTTTTCATAGAATTCAAGGTGATCATGCACAATATTACCGTACTGCTTTGCGTTACCTTGGTTGTATCGATATAGACATCCTCTCAGAAGAAACCAAGATGCAACATGCCTTTTTCTTAGGTCTGGCAGCGTTATTAGGTATTTACGCTCATATTTCTATGAGTTAACATAGTTAATGTACATTTATTTTATAGGAGAGGGTGTATACAATCTAGGTGAATTATTGGCTCATCCTGTTCTACAAACATTAAATACCACAGATAATTCGTGGTTAATTGAACTTCTCTATGCCTTTAATTCAGGGGATATAAAGAAATTCGATAATATGAAACCAAAATGGAGTTCCATTGCTGACTTGGCTGCACAAGAATTGTTTTTGAGGCAGAAAATTTCACTTTTATGTCTTATGGAGGTATGTACAATAAAGATGATTATTATTATTATTAATATTCATTTTCTTAACATTATTTTTTAGATGACGTTCAAGAGGCCGTCTCACGATAGACAGTTAACTTTCGCTGAGATTTCTGAAGAAACGAAATTACCAATAAATGAGATAGAACTGTTGGTAATGAAGGCGTTGTCTCAAGGACTTGTTAAAGGCGCTATAGACCAAGTGAGTATTAAAAAAAATTATAGGAAAAACATTAAAAGTTAGCGTGCACGTCAATGATACATTTGACAAATGCACGTCGCAATGTTGCCAATGTTACGTTTTTTCGTGATTTTATCATAGATTTGTCACTTCAGTTTTAGACAAAATACATATAAAAAAATATTAGATGTTAGATGCAACCAGGTGGCTCATATGTGAGCCGTCTGGTAGCCAACGTGTTGTGTTAACTGTTTCTAATGTTTCTAATAGGTTGCAAGTACAGTTAACATGACCTGGGTACAACCCAGAGTCTTAGGCAGACCACAAATTACCAGCATGGTTCAAAGACTTAACGAATGGTGTACGCATGTTTCTACAATGGAGAAATTGTTGGAGGGAAAGGCTACAGAAATTCTGACATTATAGTGTCCTTTCAGATTTTCTCAAGTAATATTATATCTTTTTTTTTGGTTTAAATAAATTAATAAAATGCTATAGGGGTTTTTATTATGTAGAAAATGTTTTGGTATTATTTACCTAAAGTCATTTAGTTCCCCCCCTTTTTTTTTGATAGTCGCTCATACAGGCCTAATAAAACACTAAGTATAAAATAAATTTTTAATATATAAAATTGTAAAAATCAATACAGCTCATAAGTACAACAGTATTATAACTTAAATATAATAAAACGTTAGAGATTTCTTCTCAAATATTTCAATTTAATTTATCACATATCGTATATCGACCTAGAAACTATTTAAGTACACTTACATAGTAAAAAATATTTGTACTTACAAAATTTATAGAACTTTTATTGTCAAATATAATAATTATATACTCTTAGATTCTTTTTTTAAATATTATATGTTATTGCAACAATAAAAAAATAATTTCATCCGAATTTTTGCAAAAACAAACTTCTAAAGTTGTGTCGTTATTACGGATTTTCTGATGATGGCTGTTTCAGTAGTATTGACTTTAGTCACAGGAGATGAAATGACTTCTTGTGAGACCAGCCAAGGAGACAGTTTACTTAAGTTGGGACTTTTTGGAGTTGATGGTATGTCCGCGATTTCTACATCTTCATTAGTCTGAAAAACAAAAAGAAGTTATTACATAAACATGTTAACTTAAGTCTAAATAAAGTCACAAAATACTTTTAGAAAAGGTATTTAAAATACTAGATATACACACAACCAAACTTATATGGTTTAGCTGTCTATCTAATAATAGATGATTTATTTTTCATAATTTTTGAGACGTATGAAAATTTTGTGTTTATGAATAAAACTCAGTCCTTACCAATGACTTTTAATGAAGAATAATCCATATAGCAATAAAAAAAATTGATCAGTTCCCTAAATAAACAAAATGGTATTTTTTGGTTTCTGAAACGAAATTAAGATTTAAATTTTTAATGGCTAAAAACCAAAAACAAAAAGGAAATTGATAATTTTAATATTCCTTGTTGTCACCTCTAGCCCCTATGCAATCTTCTATTCGCGCTCGCATGCTTCTTATTAAATTATCAACGTTGTCTTGGGATATGTTTTCCCATTCTACTAATGCTGCATCAATAAGCTGTGCAAGATTCCTGGATTGTTTCGACGAGCCTTAACCCTTCTTTTGAGCTAGTCCCACAAGTGTTCAATAGGGTTTAGATCTGGTGAACATGCAGGCCAGTCCAAAACTATGACACCTTCCCGTTTCAAGACATTCTCTAGTCACTCTGCTGGTATGGAGAGGTGCACTATCGTACAAGAAGTTAAAATTACAACCAATTGTAGCTCTCCAAAGCCTAACGATTGGGTGTAGCACCAAGTCAACATATAACAATGGAGTTTTTGATCCCAGTATAATACCTCCCCAGAGCATTATAGTTCCTCCTTTGTATCTTGGTACAGATTTGGCAGCCTGAAGTCGCGCTCGTCTTTCTGGAGCTCTGAGAACCCGAATTTCATGGTTATCTGATCTTAGGCCAATTCTGGTCTCTTCCGAAAAAAGCACATTTTGCCAATTCTCAGTTGTCCATTGTCTTGATGTTGAAGGCATCAATTTAGCCGGTCAATTTTATTTTGCCGAGATAACTGTGGGATCCGTAACTCTCTCCTACTGTAAAATCCTCGAGCACGAAGCCTTTTTGTTATGGTTTCAACTAAAACGTTCACACACACAGCTGCCAGAAGTTGTTTTTGTAGCTCTGGATGAGAAACAATGGGATTTATTCTAGCAATTTGGCCCACAAGGCGGTCTTGTTGTTCAGTTGTGACTCTTTGACGACTTTGTCTGGTCCTATCCTTGTGTGTTCCTAATTCCAAGTACCTTCCATATGTTTTTGATACAACACCCTGGGTAACGCCTACTATCTCTGCTACGTCTCTTTGGAGCATTCCTTTGTTCGGTGAGAGCATTAATTCTTCCCCTCTGTACATCTGTTAATCCAACATAAGGCATTTTTTTTTGATCGAATGAAAATTACCGGACAATCGTGATTTTACTACTGAACACAAAATTCAAAAGAAAATAAATCGCAGCAGTCGTTTATTCTTTATTATCATGTTTATTTACAACAAAAAGCCTTATCTTACGTATACCAATTTTCATCCTTGCAAGAAATTTAGTCAGAAATAAAGAGTGATTCCATATAAGTTTGGTTGTGTGTAAAATACGTATTTTCTAAATACTTTTATTAAAATAAAATCCCTTTTGAAACAAAAAAAAACATTTAGCTTATTACAGTAATAATAATTGTGAACAAGAATCGTGTGAATCTGGGAATGTCTTTATACTTAAATATTACAGTGTTTCTAACCAGCGCACGGTGGGGTATTAGCATGAAAAAGTTGATCGAAATTCGAAAAAGCAAATGTGTTTAAGATTTCCCAAAAAAAGATAAATGATAAGTTAAATCATGTCTGCCATGAATGGCGTTGCTATGGGTGTGTTTAGTTGCATTCATTTGTTTCAACGAAACGTCAAAGTTGTTACTTCTCACATGTATTATTAATAAGATATATTACAAAGTTTACCCATTTAAATTCGTTGCTTTCGCTTTAGTATTTAAATAAACACACATATACAAATGCATACATACAAGATGGCTCCGTATTCCGCAAATGCTCTGTATCAGTATTCCTATTTGAGATTTTTACTCCAAACCTTTTACAAAATATGTGTTTAATGGTAGTTCACATTTCAAAAATATTTTTATAGATATACAGGGTGAGTCAAATATATTTTTACTCTCAACTCCCAAGTTTTACTTTTTCAAATGAAATGTTTTATATTTGTTTAGTTCAGTGAATTTGCTATAAAATTCCGGTTCCAAAAATACCTTAATACCATAGAGTATATTAAGTGGTTTTTTAATTATGACCACGTCAATCTAGATGCCCAGGAACCTTCGTATGAGAACTTCTAATCGAGACGATCGACTTATTGTAAGTTTATCGCTAAGGAACCACCATTTGCCAGCTTTTCAAATTGATAATGAATTGCACTTAAGAAACGTACATATTAACTAACGCACTATAAGAAGAAGATTAAATGAAGCAAATCTTATGCTTCGGGACCAGAACTTACTAGATGTGTTGACTAGGCCCAAAAGCAAAAACATGATCTTAATGTAAAAATTACGAAAAAATGTTAGTGTCTTATTCAAAAGCGAATATTTCCAACAAAAATAAAGCTAATTAGATGAACCAAAAAACAAACCATCGAGAAAGGATGTATCTAGATGATAAAATAAATTTTAAATTTCTTGCGTTTTTACCTTTTTCACCAAAATATCAACATTTTGTTTTCCCTCGTATAATTAACAGATGGGAAGTTTCATTTTTAATTTAGAAAAAGATACTAAAAAGTCAAATAATTTGGCTACACACTGCTTAAAAAATCATCAAAATCGGCCCATTAAAACAAAATATATTAACCTTTAAAATGCATCAAAGTTTTAAGGTGACCATTTTTCGTTCCGGTGAATGTATTTCAAAAACTATACATTTTTTAGTCATATACTTTTCTAATGAAACAAACCTTTATTTTTTTACTAGAATCCAAAAATAAATTAAGTAACTTTTTTGGGGACACCCTGTAGAACTCTATATAAGTTTAGAAAATGCTTTAAATTGACTTACAGCTCACAAAATTTCACTTCAATACAAAATTTGGTTCTCCTTGCAAAAGCCGCGTCGTATATGTCGCACTCCCCTGTATAATTCAATTTCAATCAAAATTTCAATGATTAGAATATAAGCAGAATAGGTATAGCTTATGCATTAGATTTATTTACTTCGATAAATTTGCTTAGAAAAAGAATTAAAAAAATCAAAAAATTAAGAAGGAAATAATTAAGAATTTACTAAAATTAGTAAAATAAAAAATTAAAAGCAACGAAAAAAATTGAGTAAACAGAAGGTTTCACAGTAATTGAATTCCGAGGTAAAAGTCTCTAGGCACTCCACTAAATAAGACTGGTCTTTGTTCTTTCTTTTTATGTATTCCCCATTGTTGTTGAAAGTGTCCAATTTGTGTTTTTCATACCGATTAATTTTACGTGTTTCCAGCCAGGACAAAATCAATGACATGTTCTTTAAATGATTTTGGCACCCATTTCATTTTAGAGAATGAAATGGGTGCTTTCATTACTAGATAGATAAAATACAGAAGAATAAAAATGTTCTAATTTTTAGAATGTCTACTTTGTTCTATTTTAGTATTAAAAGTAATAAAAAATCTTCAATACATAAACTACGGATTTTTTTAATAATTTGCGGATATTTCATCACACCTAATACGGATATTATATTTTTTGATCTGGCGACACTGCTTTAGTCCATATTACAACTGAACGTCAGAAAGTAAAAAATATGCATAGATAATAATTAGTAAAAGTATTTTAGCAAACTCTTAGATCTTATAAACTTCGAGCAAACTAAACTACTCAAAACAATTATCGCATATTTTCCAAAAAAAATATAAATTTGAAAAACAAGACACTTTGAATTCCCTGACTTATGATTTTAAATAGTATGGATATTGTGAAGGGAAATTCGATACAATAAGCCTACGCGCCAATCTCTAATTTTTAGTCGTCCGACTATTTAGTTGCGAAAGTAAAAACAGTACATACTTATGATGTCGATCGGCCGACTATTTGATTGCATGTGAGCGCGGCTCCATTAGGATATATTGGTTAAAAATGCATAATGCAACTAAATATCGGGCCGATCGGCTCCGTAAGAATGTATTGTTTTCACTTTTGCAACTAAATAGTCGGCCGATTAAAAATTATAAGTCAGTGAGTACCCTAATTATCCTAAAAAAACTCACAAGAGAAAGGCAGAAAATGCATGTTCCATTTAGAAATATGTAATAATTACTTTTATTCAAATATGCGAGAATTGTTTTGAGTAGTGTAAGTACCTATTTATAAAATACTAAGATACTAAAAAAATGTATCTAAATACAAGATACAAGATGAAATTAAAAGATTGGTCAAGTGCGAGTCCCGGACTCGCGCACGAAGTGTCCGTTTCATTATTTATCTATACAACATTAGACACTATATTATTTATTATAAACTTTTTTCCGATGAATGATTAGCTGAAATTTTGAATGTGCGTATAAGTAATTAAAAAAAATGAAGAAACACATTACTAAAAATTGTATTAATCAATAATAAATATGTAAAAAGTAAAAATAAATATGTAAAAATTAAAAAAAACGATTAAAAAAAGTCGCTTTGACTAGGATTCAAACCTGCCTTACTACGGCTCGAACGTCAAAGCAGCGTAAAGTCCTAACGCTTTAACCACGTGGCCACCGAGGACTTGAAAGATTCTATGTAAAATTCTTACTTAAAAGATAATGTTTAGTGAAAGTACTTTTTTATTTATAATCATTTATTTAATTCTGTTTTTAGTATTTGTTCTTATAGCGGCAACATAGATACATTATCTGTAAAAATTTCAACTGTCTAGCTATAACGATTCATAAGATAGACCTTTGTCACAGCCGGACGGACAGGGAAGTCTTAGTAAAAGGGTTCCCGTTTTTACCCTTTGGATACGGAACCCTAAAAAGGTATTTCAAATATAAGACGAAAATGCGTATTTTGTATCTTGTATCTGTATTTCAAATACTTTCATCGTTATATACTTATGACAGTGATAGCTAATTGTCGTCTGTCAAAATCGTTCCTTTCTTTTGCATACTTTACACGACAAAAGAACTTACCTCAATGCTATTTTTGTTAGCTTCATCTTTAAGGTCCTCTTCATTCCCTGAAATCTCCACAAACGGGTTGTTTTTACTAAACTTCATACCGCTGAATGGATTGACTTCGCCATTTTTCAAATAATTTGCAAACGGATTGAAATTCGTCTCATTTTCTGGTTCGGATTTATTCTCGTTTGTATCGTTAACCACCTGGCATATTTCTACAAATTTTCCAAGAAAACATTATTTTCAAAATCACGTAAGTAATACTCCTATAAAGCTAGTAAAGACTTAAAGCATCTGTTAACGAGTGTGACAGCAAAAACATGAAATCATAAACATAAAATAGTGTTTATTGTTTTTGTAATGCCACTATCATTGAAAATTCATATTATTATTGTTTATTGACGTTTACTCTACTAGAGATATAACTTAATTAATAGAGATAGGTTTTAAGTTCTGAAGTATCGGCTATTGCTGCTTTAACTGATCATGGTACAAATGAACTACTGGACTTAAAACCATCTCTGCTAGAGTAATTGCCCAACAGACAATAATAATATAACTTTTCTCAGACATTAGATAAATCATAAACACTATATTATAGGTCTGTTGACTAGGACCAAAAGCAAAGGCATGGTTTTAATGTAAAAAATACGAAAAAATGCTAGTGTCTTCTTCAAAAGCGAATATCTCCGAAAAAAATGAAGCTATTGAGATGAACCAAAAAGTAAAATACCGAGAAAAGATACAACTAGATGATAAAATGATTTTTAAATTCCTTGCTTTGTTAATATACTCCACAGGGTGTTTCAAACTTATTATGTTTTCCCTTGTATAAGACAGATGGCAACTTTGATTTTTAATTTAGAAAGAGATACTAAAAAATCAAATAATTTAGCTACATATTGCTTTAAAAATCATCAAAATCGGCATACTAGAAGAAACTATAGTAACCTTTAAAATACATCAATATATTTAAGAGTATTACTTCTAAGAGTTTAATAACAATAAAACTCCAACGTTATGTAGTGTTGCGGACCCGTGTGGACTCGACCTAACCTAACTATATGTCCCGCCCTCAGATGACCTTAACATCGCATTAAAGAATAGACACCGTAATGATTCATTCGTTCGACAAGAATCGAGTCCCATTGAAATGGACTAGTACATACGAGAACATTCGAAAACCTTCTCTATGCACCTAACGATCTATGGACTATTCTAGATTTCTTTTGCTGTAGGTATAAAAGCCGGCGGCTGTGGCCTAGAGAGGGCAGTTATAAATAGACAAGTACAGTTGACGCGCTAAAATTCAAAAATAAATTCTTAGTTATAAATCGTTTGTAAATAGTTCTTTAAGTCTTTTATCGTTATTGTTTTTGTTAATTAGTGTTAAATAAATAGTGTTCAAATAAATTGTGACTTTCTATCCACACGGAACCGACGAAAAACGTAACAGTAGTATAAGGAAACAAGTAGCTACACTGCACTGTCCCAAATATTTTGTGCCAGCCGACAAAAATTAATTTGATTTCTGGAAGCATACATTAGCAAGGATTCGGACATATTCGTAGTCACCTCATGAAAACAAGTCACAGAAGGTACCCGAAAAATATCAAAGAATTTGGTGACAGTAAAGCTACTAGTTTCCTTATACTATGGTATTTTCTTACCTAACTTGCCATCATTCATTGCCTGACCAAAGAACGTAACTGTTATAGGAGTGGTACACCGTTTAACGGGTTCTTTAACGGGTTCAATACTAGAGGGACCACTCACAGTAAGCGTCAACTTATCACCACCCTTTAAATTAAAAAAAAATGTATTTTTATATAAATTATAACAGTTACAGTTTACAGTAAATTTAGGATGTGGGGGTTCTCGTGTAATAATTAGTATATATAACGTATCCCAAAACTACTAGAACTATTGTCATTAAACCTAAAAGATAATATGTGCAAACACAAAAAATTTCAACTGTCATAGTGAAAAATGTCGGAAAATGTCAAGATATGACAATGAAAAGTATTTTTTTCTTATTTGAAGAGAATGCTGTTGATACATATATGTTTTGTTTATTTATATACAGTATTATATACAATATAATACAAATAAATAATCTACGCGGTCGGTGGCGCGGGAAGTTACATTATTCGTTTGAAAAATCTTTTTTCTAAAGTTTAAGTTGTTTACTTTTTACTCTACATCAAAGCTCTACATAAATTGTTACAATAATTCATCAAATATTATACAGGATGGTCATAAAAATGTTACAAATATTACTTTAAAAAATATATAAAAAGTAGTTCAAATGAACCGCTTGCATAAAATACCCTGCCTTGATCAGATTTACTAAATAAATGAATTAATTTTGAATTTAGATATTTAGGGGGCGTTTTCTGTGAACTGATCAAGTCGTAGGAATTCAACTGACTTGAAAGAATATTCCGTATTTGCACATTTGTTATCAAATAGTTTCTGCTAGTTCAAATGGCAACAGTGCGTAAGGATGTACTTCAAACTGCCAAAAATTTGAAAGAAAATGGATTAGCCGCAGAACCAATGACTAAAGAATATAAGGACATGTAACGCCCCTATACGGGCTGCAGCAGAATTTGTGACCTTTTTTTTTGTTTTGGTGGCAAACAATGAGTCATCATTTGGTCACCAGCGACAATTTTAGCGATTTTTAATAGTTTGTGTGTGGTAAACTTTGTATAAACTTTATTACAATGGTGATTAGTTGTTCAGCTTTCAAGTGTAAAAGCAGCAGCGATAAGAAAGAGCCAGGAGTTACGTTTCATAGGTAAATAAACAGTCCACTCCAACTTTTAGCGTTTTCTTATTGAATTCGATAATTATTCTTCAATTTCAATTAACATCTATATGTACTTGATATGTGCTATACGTCGATACTAGTTTTGTACCTTTTGTTAACATTTTAATACGTTTTTTTCGTAATTAATTAGGATGATACACCATAGGCGTAGTCAAAACAATTATCAAAAAATATAAATATTGCTTCAAACAGCTAGGTTAAGAAAAATATGTGCCACGGCACTGTTTGGTGACATCGTCACAATTTGCTCTCGGGTGTTATTTGTCCTTGGATTCTTTAGTCATTGCACAGAACTAATTCTATTGTTAGTCAGCCATCCAATAATTTAATACCTAAGCTACAGTTAAAAACACAGTTTTTAATAGAATAGGTTTTGTACATACCACAGATATAAAAGTAGCTGCATTTAGGGAAGTTTCTTCTTCTTTAGGCGCTTGAACAAACATCTGATTAGTCAATTTGGAATTTTGAAGCTCTTCCTCCATTTTAGCTAAAAAAAAATTTTTGCAAATCAACATAGCAAGGTAGACACAGAGATACTGAATACACGTAATTTTTAGTAGTTGTAGTAACTATCAAATGAAATTATGAAGAACTAAATTACCTTACCTTTTAATATATTACATTTAATATGACCAGGCGGCAAAGGTTTAGCACTGCCTACCGTTTTTGTAATATTATTAGGAATTTCGGCTGGAAGAGGCTTCTGTGAACTAGTTACATTTTCAGATTCTGCTAAAACAGAGAAAGAAATCATATAAACAGTAACATATACAGTCTTTTTTGACAAAAGACAACTTGGGGTCATTTTTTAGTTTGATAAAAAAATATTAAAAAACCTTCAAGTTTATTCCTGGATTCGTCCCTTGCAACGCCAGTCAATGATTCTTTAGCGAGACTTTTCAGTAAAAAGTCTAACTGACTGTCGGCGTTCGACGGGGTCGGACTTACAGCTGGACCATTAGAACTCGGAGTAACTGACTTGTTTCTTTTTAACGTGTCGTTTTTGCTACTGCTTGACAACGCTGGGCTATAAAAAATATAGAAACAAACTTAATATCGAATCTTGCAACAGTTGTAGGGCATCTAGAGCTACTACTACGTAGAAAAGGAGCGAACGCTCCACTAACTGGACCGGAACCGTTCTGCTTCGTAAGTGGAAAGTTTCCCAACTTAAAACGGAACTCAAGAACCTGGAATACTCCATCCGTAACCTGGAATGGGAATCCTCCAAAGGTCTAAGACACTCGAAGAACTTCAAAGTCCGCTCTAACGCTGTTTTTTTCAATTGTAATTACCTGTAAGCTGATCCATAAGCAATAGACGATTTTCCAAAGGAATTCTGTCCCACTGAACCCTTCCCAAAACTACTTTGACTAACTAATCCCAGAGAGCTTGGTCCTAAAAAGGAAAGAAATATATTAAACTTGATAACAAAACAAAATAAAAATAGACGTACTGGTAGGCGTTGACGGCGTGGGTGTTAAACTCTTCGTAATATCGTCTTTAACTTGGCAGTAAATTGGTTCATTATCAGTTATGTTTGTTGCATTTGATTTAGTTGATCTCTCGCTACATCGACTAGATGAGGGTTGAATACTGTCCGATGGTTTAGCTGCTACATTCTGATCTGTTACATAAAGATTTTTGTTTTATATATGGGACACCCTGTATAAAATTATTAAAAACGCATACCTTCCACTGTCGCTGGCGTGTGCTGTTTCTGCCTCTCTCTCAGCACGTGACTTTGTCTTCTCCCATACCTAAAATAGAATTTAAATACACTATGATCGAAAAAAAGGCGTCAAAGATGGCTGAAGAATGACAATCGATGATAATTTTGGCGAGGTCAAGCCCTAGACGTCATTTAGTAAAAATATAGCCATTACACTACTTTCTTAATCTTTTTATTCAAAGTCTACACACAATGTTTTGCTGAATACATTTTGACTGAACAGCTAAGACTGACAGGTAAAACGTTATGTGTAGATGAATCTTTACCTCTGACTTGGTTTTCGCTCCAACTGAACCGTTCTTCTAGCTCTGTTCTGGTACGTGCTCTGGTACTCAGTTCTTCCAGAATACCGGAACCTGGAGCCCATCCGAAAGAAATTCTGTCTAGCCGAAGGCCCCTTGACTGGGGCTCTTAACCGGAAGAATCCGTGGTGCTCCACTGCGCATTTCCATAGGTGTTTGCATGCCTTCTCATTGTGAAGCCTAAAAAGGAACGAAAGATGTCTTAATCCAGTGTTGCGAGAAATTTTCGATTGAATTCCTTCATTCCTTCAACAGAACATTAAAAAACATTCATATTCCTTTGAAGTTTTTTGCCATGAGAAATTTGATTTTGATGTCAATATGAGTCCTACTGGTAGAGGGCGCCACCTACATATGTTTTAACTGTTTTGAAGCGTAATAACTTTTTGACCGTACCTGTATAAAACTACAGTGGGAAAAATATACATCTCTGCGACTTTTTACGCAAAAATATCTCTTTGTAAAAATCGCTACGAGCAACCGTTCTCAAGATATTTAGAATGGAAATAGTCAATGCATGTCATTATTGACGAAAAATAAACACGTTGAGTAAATAGTTATTTCACTGAAATAATAAATTTGTTCTGCAAAAAAATGATGACAAAACAGTTTCTGTTGAACTTTTGGCACAAAAACTTTTAAATTTATGATCTCAGTCTAATAACTATTTAGTCAACATGATTAATTTATGTCAATGATGACAGGTATTGATAATTTCGATTCCAAATATCTCGAAAACCAATACTCGTAGCGATTTTTACCAAGAGACATTTTTTGCGTAAAAAACGTCGTAAATGTATATTTTTTAACTCAGTAGTTTTATACAGGTACGGACGAAAAGTTATTACTCTTCAAACCAGTTAAAAAATATGTAGGTTGCGCCCTCTACAAGTAGGAGTCATATTGACATTAAAATCAAATTTCTCATGTCAAAAAACTCCCAGACACCAATTTTCATCTAAATATTGACGTTACTTCATAAATTATTTGGAAAAAATCTCGAAATAAAAATGAAACTTTAACACCCTGTATCTCCGAAACTAAGCATTTTAGGACATGCATTTATACGAACTTTTCTACTTATTTTTATCTGCAGAATATGCTGCCGAAGTTTCCGGAATACAATTCGGACCAGCCTGTATATGTTTTCCGTTTACCTATTTATTTATTTTCAACATCAAGAACTTTGGTTTCGTTATGGTATGTATTATTGCTGTCTTAAGGCTGTTAGACTTGTTTAAAGATATAAATGTAGACGTGTTGAAAGATAAAAATGTATCTATTAATTTTTTGTTAAATGTTAAAATCTTCCTAAAATTGCGGACTTTATTTACTATTACTTGCGGACTAATTTACATCCTTAATTAAACACCGTTAAAATATAAAAATATAGATGTAGGGAACATAAATACGCCTACTATATATTTTAAAAATTTTATTGTACAAACTGCTAGAAACATTCATATTGTTTTCTTTATGGATAAAAATGCCTTCTGCAACCCTATTAACAAAATTTGACAGTAAAATTTTTCATATTGAAGAAAATGCTTCAATTCTGGCAACACTCTAATAAATAACTTGCCAACTGCTCGCTAATCATCTTACTAAAATCCTACTATAATTCTACTAAATCTCCAAAAATTGTTCCAAAATTTCAAAAAATCTCAATTTTATCAAATAAAAAAAAAGAAAACATTATTTTCCTGTTGAAGTTGCCTATTGGCTATGGTTTTATCCTTTGAATAAGAAGACTAAGGAAGGAAAAATATCTTAGGTCCACCGTGATGGGCCTCAAATATGACCGACTTAAATTCCGGTTTATCAGTGCCGTTCTAATTTTATTTAAAAAATGTAAAACTATGATGTAGGGTAGACGTGGGGTAGACTCAATACTATGTTGTTTTATTTGACGTTGTGAATAAATGTTGGTAGTTATTAAAATTGTTACAAAAATATATAAATCTAATAAAAATAGATAAGTTATAATCTTTGAATAAGAAGACTAAGGAAGGAGCATATCAAAAATCTTAGGTACACCGCGATGGGCCTCAAATATGGCCAACTTAAATTCCGGTTTATCAGTGTCGTTCTAATTTTATTTAAAAAATGTAAAACTATGATGTAGGGTAGACGTGGGGTAGACTCAATAATTTGTTGTTTTATTTTACGTTGTGAATAAATGTTGGTAGTTATTAAAATTGTTATAAAATATATAATTCTAATAAAAATAGATAAGTTATAATAAGTATTTATTAACACAAACATCCGATACGCTACTGAAGCAGGTAAGTCAAATTAAAGTATCTAAATTCTTTGACATCTAATCTTTGACAAGTAATAAATAAAAGCTAAAATGCAAGAAAAATATATAATTTAGTTAATTTAAGTGAATTTCATAAATGATCGGTTTACTACACGTATGTATATTACAGTACATCTGCTGGATCTGTGTCTATGAAAGGAATGCGAACAAAAAACATTTAAATAAACAGCAATATATTTTATACGTCGATTTGACGAGTGCGTCACCGCAAATCGCTCCGCCCACTCATTTTATTGGCTACTTGCAAATTTGTTGAATTTTTATTGATGGGACGCGTCGTCTATTTTTTTACGAAAAACATGGAGAGAATCTCGTTTCCCCTCTCACGGATACCCCGTAGCTACAGAACGGACAGACGTACTGTATATAGTCACTTACTAGCGAAAAGTTGTTCCATTATTTCACTCGATTTTTGCCGAGATCTACCGCACGCTACACAACCAACTATTTTAGAGTCTTGTTCGATAAATCGCGATAGTGTCACTGTTAATTTAAGTTCTGCCACAATTTCCATCTAGATTTACTACCTTTATACAACTATCAGTAGTAGAATAAATAATAAATAACATAAAATAAGCTCCGTAAAGACTGACAAATCCACAAAATTTCAAATCAAATTCAAATGTGTCAAATGAATCGTCAAACAGAACTGTCAAAGATCCCCACTATAGAGTGCTTTTTCCCCCACCATGCATGAATACATGGATAGCATTATGCTCCTTCCTTAGTCTTCTTATTCAAAGGTTTTATCCAAACTTGAACATGTCATATGGTATATGCGGAATATTGTATTGTATTTACTAACAGTGGGTTTCAGGTGGGACCCTCCACTGCGGCCGCGAGAGCCTATTGTGATTCAACAGGCAGGTACACATAATGTGCTTAGTGTATTGTGGTGAATTACTGTTTTATTTCCAAAAATAATATTACAAAATACACTTACCGAAACACAAACGTATGCTCTTGTTCGCGTCCTTCATCGTCATCCTCAACCACTACTAATGTCAGTTTCTTCTTTTTAAAATTCAGTTTGCTGATTTTAGGCCAAAAAAACAACCCTATTTTAATATTAGGTTCTTCAAAAACCAGAATCCCTGTAGGAGTTAGGCCTAGTTTGTATTCCATGCTATCTTTTCCCTTAAAAATTCCCAAATGTTTTTGAAATATTTATCACAAAAATTGAAAAAAGTAACTAACCAAGACTGTGTGCATGTCAACACCGTACATTTCGAGCCATTTGGCTTCGTTTAAGTAAGCCAATTCCGCACTGGCTGGGGATAATCCTTTGCATTTTTTAAATTCTTCCAAAATATCAATTTCGAACTGTTCCGTCTGATTTGGAACGAACCTAAATTCAGATACAGTGGCAGGGGTGTGTTGAGTTTCATCATAGTCTCCCAATTCAGCTAAAAATTGTAAACTGTTTTATTAGGAGTAAAAAAAATCTATATCTATACTAATATATAAAATCCTTAAGTGACTCACTGATTAATCACGATCCTGCTCAAACCACTCAACGTAAGAAGCTCAATTTTAACATACAGGTTGATTCTAGGGTGTAGAGGTTCGATAAGAAGGGACCTTTCGAAATTCCAGTTCCAAGGGGGTGAAACCACCCCTCAAATATTACAATATTCTTTATTTAAAAAACGGTCAAGTTTCAGAAAAAACGCTTAAACACGTATATTTTATTTTGTTTTTTTTTTACATATTTTAAGATTTTTTAAAAATGTATACAGGGTGTTTCGAAAAATCTGGTCATTGATTAATCACGATCCTGCTTAAAGCGCTTGACGTAAAAAGCTGATTTTTGGAAAACGGATTGACTTTAGGGTGTAGAGGCTCGATAAGAAGGGATTTTTCGAAACTTGAATTCTAAGGGGGTGAAACCACCCCTCAAATATTAGAATATTTTTATTTAAAAACCGGTGAGTTTTTCGGAAAAACTCTTAACACGTATATTTTATTTTGTTGTTTTACATATTTTAAGATTTTTTAAAAATTTATACAGGGTGTTTCATAAAATATGACCATTGAGTAATCACGATTCTGCTTAAACTTCTTGACGTTTAAAGCTGATTTTTTGGCAAACGGATTGGCTGGAGGTATAGAGGTTCAATAAGGAGGGGTTTCTCGAATATCAAATTCCAAGAGGGTGAAAACGCCCCTCAAATATTACAATATTTGTTATTTAAAAAACGGTTAGTCTTTCGGGAAAACGCTTGGACACGCATAATTTATTTTGTTTTTTACATATAATGAAATTTTTTAAAAATCATACAGGGTGTTCCTAAAAGTTGAGTAATTGATTAACCACGATTCTGCTTAAACTGCTTGACGTAAAAAGCTTATTTTTGGTAAAAGGATTTTTTCGAAAGTCAAATTCGATTCGACGAGATGAAACTACCCCTCAAATATTACCAAGTTATATAATAATATCGCCATATTGTTTTTTGTCATGCTGACATAAATGTGAGAAAATTTTATTCAGTTTGTTTGTTAATGGAAATTCTTGCTTTGCTTTATCATCACCATTACAAATAATTAATCCGACGCGAACGAAGTCGCGGGTACACGCTAGTGCTTAACATAACATAAAGTGTTTTGTGTTTTGGTTTAAATAAAAATGTTTTTAAATTTTGAGTTTATGTTGGAGACAATAAAAGTGTGAAAAATAATAAAAAATTCTGTTTAAGCCTGTTTAACTTAAAAAAACTTACACTGTAAAGCATATGCGGCCAACTTCACTGATATGTCTGGTGGGCAATCTAATCTGCCTTCTAAAATATCTTGTTTCAGCTGCAAAAAAAACTGATATCTCGTCAGTTCCTCCCTCAAATTGTTCGGTTCGGATGAATAAAACTTCACTTTCAATCTCAGCGTATAGGGTGGACCAACTAAAAATATATACATATTGTTGCAAAATAGAAAAAATGTGTGCACTATGTGCTCATATTTGAAGTAAAATTTCTTACTAACGGCTATTAAATTAAAGGATTTGAAAAACTGTAGTTTGAAAGGTTGGAAAAGTAATAAATTAAAAAAAAATCTCTTTTTACGCGTAAAAAATAGTTTTTTGCATGAACAAATAATGTTTTACGTGTAACAAATAGTTTTTTAGTTCTTTCAAATAGATAAATTCAGTCCCTCAATTAAATAAAATTAAAAAAAACTAACTTTTAATTTGCTTCTTGATGGTTTTTGTTGGATCCAGCCAATGTTTCACATGATTGGCATCCGTAAATTGTAAACCAAAATAGTCTTTCTCTATGAGATCTAGCGAGTAAAAGACTTGTTCATATAGATCCTTTGCTTTTGCTTTTTTCTAGAAAAAAAAATTATTCTCTATAAAGATTTACAATAAAAAACAAATAATTAATTTATAAGGTGTCCAAATATTCCGTGAACATAGAACCGCTACGTATTTTAGAATTAAAAGCGTTTGTCAGTAAAGGCCCCCATACACTTCAAACTGTTCAGTTAAAAACCTAAGTGTATGGAAGCCTTAATAGGCTAATACAAATAGGATAATAATAATCTACTATATAATCGAAAAAAAACGCTGTCAAAGACGGCCGGGGAATGACAATCAATGAAAGTTTTGGCAAGGTCAATCTCTAGACGTCATTTTTTACTAAAAATTGGCATAAAACTTCATCAAAAATTAACACTCATAATAGAAAAATTTAAAAAGAATTGAACATTTTCAGCGCCATTAAAAAATAAAGGGTGCAGGCCGAGTAAAATACGTCTAGGGCTTGACCCCGGCAAAATTATCATCGATTTTCATTCCCCTGCCGTGTTCGACGCCGTTTTTTTTCTTTCGAAATTGTGGAATATTATGCCAGTGCCACAAAATGTTTTTAAAAATAAGCTTCATAAATTCGAAATTAACGTTTGGGTTTATTTTTTATCGTTTCATATTATTATAAATTGTGTACAATTAACTTATTTTGACTCCAAAAATGCGTACTAGTCTGCGGAATACTAGAACACCTTGTATAAAACCTTGAATTGTGTAAGTTGTTATTTAAAAAACAATAGTTCCCGTCAACATTTACAAGGGAAAGTAAAAGGTATTGTCTGTTGATATTTAAATTCCCATTAATTCGCCATTCCTACTAGCCCATTTGAATAAAATATTTCTACTAGGTTATTAAGATTAAAACATAAAGTTGACTAAACACTGTTTTGATTTACGACATAAAATACAGTGTGTTCAGTTTGAGAGAAAAAGCAGAGAAAAATGTAAAAAATATATACAGCCAAATAGTTAGCCAAAAAAAAATCCTCTTCCAGTATTTTGTAATGTTTATTTATTCACCATCCTGTATATCCTATAGTAAGAACCTGAGCTGAAGACCTACTAAAATAGATAGTTAATAGGTAGGTGTTTATTAAAAATATTGGTTTCTATCAATTTATCAGCTGTTTGATAACCTGCATTGCAAATTGTTTGCTCTTACTTAGGTAAAAAAAATGTTATTTTTATTCAAGAAGAAAAAATACCATCCACCTACTATCTATATCCCACATAAACAATATAACTAATACAAGCATACAAGCTAAGGATACAAGTTAAATAGCACATTTAAAAAATTATAAATCTACGAGCTTTTAGTAAATTAAAATCAACTTACCGATAATTCCACACTTATATCCGAGCCATCCAAAAGCACAACTTTACACTGTATTAAATTCTTATTGGAGTTTTTATTCGAGTTTCTACCACTTGTTGAATTCGTTGCATTTCTGCCTTTCCGTACACTTAGGAACCGAAACATATTTAACCACCTAACTTAATCGTATATTACTTATATTTATTCGAACATACGAGTACAAAAAATGCTGTTGGTTGTTTAACCCATATAATTAAATTTTTCACTTAAATTAAACGGTAATAACAACGGCTAAAAATAATTTTGTCGACGCTGTACGGCCATCTTGTATTCCACTGACATTTTAATTAATTAAGTCAACCAGAGAAGTCAACCATTTCTAGCACAGGTAAAGACAGGTAAGAATAGTAAGGGGCTAGATTAGTAATTAGTGATTGGTATTGTGATTCGCAATGTGCAGCACAGTTTGTGAACTGAGTGATATAGTTTATAACGATTCATAACTACAAAATCGTGAATGATCCTGCAATAGAATCATAAGGTAATGGTGTGGATCCATGGTACAAAGAATACAAGGTATGATATTGCGCAGGTTGGTCGCTACGTCACAGGTGATAACAGGCGCTATTGGTCAGCACGCTCCGCGCGCCAGTTCAAATCGTCAAGATATTGTTATAAACCTGTTTTTTTGTTTATATACCGTCATTGAATTATCGCCAAGCAAGTTACTGTGGAGAAGTGCGTAAGGAGTTGGGCTAGGAAGCGAGAGACCCGAGTTCGAATCTCGGCCGGGACATAACTTTTTATTTATTTTTTTAAATACTGTTGTATTCTATAGTTTATTTTTGTAGTATAAAAAGAAAGAACTATTTATTCCGTTATTTTTTAATCTCCGTTATTAATATAAATTGATTGTTAGTACAATACCTCATTTAATATAAAATAATATTCTACTTTTTGAAATGTATCGGGCCCTAATTGTACCTAAAAGTAATATATTTTTAGTGATATACCATATTGTAAACTATTTAATATTTTAGTCACTTAAAAAGTTAATTTGCATTGAATAATTGCCTACCATTAAAGGAAATTTGAGCTATATAATCCTTGATGGGCATATTCTGGGTATGCAAATACTTCCTTTAAATTTTGGGTGTCGTTCAACCGATTTATTCTCAAAACCAGAAACTTCTACATATAAAAAGAAGCAGAGGTCACTAATTATAATAAACTTCACCCTTGGTATTACTTCCACTAATTATAATAAACTTCACCCTTAGAATTACTTCTATCACAATTACAATACGTTCATCTGCATTGGCATTTTCTACTTTTCGATGGGAAACAATAAACTTCCCAATATTTTTTAAATGATGTAACAATTCCTCTTGTGGTTACTTTTCCATAGATATCCTCAACTCTGTCCTCATGTGAATTCAGAGGCAATGAAAATGAAAATTATTTACCATAAACATCGCAAACTAAAAACCTAATAAACAATTTTATACCGAATATAGAAATAAATTCAGTATTCTTACCTATCGTCCAAATCCATGTTAATAGATAATTATTATTTTTAAATATATTTTTGGAACTGCTGGTTTTAGTAATTATTAAATTAAACGAACTAAAAAGTCTTAAAAATAAACAATTCTTAACCATAACCCCAAAAAATGCAGATCTCCTGTCAACTTTCTTTATTTTTTATTTATTCATTATTTTCCTGGTGACGTCACAGGTGGTATGCGCGAACTGAACGAAATTGGAGCCGCTATCGATCATACCTTGTATTCTTTGTACCATGGTGTGGATCCGGTGGCTGACCTTGAAACGAGTTTCTGCTGCATATAGCCACAGACACTACGCATGCGCACATCTTCGATGTTGCCAGATTGTAAGTTATTTTCAGTAGAAAACAAATATGTGCTTTTCAGTGTTTTTTGTCAATATATACCGTATGATCGAAAAAACGGCGTCCAGTTGGCTGGGAAATGACGATTATGAACATTTCCCATATAAAATGACAGCGATCTTCATTTCATAGTCATCGCTGACGCTATTTTTTTTCAATCATAGTACGCGGTATATTATTTATATCAAGGATTTATATATTATTTTAATATTTCGCACAACACGTGAACTCTTATTATGTATTTTCATAGTCAATAAAATTAAATAGAAATAAAATTCTAGATTCCTATAATTAATCTAATTGCTCTAGATTATTATGCTACGTTTAAAAAGGGCTTTATTAAAAATTCGGGAAATTATATGTCCAAGTTTTTCCTTTTTTTTTTAATTTTTAAATGCTGTAGCTGCATGTCATGTTTATAATAGGTTTTCTGCTACTTTAAGATTTCTCTATTCTTACACATAATTTATGTGATTTTCTTAGCTATAATATGATTTATAAACCATATTTTTCCTAATGGAAGGATGGAATAGAATATGCAAAATTAAGATATTTTAACATTTATTTTCCAGACAAAGCATAAGATTAAGACATAATAAATATTATAAGAAAGATCTTAATATAAATCACAAACTAAGTCTTAATTTGGTCTTGTATAAACACAGGTATAAAACTAATAAGATCAAAACTCAACCTTCACCATATTGTCAAGATTTGGCATTATAGGAAACAAGAAATTGCAGTAAATTAAGAAAAGAATATCAAAGTACACGATATTAAATACTGTAATGTATTCTACGATACAAACCATCTCCCTTCTAAAGAGAAAAAGATAAAACATAAAGCTTATTTTAGTCTTATCAACACTCTTCGATAAAATATATGTCTAAAATTGCTATTAATCCACTAACTTGATATTTTTAAGAAATTATATGATACAAACATTACAATCAAAGTATATTATATTAGTAACATTATAGGTAAAATATGTTACCTCTATCTCCCATTGACGTGTATTGTTCTATAAGACTCGTCATGGTAATATTTCAAAACATCAATATACATAATATAATGAAAACTATTGTTGCCTGTAAATAACTAGAAATTAAATAACTTGAAAGAAATAAAATAATTCTAATAAGTTTAAAACCATTAGAAAAAATCCGTAAATGATAATTTTTAATTCTAATGTAAATATATAAATAAATGTTATTATTATTCAACCACTTCCATATCTCTGTTATTATTACGTACAATTTTATATATTCATAATACTTTCATTTCACAATCTTCATTATCCTTCTTACCTTAATTTTGGATATCAAGATAAATCTGAAATTTAAAATTAATTATAGAATTTGTATTATTATTGATTAACATTCAAAAAAAAAATTCAACTGCAAATAATTCGAAAATAAACTGCAATTTGGCAACATCGACGATGTGCGCTTGCGTAGTATCGATGATCAAATGCTGCAAATATAGCCTTCAAGGTCAGCCACCGGATCCACACCTTTACCCATAATAGAATAGAATGAATAGAATCCAAAATACATAAAATCAATCTATGCATAGAATTTATATATGATACCTCTGTATATGACAGTGACAAATGCCCAACCCTGATCGAGATGCATTTCTCTGTGGTAAAATTAGTTCTAATGGTCACCAGCATTTAATCTATGGCTAATGGCTACGAGTTAACCTCACTTAATGTTATCAAACAATATAATCAGTTATTTTTTAAATTTAAAATTCTAGGATTTAAAACTATATTAATTAATTATAGGAGATATTATCTTGGTTTATATCTGATTATTTTGAGGTTTTAGAAATATGAAAAGGTTTTAATTTATTCTTCTGTAAAACACCCTGAATTTTGTCTATCCTTTGTAATTTTGGTATAAACTGGAATAAAATAAACTAAAACTATTCCCACGTATGTATTATTTGTGTTCTCTATAAAGTATAATTACCCTATCTTTAATAGAACTGCAGGAAAGTTGGCCTTTGCGCAGAATAAATTATGGCTACAGAAATAAAACCCATTAAAAGACTTCAACAAGATGTAGTCAATCGAATTGCAGCTGGTGAGGTCATACAAAGACCGATGAACGCCTTGAAAGAACTAATTGAGAACAGTTTGGATGCCAAGTCCACAAATATTCAGATAACGGTTAAAAATGGGGGACTGAAATTTTTTCAGGTTTGAACAAAAATTATTTACATTAGTAAGTGTATAACCTCTTTATAATTTAAATATAGATCCAAGATAACGGTACAGGAATTCGTAAAGAAGATTTTGAAATAGTCTGTGAAAGATTTACCACTTCTAAACTGACAGAATTCGAAGACCTACAAAAAATCGCTACGTTTGGATTTCGAGGGGAAGCTCTGGCCAGTATTTCACATGTAGCACATTTGTCAATAATATCAAAAACTAAACACGATATATGCGCCTATCAGTTAGTTAAATTAGATATTAAACATGGGTCTATTGAACTATCCAGACAAGATTTTTTGCATTTTTTCTTTTTTGATCAAAATGTAACCATTTTTAGTAGTAAAAAAGTAGTTTTTAGTAGTAAATAAGATACAATATTTTTTATAGGAAACATATTTTCTACATCTGAATTTATTTAAATAATCTAAGAAGTTCAATTTTAAGGTAAAATAGGTTTCATTTTCTAAAAGAAATTTGTGTCTGGAGAGTTCACTGAAACCTAGATATGTTTTTATTTGATTAATTAAAAATATATCTTTTAGAGCAGAGTTTAATGATGGCAAGTTAAAAATGCCCCCCAGACCCATGGCGGGTAATCAAGGCACTATAATTACAGTAGAGGATCTTTTTTACAATATGACTGTTCGTAGACAAGCTTTACGTTCACCTGCTGAAGAATATCAAAAAATTTCTGAAATAGTTAGCAAGTATGCTATACATAATGCGTCTATAGGTATGTAATTTTGTTGCGTCACATAAAAGGGCGGAGCTTAAAACCTTTCCAGTCGCAGCTCCGCCCATATACAGGGTGTTTCAAAAAACGTGTCATCTCCCGTGTGGAGATTCCTCACATAAAAATAAGATTTATTTTCCATATCAACATGGGTCCAATTCTGTTTTATTAATATATTATAATTTTCTTCCAAGTGCTTTTAGCGATTCGAATGAAATTTGGAGGGTAAAAGTCTCTGTGAGTACCACATATTTTATTGCTGTGTCGACAGATTCACCATGGACGTGCATATGGGTTATCACTGGAATATTTTTCTAAAAAAACATGTGCGCCACTGACTTTTTTTCCTCTTATTGTCGAAAGTGTATAGGCCATTTAATGGCGATTAAAAGTTGTATCTTGATATTTTATCTACGCAATTTTATTAATCACAATAAAATTAAAATAAAATTAATAAATTATTTAATGTAAATTACTAAATTTTATTAAAATTTATAACACTGATGTGCAGTTTACTACAACAAATTCCCCCAAAAAATAAATAAAAATAATTACAAAAGACCTATTGCCCACGAGAGATGGCACATGTTTTTTGAAACACCCTGTATAATATAGGCTGTTATTGTCCGTTTTTAGGTTTTGCATTAAAGAAATACGGAGAAAATAACGACATACGGACATCGCAAAATTCGAATTGTACGGAAAATATTCGTTTAATATACGGAAACTGTATCGCACGGTATAACATATATTTATGCGTTTCATATTATATAAGTCGCTTAAAAGTATCTTTTGTATTTTAGTGAATTAGTAGAATTTGATTTTGAAAATAGAGACTTGGACTTCAAAGTCAAAGGGTACATGACGAATGTGAATTATTCACATAAAAAATATCAGTTTATTCTTTTTATAAACAACCGATTGGTTGATTGTCAAGGTAAGACTAGAAGAAAGATTAAAGCTTAATTTTCATGCGTCCGTTATCCGTTGATACTGTTACGTTTTTCGTCGGTTCCGTGTCGATAGAAAGTCTAATTTATTTAATTTTACACTAAGTAACAAAACAATAACGATTAAAGAACTATTTACAAACTATTTATCTAGAAGGAATTTATTTTGAATTGCGCGGCAACCGTACGTGTCTATTTGTTTCTGTCCTTCCTTTGCACAGGGTTATATACCCACAGCTAAACAGTTCTGGAATAGTCTATTAGATCATTAGGTGCATAGACAAGGTTTAGAATCTTCTCGTATGTACGCCTCCATTTCAGTGGAACTCGATTGTTCTCGAACGTTCGATGAATCATTATGTGTCCCTTCTTTAATGCGATTCCAGGTCATATGGGGGCGGGACATATTAGTTAGGTTAGGCCGAGTCCACATGGGTCCGCAACAATACGATGGTGTTACCGATAGCGTTTTGGCGCCACTTTTCACCCTTAATTTTTTTACTCCAGCCCATCAACGGAGGAAGATCGTACGATAACGGACGTTTTTCAATTCCAAATTTAATCTAACCTTAATAAAAATATAATAGTACAAGAGCTAACACCGTCGGGAAAACGAGAATTTTAAGAAAGCTGTTTCGTTAATATATATATCTTTTACTATACTCCCCTGGCCAAAGTGTTGACCGTCTGGCTGCCGGTAGACTACTGCGGTTCACCCCGTGTGTTTTATGGGATTTCTCGTTTAGGAGTAGATATGATGATGCGATTTTCACATTACTTTGCTATAAAATTTACTACTTTTTTATGAAACTAAATATGCTATTCATAGGTTCGTGTCCTAGCCTCCTTAGTTCCTTAAATACAGGGCGAATTTGTGATGCGCAGTAGTGAAGAGATGTTGAATACAGATATAATGCGCAGTAGTAAACACAACGTCTACCGGCAGCCAGACGGCCTGCACTCTGTTCAGGAAGGATATATTAAAAAACAACTTTCTTAACATTCTCTCCCGAAAACGTTGCTAGCTCTTAGACTATAAGTTAAAACAGCGAAATCGTTATGGAAATGAAAATATAAAATGACACCAATCAAGGAAATCGTATATCCGATGAACGGAATCTAGCATGAAAATGTAGTAAATTTAAAAACTGCGTAATTTTCTAACCAATCGAAGCCTTTAAATAAAACCAATCAAATGAATATCGTATCGTCGGATAACGGACGCATGAAAATCAAGTTTAAAGCAAGTTTAAGTGGCAAGTAAAAATATGTACTGTAAAATTTCAGGTTTAAAAAAATGTATCGACGCAATTTATCAAACGTACCTACCGAAAAATAATCATCCTTTTGTGTACCTTAGTTTAGAATTAAATCCACGAAATATAGATGTTAATGTTCATCCTACAAAACACGAGGTTCACTTTTTGAATGAAAGTGAAATTGTTGAATCCATCACGACTGCTATAGAACAAAAACTGCTTGGATCAAACAATGCTAGAATATTTTATACTCAGGTACTACAATATGATCGAAAAAAAAACGGCGTCAGCGATGGCTTTGAAATGAAGATAGCTGTCATTTTATATGTAAAATTATATGGGGAATGTCATTGATCGTCATTTCTAAGCCTACACGACGCCGTTTTTTTTCGGCATCATACGGTAAAATATATAATATTATTTATTTATTATTATTTGTTAACGATTTTAGTCTAAGTTACCAAACGTCCATTTTGAGACTGCAAAACCCAAAACTAACCAAACGCTAAATACATCAGAAGTGGAACCAAAATATTTGGTACGTTGAAAGGTTAAATATGGTCGGCTTTGATTAAAACTAACGACGGTTTTCTGCAATTTTCATTACAACATTGAGGTATAAGTGATACCAATTAAGCTTTTAGTTACGTAATCGGGGGCGCGATTTTTAAATTCATTGTTGCCAACCACAGACATATTCGGCGCCGGGCTGACTAACTGGAATTTAAATTTCCTGCTGGGGATTCAGGTGGTAGCTCTGCTGTAAAAAATGTCAAGTTGCCACATTTATTTATTTATTTCCTGACGTTGTCATTCGTTTTGACCCTTGTCATGCCTTTATGTCCCTTAAGTGCTGTTAAGGAGGTGAGTTTTGTCGATGTAAATAATAATAACTGTTTACATATTTATAATTAATTAATTATTTTTGTTTCCTGAAATATTTTGATTAAAAGAAAATATGTAAAAGTGGGCAACGCTGTGCTGGTCAAGCTTAATCACGTGACTAAAAGTTTATTTGGTATGAGCTATAGATTGGCATGGAATGGTAGTTTATACTGTTTTAATTTACAAGGTTGATTTGTCAATTTTTGGATACCAAAATCAAATATTCTCTTGTCAGAGAGGCTGTAACATACCTAATGACGTAATATAGAGTCAGTCCAACGAGAAATTACATGACATTGACAGAAGTATTGAAAGTTATTTTCCTGTCATTTTTTTGGATGTAATCTGTCAAAATCCTCGCTGACTCTTTAGACAGGCTTTATTTACTTAATATTATGCATTGTAATTTTTAAAGAGTTGCTTATTAAAAACCTCTCTCACTAATTATATACAAATACTTTTAAATGTATTGATTTTTAATAAATAATAAAAATTTCAGGTACGAACAGATTCGAGTTTACAAAAACTCGATAAGTTTTTTGAAGTAAAGTCAAAAAAAGATAAATGTACAACGAAAAACACACTAAATGTATCTCTAACAGAAGAGCAATACCAAGAATGCCACAAGGAATTCGTCAAAGATCATGAACATTTCAATAACAAATTATTTAAAATTACAGATTCACATACTACTCCTCTAGTACCAGGTATTTTACACACTTATATAATTATTATTTAATACAGTAAGTATTTTTTATGTAAAACCATAGGTAATGTTGAAGATGTACCAAAGAAGTCTATCATTGTTGAAAATGATTTAAAACTGGACCACAAAATGGGTAATAGTCCAAAAAGTAAGAGAAAAAATAAAGATTTATCGAAAAGCGAAGAAACAGTGACATCCGGAGGACCTAGTATACATTTAATTAAAAGAACTACTAGGTATTTAAATCTACCTTATCTATTAGTTTTAGTAAACAAAAAAAATTGTAGCTAACTTAACTATATTTTAAAGCTTGTACTTGTAGAGTAGAGACAAAGCTAGCGAGTGTTTTAACACTCAGGAAAGATGTGGAGAATAATTGCCATAGAACTCTGAGAGAAACGTTTGCTCAACATGTGTTTGTAGGCGCTATTAACCCAAAACAAGCCCTTATACAGTACAACATTCAGTTATTAATGTGTAACACAATGGAAATTCTGCAAGAATTTTTCTATCAACTCATACTTTATAATTTTCAGAATTTCGATTGTTACAGGTAAAACAACATTTTACAACCTTAGATATTACAAGCTATAAGTAATACTCCTATAGCATAGTATAAGGAAACTAGTAGCTTTACTCCTTGTCAAATCCTTTGTTCTATTTCTGCCACTTTATATGACCTTGTTCTCGCGTCCCGTGACCACTGACGTAGCTGCATAGTCGTGGTCTATAACTAGGCAAAGGATAGTCGTGGCACTCGCCATAGTTTCACAGAGATGTATTTAGGAAAATATGAGTTCACAATAAAATAAAATTAAAAAAAATTGATCATCAAGTAAAAAATTTGCTTGAAAACAGAATATTTTCACATTTCGTGTAAGTAACAATTTTTCTGTATCTGAAAATCTTCTGATGGGAAGAAATGCGGAAAAAATATATTATGACATATTTTTATATTATTATCTTGTTCAAAGATTTTCTACAACTTTTTTTTTAATTTAAACCAACTTTAATTTTAACATTAATGTGTTTGTTTTGTAGTAATATATTGGTTAGGTGATTTTCATTGGATAACTAATACATTGAAGAACACATTGTACTAAATAATAAAATAACATATTTAAACTTCAATAATAGCTAATAAACATTACAGAAATTTCAAAAGAGAAAAGGAGCAAGAACAATGAGAAATAGCATCACTACTTTCTCATGTAATAAATGAATAATTTTTAGTTATTGTTACCGAGTCCCGAAGGTACCCAAAGAACCGAGAATTAATAATTTCGAGTCCCGGTTCTTTGATATCTCAAAAGAACCCGGAATTTCCGGTTCTGAACCCTAGTTACCATATTATCAAGAAATTATGTTTTTTTAACTAAAAACTAAAAAAAATTCCAGATTTTTTTTCAAAAAAAAATTGCTCAGAAAAATCCTCATATTTCTGGAACCAAAATATACTACCTCTAAAAATATTTGCACTTATTAAGACTCGCCCTGTATAGGGCGATTTACGGTTATGGTACGTTATGGCGTTTCCAGAACCGGAGCTGTTTTTCGGAACCGGTAATTTGGGTACCATGTCTCTAAGGAACCGGGATTTCCAGTTTTTTTCGGTACTTTCGGTACTAGCAAATTTTTTTCAATGATGGTGCAGTTTGTACACGTGTGCTCAGCAAAGAGAACACTGTTTTAGATTTGCCAAGCCTCTGTCTATCAAAGAGCTCGCCCTGATTGGTCTGGACCTTCCAGATACAGGGTGGACTGAAGATGACGGTCCCAAAGAGGAACTCGCAACCAGGGTTAGTGAGATTTTAATAGGAAAGGGGGCAATGCTTAATGAGTATTTTTCGTTAGATATTGATAAGGATGGAAATCTCAGGACAATACCTATTTTATTAGGTAGGTAACTCAGTTAACTCACTCAGTTAGTAATTTCATAATGTACTTAAAATTTTCTAAACGAACTGATCTCAGACACACCCTAAAATCTTTGAATAAAAAGATTAAGGAAGGAGCATATCAAAAAACTTGGGATGGGGACCTAAAATGGCCGATTTAATTTCCGGTTTATCAGTGCCGTTCTAATTTTATTCAAAACGTGTAAAAATATGATGTAGGGTAGACTCAATAATTTGATGTTTTATTTTACGTTGTCAATAAATGTTGGTAGTTGTTAAAATTGTTGTAAATATATATAATTCTAATAAAAATAAGTTATAATAATTATTTAATGACACAAACATCCGATACGCTACCCTATGTCAAATTGATGTATCTAAATTCTTTGACTTCTAATTTTGACAAATAGTAAATAAAAGCAAAAATGCAAGAAAAAATATATAATTAGTTAATTTTAAGTGAATTTCATAAATAATCGGTTTACTACACGTACTTATTATTTCATTTATATTATATAGTCACTTACTAGCGAAAAGTTATTCCATTATTTCCCTCGATTTTTGACCGAGATCTACCGCATGCTACACAACCAACTATTTTACAGTCTTTTTCGATAAATCGCAATAGTGTCACTGTTAATTTAAGTTCTGCCACAATTTCTTTCTAGATTTATTACCTCTAAACAACTCCCAGTTGTAGAATAAAAAATAAATAACATAAAATAAGCTCAGTAAAGACTCAGATTCAAATGTGTCAAATGAACCATCAAACAGAACTGTTCGTGTACCATGCATGAATACATAGATTGAATTATACTCCTTCCTCCTTTCTTAATCTTTTTATAATTTTTTATTCAAAGTATTGATTTTTTTTTCGGTCCTAACCCAGTTATTATAAAAAAACAGAGGCCCGATTCTGTAAACACTTCTCTTGTCTAGTGACTCATCAATCGTATACAATATTAAATCGCCAACACCCGAAAACTATACTGCATACAGGACGGAAAACAACACTCTAAAAAACATAATCGCAAGTGCTAGACAAAACTACGAAAAATCTATCGCCTCTTCCAGCTCACCAAAAAAAATTTTTAAATATATTAATAGGATATACTGTCTACAAAAGTATCCAGTTTCACTCTTAAAAAACCCAACAATGGATTACCTATCATGGACGACTGTGACATTGCTGAGGAATTTACACACCAGTTTGCATCAGTCTTTACGACAACCAATGACTCTTACATTCCAACGCTTTCACAGAGTTCTAGGCTTCTGCAAGAGATTACTAACATAGAATTTACAGAGCTCAACGTTAGCGAAGCCATAAAATCATTAAAAACTGACAGCCAGCCCGGGTCCAGATAGTGTACCGACTGTTTTTCTTCAGAAATGTTGTCATGCCCTCGCACAACCTTTAGCATGTCTATTTAATGATTTACTAATATCTCGCAAATTTCCAGATATTTGGTCTCTTTCTTTCGTTACACCGCTTCACAAAAAGGGAGACAGACAGTTAGCTGGTAATTACCGACCAATTAGTCTAACTAGCTGCATCTGTAAATGCATGGAAAAGGTAATCATCCGCACACTTACTCCATACCTAATGGAAAAAGATGTCTTACCCAGCACACAGCATGGATTTCTTCCTGGTCGATCCACAATAACGAACATGTATCTTGTCTTAGCGATTGGACAGCAGCCTTTGATAGAAACCAACAAACAGACGTCATCTATCTTGACTTTGAAAAGGCATTTGATAAAGTACCCCACAAGATGCTTCTTTATAAACTAAACCACTACAGCATAAGAGGGAATTTATTCAAACTTATATCAAACTTCCTAACCCGACGCTACTTCCAAGTCAGAATAAACGGATCTCTTTCAACTAAATACAAAGTGACCAGCGGTGTTCCTCAAGGCTCTGTGTTGGGCCCACTGTTGTTCCTCCTGTATATCAGTGATCTGGCAAGAGGCATAAAAACGAATATCATATTTTTTGCGGATGATACAAAGTTATATGCAAATCCCGAAACGAGCTACGTCAATCTTCAGCATGATCTAAAGTTGGTGCAATCCTGGGCCAAACAATGGAGAATGAAACTGAATGAGGACAAATGCACTGTTCTTAGCATTGGAATGAATTGTACGCACAAAACCTACACCCTAAATGAATTAAGTCTAAGACATGTAGAACAACAGGAAGATCTAGGGATTACAGTTACTGGAAACCTAAAATGGTATGTGCATATCTCAAAGATTACTAAAAAAGCAAATTCTCTTCTTTATTTCATTCAAAGAGCATTTCAAGACCGCTCTATTGATCTTATTTTAAAGATATACAAGTCCTACATTAGACCCAAAATAGAATATGGTCAAATAATATGGAGTCCCTATTTTCAGAAGGATATTGATCTCATCGAGAAAATTCAACGCAAGGTGACAAAAATGCCCCCTGAACTTAAGGATCTGGAGTATGAAGATCGTCTTGCGATGTTAAATCTCACCACATTAAAACAGAGGCGTTTACGGGGGGACTTGATAGAGACTTACAAAATTCTAAATTGCTTCTACACTTGCCCATTAAATATATACCATCCTTGCCAAACTCCACAACTTAGAGGCCACAGCAGACGCCTGGAAAAGGAAAGATCGTCCAAACTCCAGCGAAAAAAATTTTTGACTAACCGCATAGTGTACCCGTGGAACTCGCTGTCAGAAGAAAGTGTTTCAGTACCAACTCTCAACTCATTAAAAACAAAATTGATCAAGAAATGAATACCTTGAGTTCTGTACATTTGCATTACGGCCAGTGAACTCGAAAAAAATTACGCGCAACATAAAAAGACAGTAGACTCATCGGTATTTTTATACCGCTTTCTATTGTGTAAATAATAATAAAAATAATAAAATCGCATAGGCTAGACAGGAAATTTCTTGCTACGGAGCTTACAGAATCCCACTGCAGTATATTTAATTTAGTATTTGTTTTTTACAGAAAACTACATACCTGATCTTTCCGGTTTACCATTATTTCTAATCCGTCTGGCTACAGAGGTAGATTGGGAAACCGAAAAAGAATGTTTTCACACATTCTCACAAGAAACAGCCATATTCTACGCGAATGTTCCAGAAGAAGATAACGCATTTAAGAAATCCTGGAGATGGGTGACTGAATACGTCTTGTACCCAGCCATAAAAACATATTTTTTACCTCCAAAGGACTTCAGTGATACAGCCGCTATTTTAGAAATAGCCAACCTACCTAATTTGTATAAGGTTTTTGAACGATGTTAGTTACTTAATAATAATATATTTCTTATTTTCTTAAATAAATATATTTTCTTCATTATTTTTTTATTTCTTCCTATACAAACTAAAGTAACATTCACGTAAAAAAATAAATTTTATTCTTATTTTAGGATAATGTTTTAATTATTTTTTTAACCAACAATTCCCTGGCTAACTCTCTGAGACAGTAAGGCATTAACTACAATAAAAAATAACAAATTGGGATACAGCTAAGGCGTCCATTAATTGTGAGACGTGAGATTCTGGGTATTGATAATTGATATTCCAAATATCGAGAACCATTACTCGTAGCGATTTTTACCAAGAGACCTTTTTTTACGTAAAAAACGTCACAAATGTATATTTTTTAACTCAGTAGTTTTATACAGGTTCGTACGAAAGGTTATTAGCCTTCAAACCAGTTAAAAAATATGTAAGTGGCGCCCTCTACAAGAAGGAGTCATATTGACATCAAAATAAAATTTCTCGTGTCCAAAAACTCCCAGACACCAATTTTCATCCAAATATTGACGTTACTTCAGAAATTATTTGGAAAAAATTGAAATAAAAATGAAACTCTACACCCTGTATCTCGGAAACTAAGCATTTTTAGACATTATTTACATTTATACAAAGTGTTTTACTTGTAGTTATATGCAGAATATGACGGAGTTCCCGGAATACAGTTCGGACCACCCTGTATACTAAATAAATCTACAAAATACTAAACTGTTACTAAAATAACATCTACTATTATACAGAAGAATCGTGTCAGATTTCGACATAGTCTAGAAGTATATTTTACTTCTGAATTATATATATACCTACTATCTGATTTTCTCTAATTTTTACTCATATTTTTTTGCCCGAAAAAAATTACGTGGGATATTTACCCTTATTTACCGAAACCTGAGACCATAGATAAATGCAACAAGTTTAGATTGGAAAGCCCGTAAAAATTTTGGGTCGCGAAATTATTTTGGGTCGCGACCGTTATACGCGATCTGGCGCTGCTATAGCGGTCGCTAAGAACAACGGCAAACAAAAACAGAAATAATTTTCTCTTGTCAAAGTCAGAATCTTCAAAAATCATAATAATCTTTCAAAATCGAAACTAGCGATGGGAACTATCGAATGAATTAGACTATCGAATGGTTACTGAATTAATGATTTCAACTATCGAATGGTTTTATTCGAATAAAATCATTCATTCATTTGTATACTAAAGCATATGTGACAACCTCGCCGTGCAACTAAATAGTTATCGTTGAGCTACGACTATCGAATGCTTTTGATAAATGAAATTTAGTTTTCGTTTGACTTTTGTGTGCGTCAGTGCATTATTAGTTCTTCCAAATTTTTATAACTTCACCTTATAAATACTGTGCTATTTTTGCGTTTATTAAAATATTTAAAATACTAAAATAGTAGTTTTTTTTAATTGACGATTGTGTGCGTGTGCAGGTGTCAAAATTTTTCCGATAATTTGTGTGATTTTCCGTAGCCCGATCTTTCAATTATTTTATTTTATATGGTATATATGGTCTATTTTTTAATGGGAAATTTTGAGAAGTAGCAATTTTTAAGAGAGATGAGATGAACTTAGAATTAATTTTAAAAATACATATTTGTATTTTAGATGTTTTAATAATATGAATTAGTTGAACTTAATAATCATATATATTTAAGTAATGTGGATAAGTAAATGGTTATCGAACTCAAACTATGGGGTGTGAAAATTAAATTGAAAGTTTTACACGTGCCAATTTAAAAAAAAAGTTAACGACGTTTGTATTTTGTTTATGCTAATTCTCTTACATGTAGTTTTTTGCAAAGAAATATTTCATTTATTTTTTAAAGTAAATGCCAGTAAAAGTAAATATTATTTTTAAATAGTAATATAAAGTACCTAATATAAATAATTTTGATTTCTAATTGTTTATTTATATTTTCCTTCCATTACACTGCATGCTTAGAAAATTAATAAATGTTTATATTTCATGATTTTAAAGTTTGTTGTTAATATAACAAATTAGTTCTGTAATTATTATTATTCTATAAACCAACGTTGCCACAAACAATTTAAAGACTATATTATTTTTAAATAGGATCTAATATAAATAATTTTGACATCTAATTTGTTGTTTATATTTTGCTACTACGTAAAAAAATGGTTATATTAAATGATTTTAAATTTTGTTGTTAATAGGTATAACAAATTATTACTGTTATTATTATTTTTATTAAACCAGTCTTTACTTAAAAACATTAAAAATCATTTTCCTACATCCAAAATAACAAGTATTATTGCAGTGTAACAACAGAATATTAATAAAAAAATGCAAAATATATAGACATACTATCCCTAACTAACTAAAGCCAAACAATAATATTCTTTGCTAATATCAACTAATACCAATATATGGCAACAGCGCCCTTCATAATGTATTTTCTGTGTAAATACTAGCACCTCAATAAAAAAATAATGTGTCCTTATCTTTATATGACTCCGCAAAAAATCAAAGATGCCGGCTTCTTTCATAGCATTGCCACCGACCGCCTGTCGGGTTTCTCGGAAAGAAACCTACGTCGCCGGGCTAAAATCCAGTTAATATTTTTTTATAATGGATCCTGACGAATAAATGAATGAATTTTATAAATGAATGAATTTTATAAATGAATGGTTTTTGCTGCCGAATTACTAGAATACAATATTTCAAGGCAGATGACGCATCTATTCGATAATTTTTATTCGAATAGTTTTCAACGAATGTTTTTTTATTAGCTATCGAATTATTCGAATGAATTGCAACTATCGAATGTTTCGATAGTATTCATTCGATAGTTCCCACTACTAATCGAAACCGCTCTCATTAAAGAAATTCCGAAAAGTGTTTATAGCGTCCATTTTCAAAGTAATTATTGCTATCTTGTGAGCTTAATTCAAGTTTTATTTACTTCAACCGGTGATATTGCGAAAAAGTGGCATTAAAAACTTAAAAAGCTATGCTGTGAACTGTGAACAACCATCGTGGATCGTGGCATAACGTCGGTTTCCATTCATAGGTATTTCATACATACGTCCTTATATAAAATTAAGTTTCTTTTATGCAACACACTGTATTTTATTTATAAAATTAAACGAAAATAATAATAAATTTGAATAAACAATATTTGGCGATATAATTCCGGAAAAAGCCGAACCGCTCCGAAATTTTCAAAAGTTTTGGGTCGCGACCGTTGCAAGAATAGCGCCAAATAGTGTTTACATTGTCCTTATGGGCACTTTCCAATCTAAACTTGTTTCATTTATCTATGCCTGAGACAGTAAAGGTACGCGCACACTGACCAGAGCCGCACGCGCCGCATCGACCGAAGAAAAATATTGTTTGTGTTACTTTCAATAAAGGTGCGCACACTAGCCAGAGCCGCACGAATCGCATCGACGAAAATGCGGCCAGCATTGTTGGGCCAGAATGATTTTCGGTAAACGTCTGCTGACGTCACACGCAATTTCTTCCACTCTACGTAGCGTAGGTAGCCGAAGAGGAGATTAGAAATTCAATATGCTAAGAAAGTTCGCAAATTTTTCATGGCTCGTATTGAAATATTAAAAATTTTTTAGTTCATCCTCAATTAAATATGGAGATAATGTGGATTTTTGCCAATATTGTGAGCCTATAACTTTCGATTCTTTCTCGTGATTTCTTCATCTTCTATTAGCAAGGAGCTCATAATTATTTCTTGTTCGTTGTCATTTATTGTCGAGAAATATTAAGAGAAACACGCTTATCACCGCAGACAGGAGTCCGGAAGCGATTGATGAGAAATATATAAACGAATATCATATTTTTTGTGGATGATACAAAGTTATATGCAAATCCCGAAACGAGCTACGTCAATCTTCAGCATGATCTAAGGTTGGTGGAATCCTGGGCCAAACAATGGAGAATGAAACTGAATGAGGACAAATGCACTGTTCTTAGCATTGGAATGAATTGTACGCACAAAACCTACACCCTAAATGAATTAAGTCTATGACATGTAGAACAACAGGAAGATCTAGGATATAGAAGATATAGATATAGAAGACCTATGATCTAAGGTTGGTGGAATCCTGGGCCAAACAATGGAGAATGAAACTGAATGAGGACAAATGCACTGTTCTTAGCATTGGAATGAATTTGTACGCACAAAACCTACACCCTAAATGAATTAAGTCAATGACATGTAGAACAACAGGAAGATCTAGGGATTACAGTTACTGGAAACCTAAAATGGTATGTGCATATATCAAAGATTACTAAAAAAGCAAATTCTCTTCTTTATTTCATTCAAAGAGCATTTCAAGACCGCTCTATTGATCTTATTTTAAAGATATACAAGTCCTACATTAGACCCAAAATAGAATATGGTCAAATAATATGGAGTCCCTATTTTCAGAAGGATATTGATCTCATCGAGAAAATTCAACGCAAGGTGACAAAAATGCCCCATGAACTTAAGGATCTAGAGTATGAAGATCGTCTTGCGATGTTAAATCTCACCACATTAAAACAGAGGCGTTTGCGGGGGGACTTGATAGAGACTTACAAAATTCTAAATTGTTTCTACACTTGCCCATTAAATATATACCATCCTTGCCAAACTCCACAACTTAGAGGCCACAGCAGACGCCTGGAAAAGGAAAGATCGTCCAAACTCCAGCGAAAAAATTTTTTGACTAACCGCATAGTGTACCCGTGGAACTCGCTGCAGAAGAAAGTGTTTCAGTACCAACTCTCAACTCATTTAAAAACAAAATTGATCAAGAAATGAATACCTTGAGTTCTGTACATTTGCATTACGGCCAGTAAACTCGAAAAAATTACGCGCAACATAAAAAGACAGTAGACTCATCGGTATTTTTATACCGCTTTCTATTGTGTAAATAATAATAATAATAATAATAATAAATTCGATTGGCAAATACGGGTGTAGTAGGGGCAAAAAGAAACAAAATAGCGAATAATTCAGCCTGGGCGGCGCATGCGGCTCGGGTCAATGTGCGCGTACCTTAAGAGTTCTCTCAACCTTACGTGAGATTTAGATTTACCTCCCCCCTTGATTCCCTTCACACAATCAATGGACGCCCCCCAAAATGTAAAAATACTCACTCTTATTTAATTTGCGAATATCCTCTTGATATTCCTCATTTTTTCTCTTAGACAACATCAAATTTCTTGTAATTTCCTCGAATTTTTCTTTATTATAATTAGCTTTATAATTTTCGAACGATGTTAAAATATGATTAGCGCGAAGTTGTTCTTCCTGGAGTAACTTTTCCTTTGCTGTAAGCAGCTGTTGAAGTTCTTCAACCTTTAAAAAAAATGGCTAATAATAAAAAAATTAAAATATATACAGGGTGTCCTATTTTCGTGTGTTTTGCAAAGGTTGTAAGTCACGTCTTGTATCACCGGAAATTACTACAACTTTTGATTTTTAAATGGCACCCTCGGCATTTTTTTACTTGATTTGATAGAAAATTACACCCCGAGTAATGACATCATATGTCAATTTTTGACATTTTCTCATATGTTTTATCTGAAATTGTAGCATGCGATTCATAACGACAATTTGACTCGAAATACCAAGTGTGTGGTAGCAAATACCAAATTATTCATAAAAAAATACTTTTTCTAAATATGCTAATGAGCCACCCTCGTTCCAATTGAAAAAATTAAGATAATATGATTAACAGGTCAGGACAAGACACGAAAAACATTAGACGATAAAATCTATTTTTCCAAGGCTCCTTGATTAAAAATTAGTGTTTTTAACACAGCCACGGCACTCTAAATTGAAATTTAAAATATGATTTTTTTAAGCGAGATTGTCAAAGTTGACATGAAATGTCATTCTATTCAGAGTGTCATTTTCTAACGAATAAAGTAAAAAAATACCGAGGGTGCCATTTAAAAATCAAGGTGTCATTTCCGGTGAAACAGGAAGTGAAAAACAATTGAATACTAACATACCAAATCTCGTTTTTTTATCTGAAAAAATAAAAAAGTTTTAGGGGTTTTAAAACTTTTGAGATGCATCCGGTATAGTGTGGTATATTCTATTTTTATAAAGGTCATATCAAGGTAAATAAAATAAGAAATGATATACAGGGTATCCTACTTAGAAAAAACATAAGTTTGGGTATATTTCAAGGATGACAGCTCCTATCGAAAAACTAGTTACGCCACTGAATTCTACATGAAAAAAACCGCATCTTTGCACTTCTACTAATAAACGAAAAAATGGGACACCCTGTACTTTATAAAATTACCTGCTGTGATTTGGAGTCGTAATGCTGATTGAACCCAACCAACATATTATTTGCTTGGACTAAATCTTTTGAAAGTTCACTTATTTTACATTCTTTCTGCGTTACAATTATACTAAGTTTTTTTAGATCTTGTTCTAATTCATACTGAAAAATAATCAAATCAATATAATAAAAAACTAAAAAAATATTAAAAAATTACATTTTTCAATTCTAACTTATTGTTAATCCCACGATTTTCTTCCAAGTTTCTTTTTAAATCTGCAATACTTCTTTCTAAATTTACTCTTAATATATTCAGAGATAGATTTTCTTTTTTAATGTTTTGAATTGTTTCATGATTTTCGTCATTTTCTTTTTGTAATCTCTGAACTTTTTCTATAATCTGATTTCTACTGTTATTTCTTAATTTATTTTCTTTTTTAATTATGTTGATTTTACTATGCAAATCGACCATTTGATTTTGGAGAAGGGACAGTTTACTGAAGACTTGGTGCTGAACGTTATGTAATTTGGACGAGAATAGTTCATCTATTTGGTATAAGTCCTGAAAAATAAATTGTTGAATATTTTTTTTCATGAATGCGAGTAGTACTTTTTTGTATCAGTTTAATATGAAAATTATCACTAGCTATTAAAAAAACATAATAGATCTCCAGGGGATAGCTGCATGATGCCAAATGATATACCCCCTTCCTGCAGGTAGTTGATTCTGTTAGTTGTTATATTATAGTACCTTAGAAAATTGAGATACAATTCTATTTCTCACAAGTTCTAAATTTTGAACTTCTGTATCTTTTTGTTGAATTTGTGTCTTAGTTATACTCAATTGTTTCTGGAGTTGTATATTTATGTCCTAAAATGTTTGAATATAATTATGGACCCAAATATTAACTATTTTATGAACTACTTTACTTGTACTTCGCTCATTTCTATATACATCTCGGAAATAATTTCATTTTGATCTGTTATATGCAGCTCTAAAGCTAAATACACAATGTTTTTTATTTTTGATTTAGTATAAAAAGTCAAGGTACATTTTTTGTCTACCAGTTCACACTTTAAAAACCTGCAATACGTGTATGCGTGCTATTTTGAATTAATTAATTAAGTAATAAATAAAACTTACATGTCTCCTTTTAGGAACTGATGTAACATTTCTATAATGTTTGCTTTAAATTCTGTATAATTTATGTCTAAACATTGATTTGTACGAATAATTTCAAAGTCTCTCTTATCAATTTTTTCCGTGAAATTAAAGTAATAAGCTGATGCGTCTTTTAACTTGATTTGCTGAAATTTGAGTCATAAATAACTTTTTATTCTATGAAATTTAAGTACTGGTAAATTCTAAAATAAAAATATAATTACCATTGTTTCTCCATTATCGGATATTATCGTTTTTAAAGACCTTTCTTCGACAAATACATTTTTGTGGCAAATAGGTAATTTTAGCGTTTCCGCAAATAAAATATTGTCCTTTTGGGACATATTTTTCAAAAAAATTAAAAACTCAAACATAAACAAACCTCAACTGCTTTGGCCATAGAATAAATAACAAAGTTTCAACGATAAACCATAGAATAAAAATATATTTAACTTGGAATCAGGGATGAGTATAAAAAAAATTCCATTCCCAGATGGACAAAATTATATATGATTTCATATGATTTCCATATATATAGTCCGTCTCGTGAAAGAAAATATGCTTGTGACAGTAGCTGTCAGTCATTTAATTTTTTAAAACAAAAAATTCAAAAATAATTTTATTCTTTTCCTGGATAGCCTGACCTATTCTATGACTCAGTGTCACTCTCCGCGAATTAAAAGTGAAAAATTGTTCAGTGTCGCATGTCAACATTAGTTTTTAAATTATTTTTCGATATTTAAAAAATATATTTTTTTTTTTCGCCACAACAAAAAAGAACGGGAAAAATAGCGTACTGCGCCGATGTGTGCGCAATGATATGAGATCAAAGTCGCCATATTGGTAACTGTCTAAATCAGAAATTTAAAGTAAGTAAATATAGGGATTTTCCACGTAATAAGTGCAATCTTTTTTTGGTTTTTACTTCTACCGTAATAGTTTATTCCCTTGTTGTTCATAATTAAGTTGAAATATCACAGGTAATTGTATCGATTCACAAGAAATTTTCTCTGTAAAGTGACAAAAGTTGTTGCATAAAATTTACACGAAAGTAAATGGATAAAATATTTTTGCGCTTATATGGGAGCGTTCTGGCAAGAAATCTTACCAGTATTTTCGTAGGTGGAAAAACATACCTATATTTCTCGTAATTTGTGACTCAATCAAATTTCATTCACTCTTTAACGAAAAAAAAACTAATTGAAAAAAAGGATTTGGCAGTATGTATTTGACAGATGTTCTATATATTTTTGACACTGTTCAGGTTTGAGGTGTATCTTCCATAAAACAGTTATATTGGAACTGTTTTAAATATTTCCAAGTTTATCTTAAACTAAAGAAATATTCAGATCTTGAAAACACATCAGTACAACCCTATTGCATTCAGTTTTTTTTTATCTAGAGTTGTATTGCTTGTCACAAAGGAAGAGATCTTTCAGACCTAGTTCTTTAATATTAGTACTTTTTATTTATTTACATTTGCAGAGTACTACAAGGAAATATAAGAAATTCGTTATTTATCGAGGTATCAGTAATCCTAAAACTGACTATTTCATTTACATTAGTTACGTTTAATTTTCAACTTTTAGGTCAAGTTTAAGTGTTGAAGAGTGTGAGTTATTGACGAAGATGTCAGTGCTAAATCAAAGTGGTGAAGAGCAGGTGGAGTGTCCCCTTTGTATGGAACCGTTAGAAGTGGACGATTTAAATTTCTTTCCGTGCACTTGTGGTTATCAGGTAACAAACCTACAGTTAATATATGACTAAAATGTACTACCCGAAGTATTTGATTTACAGATTTGCCGTTTCTGTTGGCATCGAATCCGGCTAGACGAGAACGGAGGTTTGTGCCCGGCGTGCCGGAAGGCGTACTCTGAAAATCCTGCTGATTTTATTCCATTGTCTCGCGAGCAGGTACTATGCACACTTTTTGTGATAAATAATAAGTTTTCTGACTGTTATATTTGTGTGCGTATAGGTGGCAAAGTTGAAGGCTGAGAAGAGACAGCGCGATCAGCAGCGTAAAGCCAAATTAACCGAGAGCAGGAAACATTTGGCTAGTGTCAGAGTAGTTCAAAGGAATTTGGTAAGTTAAGAGTATTATATTACATGTTTTATTAGACACATTATAGGAGTCTCGCTTTGTGTGGCATGCGGGGATTATATGCACTTATACGCATTTGTATTTTTGACATTAGTTTATTTTACCAAATAAACTTTTAGTCACGTGATTACGCTTGACGGGCACAGAGTTACCGACTTTTTCATATTTTCTTTCAATGAAAATATTTTAGGAAACAAAAACAAATTAATTATAAATATGAGGGGCTGAGTTCCAAAACTAGTTTTATCCAAATTCGTTAATTTTCAATAATCGCAGAAAACGAACAGCAACTTAATTAGTCTTGGAACAAATGCACGACTTTAACATGTAAATTATACAGGATAGAATGAGTTATGCCACAAAAATGATGCTGAATATTGTGCAGGGCTGTCAATACTAGACTATAGATATTTTTACTCAAAATTACCAAAAATGGATAAGACGAGTTTTGAAACTCAACCCCTCATATATAAACAGTTATTATTTACATCAACAAAACTCACCTCCTTAACAGCACTTAGAGTAATATCATTACTGCTTTCCCTTTCAAATCATTCTAATAGGTGGCGATGAGATTTTTTGCAACGGCTGTTGAGCTGTTTCAGTATTTTATACACTTTGCACTAAAAGCGGTTCTAAAAAGAACAATTTTCGACTGCAAGGTGTGCTATTTTAAGCTTAAAAAATTACAACACAATTCACTTAAACCAAAAACTCGTAATACAAAACTAAAGTGTCAAAACAAATGAAAAATTGAAAATGTCAGAAAATAAATGAAAAAATGTGACAACTTGACGTGTGACAGCAGAGCTACCACCTGAATCTCGAGCGGGAAATTTAAATTACAGGTAGTCGGCCCGGTGCCAAATATATCCAGGGTTGGCAATAATGAATTTAATAATGATGACATTTATATGAAGTTTTTTTTTTATTATGTCATTAAGGAACATTCTACATAGTTTTATCTAATACAAAAGTTTATTATAAGCGATACCAATTAAGCTTTTAGTTACGTAATCGAGGGCGCGATTTTTAAATTCATTGTTGCCAACCATGGAATATTCGGCGCCGGCCTGACTAATTGGAATTTAAATTTCACGCTGGGGATTCAGGTGGTGACTCTGCTGTAAAAAATATTCAATTTGCCACATTTATTTATTTATTTCCTGCGATTGTCATTCGTTTTGACATTTCAGTTTTGTATTACATGTTGTTGGTTTAAATTAATTGTGTTTTGATACTTTAAGCTTAAATTTATTTACTAGCAGACCTTGCAGTCGAACATTGATCTTTTAAGAACCTCTTTTAGTGCGAATTGTACAAGAGAGCTTAATAGCCGTTGCAAAAAACTCATCGCAACCTTATTAGAATATTTTGAAGTGCTGTTAAGGAGGTGAGTTTTGTTGATGTAAATAATAACTGTTTATATATTTATAACTAATTTATTTTTGTTTCCTAAAGTATTTTGATTAAAAGAAAATATGTAAAAGGGGGCAATGCTGAGCCGATCAAGTTTAATCACGTAACTAAATGTTTATCTGGTATTGTCTATATATGAATAAGTATGGTACATATTTTTTATAAATATTTATGTTATACTTCTTCAATAATTCAAGGTATTTGTTGTTGGGTTGCCACCGAGACTTGCAGATGCCGAAATCCTAAAACGCCACGAGTATTTTGGGAAATTTGGGAAGATTCACAAGGTGGTTATAAACCAGTCAACATCGTACGCGGGGTCCCAAGGACCTAGTGCAAGTATGTCATATTTATACTGTTATTCCCATGACTAAAGAATCCAAGGACAAATAACACCCGAGAGCAAATTGTGCCGATGTCACCAAAAAGTGCCGTGGCACATATTTTTCTTAAACTAGCTGTTTGAAGCAATATTTATATTTTTTGATAATTGTTTTGACTACGCCTATGGTGTATCATCCTAATTAATTACGAAAAAAACGTATTAAAATGTTAACAGGTTAAAAAAAGGTACAAAACTAGTATCGACGTATAGCACATATCAAATACATATAGATGTTAATTGAAATTGAAGAATAATTATCGAATTCAATAAGAAAACGCTAAAAAGTTGGAGTGGACTGTTTATTTACCTATGAAACGTAACCCCTGGCTCTTTCTTATCGCAACAACTAATCACCATTGTAATAAAGTTTATACAAAGTTTACTACACACAAACTATTAAAAATCGCTAAAACTGTCGTTGGTGACCAAATGATATACGCCCGTATATGGGCGTTACATGTTTTTATATTCTTTAGTCATTGGTTATTCCTTATTTTTTTAACAAAATATAAAGTATTTCCAAAGATATTTTTATATCCAAGCAATACAATTTCAAAATATGCTGATACTTTTATTATATACTTTCTCCCTGATAATGATGTTTATCAAATTGAAGTAGCATTAATCTAATTTTTTTTCAAACGTCCCGAAAGTATTAATTTTTGCGACGTGATTGAAAGTCAGTTTTAACGCCTAGGCATAGAAGTAAGTAACAGACTGTAAAATAATAACAAACCAGCGTATATGTGTTTTATTGATTTAGAAAAAGCGTTCGACGGTGTGCAGCTAAGAGACGTTGTACACCTTCTTTACAATAGGCAAATCCCACACAACCTCGTTAAAACCATACAAAACATATATGAAGCGAACCAAAACGCTAAAATTAACGGGATCCTGACCGAACCAATAAATGTAGGCTGTGGTATCCGACAAGGTGACTCCCTGAGCCCTCTTCTTTTCAACATCATTATGGACGAAATAATAGGAAATGTACGTTTACTGAAGGGATACAGTATGGGCGACCAGGAAATTACTATTCTATGCTATGCCGATGACGCCGTATTGGTAGCTGAAAATGAGAACGATCTACAGCGCTTATTACATCGATTAGTTGCACTGCCAAATCACTTAATATGATAATATCGACCCAGAAAACTAAATGCAAGACGACATCAAAAGTACCACTAAGATGCAAACTGGAAGTTGAGGGCAATGTTATTCAGCAAGAGATGAAGTTTAAGTATCTAGGCATAGAAATCTCAGGATATGGTGATGTAGAAGCGGAGGTGCGAGAAGGGACCACGAAGGCAACCAGAATAGATGCCTGAATGATACAATATGGCGAAATAAAAACATTGAGGTGGAGACTAAAGCGAGAATTTACAAGGCAACGGTACGACCAATAATGACATACACTGCAGAAACTCGACCTGATACAGCGAAAACTAAACAACTACTAGAAACAACCGAAATGAGAGTACTACGCAGAATAGCTGGAAAGACGCTTCTGGACAGGGAGAGAAATGAAAGCATAAGAAGAGCGTGCAAGGTGGAAAATGTAAATGAGTGGGTACTCAGCAGAAAGGAAGAATGGAACGAGCATATCAGCAGAATGGATAACAGAAGGATAGTGAGAGTTGCACGCGACAAATCACCGCTAGGTCGCTTAGCACGTCCACGAAAACGATGGAGCGACAACTTGTCAGTCTGACCGGTAGAGACGACGAAACCAAACAGGCGATTCGCCTAGTATGAAGAAGGAAGAAGAAGAAGAAGCATAGAAGTAAAGTACTTTTACGCCTAAGCATAAAAGTACGAAAATTGACGAAAATATCATAGACTAATGTCATTTACTAGGAAAATATATTATTAAACTGACAGTGTTAAATTCAACAAGCGTAACCATAGTTTCTCAATATATAATTATTTCACTAAGAATAATTATTTATAAAGCATTACTTTTAAATATTTTTATATTATTTGGAACGTTTGAAATTGTTTAAAAAAATATTTGTGGCGTAATTATTGGAGTTAAAATGACTTATTTTTTTTTAATTATTGATATTAATTATTTTTCAATAAAAATTGTTTCTAGGTGCCTACGTAACCTATATGAAGAGTGATGACGCATTAAGGGCTATAGAGGCGGTCAACAATGTTACAATAGACAATAGAATAATAAAATCTAGCCTAGGGACAACGAAGTATTGTTCTCATTTCATGAAGAACCAGTCTTGTCCCAAACCGGACTGCATGTATCTTCATGAATATGGTATATTTCTGTGTATTTTTAATGATAGTCCAAGATCCCAGGGGCCGCAAGACCATACTTATTTTCTCATAAATAAAATGTATGGGATAGAGTAGTCTGCTAGTAGTAGAGATTAGTATGTGCATTAAATTAAGTGTATGTATGTATGTATACCTGCTAGCTTGGGCCCACGGCTAATTCTACCTTTAGCACCCTCTACCTACGAATTGGCGTTCAGACCACACTAGCAGGTTTGCATACACTCAATGCACATACTAATACCATACTATAAGGAAACTAGTAGCTTTACTCCTTGTCAAATACTTTGTTCTTTTTCTGCCACTTTATATGACCTTGTTCTCGCGTCCCGTGACCACTGACGTAGCTGTATAGTCGTGGTCTATAAGTAGGCAAAGTATAGTCGTGGCACTCGCCATAGTTTCACAGAGATGTATTTAGGAAAATATGAGTTCACAATAAAATAAAATAAAAAAAATTGATCATTGAGTTAAAATTTGCTTGAAAACGGAATATTTTCACATTTCGTGTAAGTAACAATTATTTTTCTGTATCTGAAAATCTTCTGATGGGAAGAAATGCGGAGAAAATATATAATGACATATTTTTATATTATTAATTAATACATATATGTAATTTATCGCTACTTTTTCGCGTAATAAAAAAATAATGTTTTAATTATTGTTACCGAATCTCGAAGGTACCGAAAGAACCGGGAATTAATAATTTCGAGTCCCGGTTCTTTGATATCTCAAAAGAAAAATTTCCGGTTTTGAACCCTAGTTACCATATTATCAAGAAATTATATTTTTTAACAAAAAAGTTAAAAAAAATCAGATTTTTTTTCCAAAAAAAAAAGAAATTGCGGAGAAAAATCCTTTACCCAGTTATATACCCCTTTTCCCAGTTATATACTACCCCTAAAAATATTTGCACTTATTTAAGACTCACCCTGTATAGGGTGATTTACAGTTATGGTACGTTATAGCGTTTCCGCAACCGGAGCTGTTCTGAACCGGTAATTTCAGTACCATGTCTCTAAAGAACCGGGATTTCCAGATCTTTTTCGGTACTTTTGGTACTAGCAAATTTTTGTTCAATGATGGTTGTCAAAAGTAAAATCGATAAAAAATTGTGGTTTAAATGAAAATAATATCAAATTATTAAGTAGTAATCATTCATGAGGAAATTAACCTGGACACAAACATGATCACAAATGAACAAAAGAAATTAGAAAAAAAATAAGTAACTTAAAATTTACCCCAAACAACATAAACCAACTTAACTAAATTTGAAAACAAGCTTTACATTTTGAATATAAAATTGTCATTCCGTCTCTGTGCTGGTACGCAACGCTCGAACCTCGCAGGTCGACGGACGGAACTCAACTGAAACGCTCTGCAATCTGCCGATATTCGACAGATTGTAAAAACTGGCAGAAAATATTTGGAAGGGTGCAATTACTCTTTTCCTTCTACTATGCTAATACTACATTATCCTATACATTTTATTTGTGATAAAATGAGTAAGGCTCCGGGATCTTGCTCTATAAAGTAATTATTTAAAAATGTACATTTTTTTGGTAGGTGATCCAGATGCTAGTTTCACTAAAGAACAAATGCATGCAGGTAAACATCAGGAATATGAGAAGAAGCTCCACGATGAGCTTCTGGCAAGAACTAAGTCACAAAATGGATCGGTTAGTAGTATAGAGAGTAAAGGACAAAATAGTAAAGCTATTAAAGAATCTTCAGGAGCAGTAAGTACACTTTTTAAAAATATAGTTGTTACTTAAAGCATGTTATTTAGTGAACTACTATAAGATAAATAGCTTTTATAATCAGAGCTTCAGAGCTGAGTATTCTAAGAGTATTTTTATTTATTTTTGTTTAAACCCAAATTCTTGATGCTGAAAAGAAATTAATGTATTAATTAGTATTTTAAGGGTATCATTACATACAAAACTTAACTTTTTTGTACAAAAAGTTTTCCTTGTTTTTTGTTATCTTAAACTTTCATCTATAAAAGTTATTTTTGTTAAAATATTTTGAAATAATGTGTTATTTTAGTCCAATACGTCTAGTACATTGAATAGTAAAGATAATAGTGGTACGAATAAAGAATCTTGGCCGCAATTAGATAAAGATAAAAAGCAAGAAAAGGAAAAAGGCAGGAAGGCGAAAACGAAAAATGCCTCTGCAGAATCTAAAAATAGGGACAAGAGTAATGGTAATAACACTTCGAAAAGTAATGGAAATGAGAGCAAAATTGTACAAGATAAAATTAACACAAATCCCGTTAGTCATAGTAATAGTAAAATAGAAGGTAAGCAATTTTTATATAATATAGAGTCCATTTCACTTAAGATTATAATTCAAGGTCTATAATATTTAACAAGATATTATATGATTTTAACTGAATCTAAAGGTATGTCTTAGATAATATAGGAAATTATGGGCTAGGGTTGTATGTCTTGAAAATGTACTAAATAATTGTACTAAGATTTTTGTCTAAAAAGAAGACAATATAAAGGTTTCTGACAGTTTTGCACCATAAAAATTGTTAAAATATGTAGTAAAAGCACTTATTCTTTTTCCTACATCTATTTTTTTTTTCTTTAACGGTGTTTAATTAAGGATGCCTCAGTTTAAAGCAATGTTGCTGTCAAAAAGTGCGCAATTCGAAAGATTTTAACATTTAACAAAAAATTAATATGTAAATGCGTTTTTATCTTTCAACACGCGTCTTATTTACACACATACCGTAACTAAACCCAAGTTCTGGATGTTGAAAAGAAATAAATAGGTAAACGGAAAACATATCTATTAAATCAGCCGATCATGGCGTCTTGCACGGTTAATTATTCTCGGTTCAAGCAGTCATTGTAAGCAATGCATTTTTTGAAACATACTTTACAATGCTGCTGTCGACAAATCGCAGCGTTTTTGATCTTTTTATTAAAAAGTTTATTTAAATACATTGGTGTCCAAAAGTTACAAGAAATAAGTTTTTAAAAAGTTTTCACCTATTTATGAAGTTGGTAAAATACACGAAATAAGTAAGTAGAAGTTGAAGGAATATGAAAGTTTTTTAGGGCTTTGTTGAAAAAAAAATCGTTATAAAATTTTTGGCAACAATGCTCTAGGTATTCCTTAAACTATTACACTATTCTTTCTTATTAAAAATGTACTAATTATGGTACAAAATATTAGGTATTAACATCCATTGGGTTAACTTTGGAAACCCTCCAGCAAATATATTATAAGAACATATTGCTATATATATAGTACCGCATTCACACAATGAGTGGAAAGTGAAGCCAAAGAAAAGAAATAGAAATATCAATCTTGCATAAGTCTATCCTTTTGGTTCGACAGGATTTTCGTACGCACGCGCCAAATAAAACGATCTGATTCGTCTACTTCATCGCTGAACGCTGTCACCTGCCCGCGCAGTATTTTAAACTCTAAATATTTAATAACGTATAATATTTTTTATTGCTAATGGCATTATTTCAACCTGTTACTTTAGATATATTCATCATATCTATCCGTTTCTTGTTTTTGTTTAAATATGTCAGAGATTAAATTTAAATTTATAAGTAAAGGCGCAAATAGTCAGACGCTAAATTGATTTACGTGGTAGATAGAAACTTAGAAAACTACTTCTATTGGTTAGTATGAAATAAATCAATGACTAAAGAATCCAAGGACAAATAACACCCGAGAGCAAATTGTGACGATGTCACCAAACAGTGCCGCGGCACATATTTTTCTTAACCTAGCTGTTTGAAGCAATATTTATATTTTTTGATAATTGTTTTGACTACGCCTATGGTGTATCATCCTAATTAATTACGAAAAAAACGTATTAAAATGTTAACAAAAGGTACAAAACTAGTATCGACGTATAGCACATATCAAGTACATATAGCTGTTAATTGAAATTGAAGAATAATTATCGAATTCAATAAGAAAACGCTAAAAAGTTAGAGTGGACTGTTTATTTACCTATGAAACGTAACTCCTGGCTCTTTCTTATCGCTGCTGCTTTTACACTTGAAAGCTGAACAACTAATCACCATTGTAATAAAGTTTATACAAAGTTTACTACACACAAACTATTGAAAATCGCTAAAATTGTTGCTGGTGACCAAATGATGACTCATTGTTTGCCACCAAAACAAAAAAAAGGTCACAAATTCTGCTGCAGCCCGTATAGGGGTGTTACATGTCCTTATATTCTTTAGTCATTGAAATAAATCAACTCATCGCGAAGCACTTCTCACGCTTGCGTAGTTCAAAGCTGTTGAACGAAAAGGACCGACTTATGTCGATTTTGTATAGCTCCATCTTAAAAATTTGGCTTCAATTTCTGTTCCTTACTAGCAATATATTCTTATAATATATTTGCCCTCCAATCTAAGAAACTGAAGAAAACTGACTGAAGGAATTTTTTTGTCTTTAGATTAAACAAAAACGAGATAAACATGATTTCGAAGCCAATTGGTGCTATAAATGATCTCAAAGAGTTTCACTGGTCTCATTATTGCAAAAAATTATTAACAATTATTGTCTAAGAACCTAAATTTAAGATAAACATGATTTTTTTAGGCAATTTGTTCCAATAAAACCATCAAATTTGCTGTAATGCATCAAAAACCTTAAAATTTGCGATGAATTGAACTTTGGCCTCAAATAACTCTTAAACTATTAGGTTTCTCGAAAAATCATAGATATTTTTTGTAGAACGTTCAATTCTCTACAAAAATATGATATAAATTTATGACACACAACCGGCTAGCAATAAAATTCATAAGGTGCAGAACAAAACTTTTCCATGGTATTCTTATGGAAAATAGAAAAACGTGATGTGGGCAGTCTTAATATTAAGGCCTCAAATTTTAAGTAGTATCTTTTTACGTCAAATTGAAACTTTAGAGCCTTTTTGCAAGAACAATTTTTTTTTTTTATTTTTTTGAATCACTCTAGGGTCATATACTAAGACACGAAAATCTAAAGTTTCTTTTTCTAAAGCATTTGTCGCATTTAAATGACAAGGTACAAGTTGACCTTGAATTGTAATCTCTCGTAAAACGGACTATAGATTCCTATTCCTCTACATAAGATCAGGTTTTAAGCGTTTTAATTAATGACTTTTTTAGCGAAAGAATCGGATTCAGATTCTTCGTTGCAAATTTCCGAAAACTCAAGCCCGTCACCTTCGCCCTCTAGTACCCAAACTCCGCCACTGGAAACCAGCACGCCCCCTACAATTATAGAAAATAATACGGTTAATTATAGTTCTTCGGTACCTACGACAGGAACGCAATTCGCAAATTCCTCGCTTTCGTCGAAGCTGTCTAGTAGTTTGATTGGTGATCATCTGGAGGACAACTCGTACTTTAGTTCGAGCGGTTTCAGTAAATTACAGAACGCTCTCGATAACCTAACGGATAGGAAAAATAAAGATGAACTAAAAATAGGCGAGGTCGAAGGATCGAGAGTTTTAGGGGAGATGTTACAGGATGATCAAAATCACCAGGTACTTTGAAAAAAATAAATACTAGGGCTGGTTAAAGGTTAGCTTTGGGTCGAGATTACCGTTTGTAAGAACAGTACAATGCTTTTGTAATGTACAGGGTGGTCGAAATTAGTCTATTTTAACAGAGAAAACCTATTTCCTGACTAGATAGAGCAAAACTAACATAGATGTCATGGGCTCGATCTCTGAGACACGTTTAATGGCGTAAACCACCCGTTGCTATTTCCACTGGCAACAGAGAGATATGGTTTTTTTTTATTTTTTTACCATCTTGAAAATTGCCTATAACTTTTTTTATTTCTCGGAATAAAAAAAATCTGTAAAAACGTTTTTAAGGCGCTTTTTTAAGCACAATCCAGTGGCTTAGTCAGTTTTTTTCTATGCTTGCTCTTTTTGTCAGAATTATTAAGAAATATAATTTTTTGAATAGAAATCGTAGTTGGCTATGAACTTAAAAAAATGCTGCTGTTTAACCCTTTCCAATGATATAAAGTTATGTGTATCTATTTTTAAGAATGACAGAAATATTAGGGGGTTTTTATCTTTATATCGAAGTGGGCTTTGATTTTGAGTTGACCTATTTGCCTAATTATTTTTTATCGCAATTTAATATTCTATATTATTATTTATCTGCATAATTAAAGACTTTTGAAAAGGTAAATTAACATTCTATTAATATTAGTAATTGTAATTATTAGTATTAGTAATATTACAACTGAAACTGATACAATAAACAAAGAACAGTATATTTTGAGTGACAATATAATTCCCTGCCAAGTACGTTAATAGCTCCTCTAAAGTCCCTCGGTTCATTTAGATCGGGGTTCAGAGATTTATTATTCCATAATGTGAGTTGAGTATACTTTTTGAAGCCAGCCAACTATGCCTCTCCTTGGCTCTCTCTTCATCAACACCAATACATGCCTGTTGCCTTATGTTATTGCATAATGTACTTATAAGTATTAATTGTTCTCTATGTGTGCTCTATGTGTTATTGTTCTCTATGTGTGCACTAATAGTTTTGTTAATGCTTTATATTTTTTATATTTTTTTGTATTTTTCATTGTTTTTTTTTGTTATTATATTTATACATTTGATATATTAATTTAAGATAAGGTAGTAGATATTGATATTATTTGTTAGGTTATACTGTAATGGTACTCGGTTAACTAAGCAGTTATTTACTAAAATTCGCCGAGGATTATTAAAATAAAGACATATTATTATTAATATTAAATATAGTTTTCTAAAAAAATCAACGATGTTCAAATTGAGCACCGCCTTGTTGATTACACAATAAACATCTTTTGCGCACAGAGTTACAACGATTTATTATTAACTGATTTAATAAGTCCAAAAGCTTGTTTAGTATCCTTCTGCAATCTCTCGTCCCAATGGTTCTCCTATATATAAGGTCTTTTAATTTCCCCCATAAAAAAGTCGAAAGGACCTAGCAGGCTAAGATATCACAGGACTGCTCTGATGAGATATCACAGGACAAAAATCACAGGACCTAGCAGGCTAAGATATGGGCCCCTTGTTCCAACCCAATTTTCTCTAAATTCTCCATTTAATAGTTCAGTTGTAACCCTGGCGTTTTAATTGTAATTGATAATACTAATATAGAATGCTAATTTACCGTTTCAAAAGTTTTTAATTATGCAGATAAAAGATAAATAATAATATAGAATATTAAATTGTGATAAAAAATAATTAGGCAACTAGGTCAACACAAAATCAAGGCCCGCTTCGATACAAAGATAAAAAAACCTTAATATTTCATTTCTTTCTTTCATTCTTAGAAATAAATACACATAACTTTATATCGTTGGAAAGGGTTAAATGCCAGCATTTTTTTAAGTTTGTAGCCAACTATGATTTCCATTTAAAAAATTATATTTTTTATTATTTCTGTTAAAAAGAGCAAGTATAGAAAAAAACTGACTACGCTACTGGATTTTGCTTAAAAAAGTACCTTAAGAACGTTTTTACAGAATTTTATTATTCCGCGAAATACAAAAGTTATGGGCAATTTTCCAAATGGTAAAAAATTCAAAAAGACCCCGTATCTCAGTTGGCAGTGAAAATATCAACAAGCGGTTTACGCCATTAAACGTGTCTCAGAACTGGAGTCCATGACATATATGTCGGTTTTGCTCTATCTAGTCAGGAAATAGGGTTTCTCTGTTAAAACAGACCAATTGCGACCACCCTGTACAGAACAAAGAGAGAACAGTAAAAACGTTGTCAAATTGCTAAGAGACGTGAAAAGGGATCGACCCAATCATTAGTTAAAATTCTAGGGAAGGATGTAGTCATGCGTTCAGCGTCACGATTTAATTACGTCTCGTGATACTTTATTTGTTTATTTATTAACGAGTCGTAATTTTCCCTATAGCTTGTATTTTTTTAAGTGCAAGTTAGAAACACTTGTACTTTTGGTAAAAATAAGCGGAATTGAGTTGGTGTTCGACAGTGGTCGCACTATTACAACTCTAAATTCAAAAATCGATATATCGAAATCCATTAGAAATAATTAATTGTAGTTTTTTTCACAAAATATTTCTGCTATATTTTCTTCGCAGACAGTATGTGAAAATCTTTATAAATAAAAAAGTTACACAATTGCTGAAAATTGCTATGCACTAAAAGTAAATGGATGGGTTTTTTAAAATGTTTGAATTGAAAAAAAACAAGCCTATCGAATTTTTCTTATTTAAACATCCTGTAAAAGGTCCGAACTTCAAAATAAAAATGAAGTTTCAATATCTAAAGTGGTTCTTGAGTTATCGCGTGTTATGTGATATAAAGTTGAGTTTTTAAATTATCGCCATTACTGACGGTTTTCTCGATATCCTTATAATTCGATTTCAGATGCTCAGAAACATATCTAATGATTTTATCTAGCTATCTTTTAAAAAAAAGTATTTTAAAAATAAGCGAAATGTGGCAACACCGCCGTATTTCTCTCATTCCGACTTAATAGGATCTCTATGCGATTTACTTCCACACATGTAAATACCGACCCAAAAGTAAGAGTTGCCAGCACGGTATATTAAAATACAGTTTGTAGCTAAATTATTTTGTTTCTTTAAAAGTTAAAGTTTCAATGTGTATTATACGAGGGAAAACAAAATGTTGTTTTGATGAAAGTTTGAAACACTCTGATAAAGTTAGGAATTTAAAAACCACTCTATAATGAAGGTGCATCTTTTCTCAATAGTTTGTTTTTTTATTCATCCTGATATCCTTATTTATATTGGAGATATTCGGTTCTGAAGAAGACAGTAATAATTTACAAATTAAATTATTAAACTCTTTATCTTCGTAGGTGTGTTGATTAGGACCAAAAGCAAAGGCATTTGCTTTTAATGCTAAAATTGTTGTAAATTGATATGCCAATAAAAATAAAGCTATTGAGATGAATCAAAAAACAAACTATCAAGAAAAGATGTCCCTTGATTATAAAGTGACTTTGAAATCTCTTACTTTATTAAATAATTCCACAGGGTGTTATATACGTTCACCAAAATAGATAGAGTCGAATGACCTTTATTTATTTTATGTAGGTATTAACTGACACATTACCAGCAATCAGTACCACAGAAGACTGGGCAGCTGCTTTCGGTTTCGCAGATCAGCAACTAAGGGAACACGATTTGCTCCAGCAAAAATCGCCGCAAAGAGACGTCAGTAATTTATCTGGTTTCTCTAGTTATGGACCGTTAGGCAACCACCAAGACGATAGTTTTACTAAAGGTAAGTCTCTTATTTTACTCTACACTCGTTTAATTGCATCGTTTTTAAAAAATGTTAATTCCTTTTAAATTGTTTTTTCTCATTTAGGAGTGGACAATTTTTCTGGATTCTACGAACTGTCAAAGCTTCAGGAGAATTTGATGGACGCATTAGCAAACAAAACAAATGGATATAGTGTTAGACCGCATGAAAGTAATACGCCCCATCCTAACTATATTTCGAATGGATTAGATCATAACATGTCAAAATTCTTCAGTGACTTCCACAAGTATAATAGCAAGGTATAGTTCATATCAAATAAACTTTTAGTCACGTGATTCAGCTTGACCGACACAGCGTTGCCTACTTTTACATATTTTCTTTTAATCAAAATATTTTAGGAAACAAAAATAAATTAATTATAGATATATAAACAGTTATTATTTACATCAGCAAAACTCAATAAAGGGCCATTACTACCGCTTCATCATATTCTAATAAGGTTGCGATGAGTTTTTTGCAACGGCTATTAAGCTGTCTTGTACACTTCGCACTAAAAGAGGTTCTAAAAAGAACAATGTTAAAAATGTTTAAGCTTAAAGTATCACAACACAATTCATTTAAACCAAAAACTCGTAATACAAAACTAAAGTAGTGTCCAAACAAATGACAATGTCAGGAAATAAATAAATAAAAGTGGCAACTTGACATTTTTGACAGCAGAGCTACCACCTGAATCCCCAGCGGAAAATTTAAATTCCTAATGACCTAAATTATAGTTTTGACAATACAATCAATATTTTTTTAGGAGCCTCCTAGTCCATCTCCCTTCCAAAACGGTATAAACGGAATACACAACCCCTACCACATATTACCACAGAAACAATTAGAAGAACAGTTAATGAATCTCGGCATCAAACAGAATAGTTTTATTGGACCACAAACGGTTTGTATCAACTCTAGATGTATGTTTTACGTAATTTCACTAATAAAAATCTGTGAAAAACTTATCTTTCATCTTTGAAATACTGACAGAGTGTCCCAATATTGTGTGGACATAGAACTATACATATTTTTTTATTTTTTATTAATGATTTTTCTATAGTTATTTTGTATTCACGGTATATTGGAACACCCTGTATATTGTAAAGAAAAATTTCAATTGTTAGATAGACTCTAATCAAACGTTTTTTTTTTTTTGGGCTTTAATATTACTTTCTTTCATGTAGACAAATTATCAAAATGGAGTCCCTACACCATCGTATTCTAACGGAGACAGTGCTGTACTAAATGCTGGCGTAAATCCTTTACATAATTTATATCAAAAACAACAGGTATTTTATATCCCAGAAATTTTAATTTAGAAAATTGAAGGCTAATATTATTTTGTTAAATTCCAGTTAATTTCGCAACAATCTCAGAATTCCAGAAACTCAGAGGCAGAACTAGACTTCGATCCTTTCCAAGAAACACAGAAGGCTTTGGCTGAAATGATGGCGAATGAACAAAATCACAAAACATCTACCAGTGGTAAGTATTGTTTACAATATCTTTTTTATATTTTTGTATTGTTTTGTTTTTTAATACCGTGTAATGTTACAGAAGGGCGAATTCACATCCTTGACAGTTCTGTTTGACATTACAGTTAAAACACTTTAATTTGATTTCAATTTTGCGGATTTGTTTTTTTTATTATTTATTATTATATTTATTATATATTACGATATTTTATACAATTGTATTCATCTCAGGTCGAACTAATACACAACAAATGAATGGTTATGTTCAAAATAATCAAAATGGCAACCACATACCTCCACCTCCCCCTGGATTTTTACAACAGCAACAACAGACGCATATGAACTCATTTGGTAATGTTTGTAACATTTTTTTGTATATGTAATTTAATTTTATTAACGTATATATACTTTCTAGGAAGCAAAATTTTACCATTTTTAAATATGTCAAATAGTCAACAACAACAACAACAAATAAACAATTTGCCAAATGGTTGGTCTAGTAATTTTAATACACAAGTTCAACAACAAAAAAGTAAGTTTTTGTATTTATTGTTAAATAGAAAAATTATGAGATATGAAAGTTAGTTTACTAAAACGTAATAATATACCGGGTGTTTCATTTAAAATAACAAAGATTCTACTATAAGGTCTTATAAACTTCGTGGATAAAGCGATGTCATATGTATATTACAGATGACTTTGTTTACGGGACTTTCACATGCATTTTTCGATTTAATTCTTTCTAGAACAAGATTATCGTATAAGCCTATCTCTCTCTCAGAATACGCTACTGAGCATGCGCAGAACGATATTAGACATGAATGTTAACTTGGAGCGTTTTTTCGCTGCGCTGACAACAATCACTAAAAATATGGACAATTAAATTTTTTTTTCAAGATATAACTGATACGCGTATTTATTATTTTGAAAATATTTGTCATATTATTTCAATATACGTCTTTATATATATATATGGTCGTTTTTTAAACCGACTTTTATTCAGTCAAATGTATATTTATGTTAGGTAACTTAATCACTTTAAACATTATTATTTTTTTCTTTGAATAATTAATATACTAGTAAATATTATCTAATAAACAATTAATATCCGAATAACAATATTATTTTCTCTAATTTATATATTTATATTATTTATATCCAAAATAAAGACAGACGGTTGGTCTGTCAGTGTCAAGGACAAAGATAATCAGATGGTCGAATGTCGCTGACGTGTCTGCAACAAAAATGAAGCGAATTTACTTATCCACGAAGTCTATAAGATCTAAGGTTCTACCTAGTGATGGGATAACTCAAGCGAAAATTCGCTCGAGTACTCGATTATTGAAATAACCGACGAACGCAAGCGATCCTAGAATGAAATAAATTGAAATCCGATTTTAATGTCGCATACTCAATAAAAACCCGAGCGAATTTTCTACATACATTGCAGGTAGCAATATATATTTGTATTATATACAGGGTGTTTCAAAACAAATGCGAAAAACTTCAGGGGGTGATTCCTTGTTCAAAATAAAGGGTAGTTTGCTTCATAAACGTTGGGTCAAAAGTCAACCATTAGGGAGATATCGCGGTACAAAGATGGCGGAAAAATAATGTTCTTATATTTTTTATCTTGAAAACGAAAAGAGATAGACTAATGAAATTTTATGGAAGCGTTACTGTTATGAAAACACACATTCTGGTAATTTTTTTACTTTTTTAAAATGAGTGGAAGGGGTTGAAATAAACTACCCCTATCATTCTTGTTAACGAAATTTAAAGAAAAATCTTATCAAACACATGCAAAAAAATTAATTTGGATAGTTTAGTTTGTTTAGAAACTTTTTTATCTCTTGTATTTTTTTTATAAAACTCACCGATTTGAAATTAAAAATAAAATGTAAAGCATTACATGTCAGGACTAAAAATATTTTTAGATTAAGAGTCTAGTGATAATAATGATAATAAAGTACTCGATTATTGAAATAACCGACGAACGCAAGCGATCCTAGAATGAAATAAATTGAAATCCGATTTTAATGTGACATACTCAATTAAAACCCGAGCGAATTTTCTATTGCATTTAGTAATATATATATTTATATATTATATATATATATATATATATATATATATATATATATATATATATATGTATATACAGGGTGAGTTTCCTACGATGTTCTCTATGGGTATCTTGGAAACTACTGGAGATAGAGAGTCGGTTAAATGGGGAAACAATTGCAGTTTTGTGGGGTCATAAATAAGTGCCTTTCAGATTTATGAAAAAGTTCATGGCTTACTAGATATTTTGAAAAAAACAAATTTCGGCTATTTTAAAAATTGTCCCTAATTCTATTATAAGCTATTTTAGACAAAGTTTGCAGATAAAAGTTGTAGATAATCACATCCTTAATGAGATCGTGTCCTCTGTTTTTTTCTAAAGCCTGTCATTTTTGACATATCACACAAACATATGTTTTTTTAAATGGAAACCATAGTTGGTCATGACTTCATATTCTATAATATGTTTTCTTCGAAAAATTACTGAGTTATAGTCAATTCTTATCATTTTTTTTGTCAATCAATATCAATTTCACTTAGTTAGCCATGGAAACAAGTTCAATCACCGTTATTCTCAGAAATGTGAAGCTGCCACATTCAAACTTTGTAAATTAAAATAAACAAAAATTGTAAATATGAATTTCTCAAATGACGAAAAGCGTGTAGATACTCGCGCATCAATAGTGTTTCCAAAATGACTTTCATTATGCCCCCCCCATGGGCCTCCTCGATCACCTGACCTATCCATTTTAGATTTTTTTATGCGGTATGGTTAAAAATAAGGTTCACAAAAGAATTTATGAATTAAGAGAGGCACTCGAAGTGGCGGTACGAGAGAAGTTTAATTAAGTCAACCGGTCCTTTTGTGAGAATAGGTAATAATTCAGTTTTAAAAAGATGTAACTCAAAACAATGGCGGATTTTTTGAACATTTTCTAAAATAACTTAAAGTGTATGCAGTGACTGCAGCGATATTATTTTTTAAGTTTTAGTTTGTGTAATGTAAATTCTAAAGAACCGTTTAGTAATATATTCTGACTTTTTATAAGTTATAAATCACAAAAGAATAAGAATGCCATGCAATCTAAGTGAAATTAGTCAAGAAATATAAGAATTGGCTATAACTAAATTTAACTTTTCTAACAAGTCTTGAAAATCGTTCTCTAAAAACATAACATAACATTCACCGGTCAACGTATCCTCGAAAATGTATGGTCAAGAAAAGTTGAACCAATAATCTTACACGCTTTTCTTCATTTGAAAAATTCATATTTACAATTTTTGTTTACTTTAATTTACAAAGTTTGGATGTGGCAGCTTCACATTTATAAGAGCAAAGACGATTGTTTCCATGGCTAACTAAGTGAAATTATTTAAAATGATAAGAATTGGCTATAACTCGATAATTTTCGAAGAAAACATATTATAGCTTATATCGCTGAAAAGCTTAAAAAATGGCAGTTTTTATAAAGTCATGGCCAACTATGGTTTCCATTTAAAAAAACATACATATGTTTGTGTCATATGTCAAAAATGACAGGCTTTAGAAAAAAACGGAGGACACAATCTCATTAAGGATGTGATTATCTACAACTTTTATCTGAAAACTTTTTGTCTAAAATAGCTTATAATGGAATTAGGGACAATTTTTAAAATAGCCGAAATTTGTTTTTTTCTAAATATCTAGTAAGCCATGAACTTTTTCAAAAATCTGAAACGCGCATATTTATGACCCTACAAAACTGCAATTCTTTCCCCGTTTAACCGACTCTCTATCTCCAGTAGTTTCCGAGATACCCATAGAGAACATCGTAGGAAACTCACCCTGTATATTTATCCGTTGCGTATCTGTGGGACAAAGTTTTACGCCCTACATCGACAACGCTTTGAAATAAACTAAATCAAGCGATCAAGCGAATCGCTCGTCGCTTGCTACTTGCCATTCATCACCGAAAGAATTTGCCCTGCGCAGGCAACTTACTGCTTGGCGCTTCGCGTTAACGAGTACTTACAACAAGCGACAGACGAAAAACCGTATTTTTAAATATGAGCGATATTTCGCTCGGTTATTGCAATCGCTTGAAACTCGAGTACTCGATTTATGAAATTAATATGTTTTTCCCATCACTAGTTCTACCACCTTGATGTGACAGCGTCATTGTAACGCTGAAAATATTTCTAGATGGATGAAGCAAGTGCCTTTATGTAAAAATCCAAATTTCCAAAAATATCACCGGTTTTCCATAAACGTGCCCTGATCACCCAATATTTTAATGTTTTTTTTTCAGATATATCAAATACAGATTGGAAGGTACTAGACCCGGCAATCCTATCTTCCAGTCGCAACAGTTATCAATTAGCTCAAATGCCACCACCTCCAGTGAGAGATCCTTACAACAACCCTGCCATGTTAGGAACCCAACAAATTGCACAAAACGGCTTGATGAGAACGGCCTTCGACTACCAGCAACAGTCACAACACAACAACAGTCCCTTTTCCACATTTACGCAACAGATACAGCCGAATTACAATACATACACACACATAAATACACAACAAAATTTGAGTTGGTTCACAAACGACTTGAACTCACAGATATCGAGCCCACCCGGTTTCAGGAGTAGTCAGGCAACCAAACAACAAGAATGCTAGGTTTTCGTTAGCTTTATGGATCACCATGTATATGTTTAAATTAGTTAATATTAAAAAAAGTTTCGTTTGAGACGGAAATTTATAATGAAGAAGGTTTTAGAATTATCTTTAGAGCAATCTTGATTATAAATTTTTGACTAATGTATATGTAAAAGCGTCTTTGTGCAATATGATTTTATTATAATAATCAACATGATGTTTCTGGATTTAAAAAAAAATCTACTTAAGAACTAATTAGATTTTTCTATAGTACTATCGGTATGGTCGATCCATAGGGAAGCTAAGAGGAGTATATTTATTGTTTGTCGCCGCCAGGTACGTCTTTCTACTCTGTAAGAAAAGGAAATTCATAGCGGGTGCTTGGTCACGAGAAATTTAACTAATATTCTATCCATTTCAGTATATTGAAAATAAAACAGCTAATGTAATACATAAAAACATTGTCTTTTATTTATTATCCTTATTAAATTGGCAAGGGCCGGGACTGGTTGCAGTTAAGGAAGAAAACATCCGAAAAGGGGCGACCATCACGGTCTATCTGCCGAGAGGGAAAGACACCACCTACCTGCTGTCTTATCATTAGTGATGTAAACTTTAGTTACTTTTATGGACTCGTAACTACTAGTTACTTTTGGTAATAGGACTCGTTACTTTAGTTACTCGTTACTTTGGTATTTAGTATCGTTACTTTATAATCGTTGTTTTGTGTACAGGTTAGAAGACTTGGGCTTGACGTGAAACTTCGTTACTATATGTGCGCGGCGATCTTCGTTGCATGCTCGGTTTAACATATAAGGGGTTTCTACTTTCTTCTAGTGTAAGGGCTTAATAGGATAATTTCAATACTCGGTATTCAAGTACTGAATAATATGTTTTTAATAATATGTATATTTTTATAATGATATTTATGTTAAATAAAACTATGTACTATTAATAAAATTAAAAATAAAAGAAAACAAATCAAAAAAAGAAAATATGTGTATAATAAATATAAAGTATTTTTTTATACTCTCTCTCTCTCTCTCTTTGTATTACATTAATAAATAGGCAAACATTAAAGAGTAAAAATTTAAAAAAATGTATATATTTTTGTCAAAATGTAAAAATATTAAAAAAATGTATATTCCTCTGTGGCGGATTCATCTCTTCAAAAAAGTCCTTTCGATTAACGCCCGGCAGTGTTTACTAAAAATTACTATTTTTATTTTGTAGATTTTCTTACAGTGTAAGTGGCGAAATATCTATTCTCTTTTGAAGAAGAAAAATATTTGCTCTGCTTTTTCAGATGTTAACATTTTTTGTGACTAACGTGAATCCATTTTTAATTAATATCTAAGACATGTTAATCTAAATACGTGCATACAACTTGTTCTGCTATTGACTTGATTTTTTAGAGTTTTTACTAAATTTTATGTAACAGTAAATATAACAATTGACGAGCACATGGGAAAAACGATGAGTATCCAGAAATGATAAATGTTCAAGAAACCGTTTTTTTTATTAATTCAAATTACGCATGGACTTTTATATCCGAGTTTATATCGTTTTTCCCATTTTTAAATGCCTGTTTCTATGTGGCCGTTATCGATATTCCCGTTTATTTAGGTACCAAAAGGTGTAGCCCCCCCTTTTTGGTACTTTCATTATTTTTCCCGTGTGCTCTTCAGTTAGTAATAAATCCTGTAATAAATTATATTTGCATATTTCTTAAGTTATAGCATGTTTTGCTTTTTAGCTGTTGCATTTAACTTGAATTATCTACCTTTTATCAAAAGGTAATAAAAAGGAAGTACTTGGATACCTTGTCTTGCCATTGTCAATTTTTTTTAGTTTTTACTAAATTTTATCGAACAGTAAAATTTATTACACAATTAACTACTAACAGTCATAATTACTGTTCATGATAATCATAAAATTTTGAAAAAATTCCAAAAAAATTGACAATGGCAACACAAGTTGTATACAAAGGTACTTTTATTACCTTACGATAAAATTTGGGCTTTCTGGGTAGGTAATTAAAGTAAAATGCAAACATCTATAAAGCAAAACATGCTATAATTTAAGAAATAGGCAAATTATTATATATATTAAAAAAAATAACTTATTATATTTATTTAGTATACATTTTTCGTATGGAGTTTCCATAATAATTATTAATAATAATTAACCTATTGACAATTCCATATTCCAAAGAATTAGGATAGAATAATATCTAATATTTTAATATTAATGTATTTACCATAATATGTATAAGTAGAGTCTGATAAGGAAAATACATTGTAGGTGTGGAGCCTGGAAAAGTGCCTTAGGATTTATAGGATCCCACAGATATGCTGTTAATCAATAAAACTAGTACTGTATTTTTATTTTTCTACTTGTTATATTAAAGTTCCTTGGTATTTTTAGTTGATCCCTCGTATACGGCCAGCGTTCTGACTGATAAAATAGCACTTCCGCTGCACCCGGTAAACGTACAAATTTTTTGTCACTTCGAAGGGTCACGGGCCGCCTTTGAAGTCAAAATAACAATAGAATTCCTTAGAGTGGGCCAACTAATATGTATTCTTTAAACTGTGCTAGTAGCCTTACTCCTTGTCAAATCCTTTGTTCTTTTTCTGCCTCTTTGTATGACCTTGTTCTCGCGTCCCGTGACCACCGACGTAGCTGTATAGTCGTGGTCTATAACTAGGCAAAGTATAGTCGTGGCACTCGCCATAGTTTCACAGAGATGTATTTAGGAAAATTTGAGTTTACAATAAAATAAAGTAAATTGATCATCGAGTAAAAATTTACTTCAAAACAGAATATTTTCACATTTCGGGTAAGTAACAATTCTTCTGTATTTGAAAATCTTCTGATGGGAAGAAATGCGGAAAAAATACATAATGACATTTAATTTAAAACAAGTTTAATTTTAACATTAATGTGTTTGTTTTGTAGTAATATATTGGTTAGGTGATTTTCATTGGATAACTAATACATTGAATAACACATTGTACTAAATGATAAAATAACATATTTAAACTTCAATAATTGCTAATGAACATTACAGAAATTTCAAAAGAGAAAAGAAGCAAGAACAATGAGAAATAGCAACACTACTTTCTCGCGTAATAAAAGAATAATTTGTTAGTTATGGTTACCGAGTCCCGAAGGTACCGAAAGAACCGGGAATCAATAATTTCGAGTCTCGGTTTCTTGATATCTGAATAGAACCGGGAATTTCCGGTTCTGAACCTTAGTTACCATATTATCAAGAAATATTTGTGCAGTATATTTGTGCTTTTTAACCATTTTTTAAAGCATTTTCCGCCTCAACTCATCGGTTTTCCCCCTGAACCCTTCATATTCATTGTCACTTATAATATTCCAAGAAATTTTAGGAACAAAAAACAAGTAAAATTATTTTTAAAAAACTAATTTATTTTTATTATTATATTATGTACAGAGGCAAATCTTACAAGCTAATTTTCACAAAATTTACAATCTCCGTTAAAATTAAATAGAATAATTACACTTTAGAATGAAAAACACCACTGAAAATTAGGTATAATTCAGAATCACACCAACCAATTGAAAGACAAATCTTGTTTAAGAGAATAATCAACATTTGTTTAGGTTTGCCAACAATGATTGACCAATTTTATACAAATTTTGAATGTACAGGGTGTTCCACTAAGAATAGCTCTCGGCTGTATCTCGGAAAGTATTAAGCCGTAGGGTCTGCGGAAAAAATACTTATAACTAAAGAGACTAGGAGAAATTGCTGGAAATTATTTTCAAATGTGTAGAACGGCCGCTAGAGGGCGCAACTGCTATAAAAAATAAGAAAATGAAGTTTATACACAATTTTGCCTAGATAAGGGGTGCTAAAAATAATAGCTTCATAATCTTCAGTAAATTTTGAATATTTTTTGTTAGGACCATTTAAAAAAAACAATCTAACCTTCCCCCACCACGTTATTTTAGCAGATAAGGCGAAATCATCGAACAAAAAAGATCCAAAATTTACTGAAGATTGTGAAGCTATTATTTATATAGAAAACGCCACGAATGTTTGGGAGTGATTTATCGCTTGATGAAGTTAGAATCGACACGCGCGCTATCATTTTTACATTAAAAACGTAAATTTTTACCGCAGACGTAGGTTTTTAAAGGCCCGGTCTAATCAACTGCCTGTGCGCTCCTCCTACTTATTCTAAAATGTTAGCGTGATTGACAAAGACGATACTATATCGCGTTTCTTTGATTGGTTCGTTTTTGTGCGTCAGTCCATTGGTGTGCTTGCAGTGCGATCAACGGGGCATTCCATTTTATATTTATAACCAAATATATGTTTTGACAAGACTTTGACAGTTAAAACAACAAATTACAACAGATTATATATTGATTATTATATGACTTGAAACACCACGGCACTGGAATTAAGTTTTAGGTGACCTTGAACAGATTAGCTCACATGGTAGCGACCGATGAATCACTCCCAAACATTCGTGGCGTTTACTATAGTACACCTTATCTAGGCAAAATTTTCTAAAAATTCCATTTCTTATTTTCTATAGCAGTCCCTCTAGCGACCGTTCTACAAACTTGAAAATAATATCCAGCAATTTCTCATAGCCTCTTTGGTAAAAATATTTTTCTTACGTAAACCCTACGGCCAATACTTTCAGAGATACAGCCCACAGCTATTCTTACTGAGACACCCTGTACAATAATTATTTTAGAATGTACTATGCAAAATAATTTCGTTCCTCCCATTATAAATTAATCTTCTACTGAAGACATATTCTTAAAAAATAAATAGAATTCCAAATAAAAAAAGTCAGTCACATTATAAATACGAATAGTCAGACAGACCAAATAAGCTGGGAAACCGAGTCTTTAGCTATAAAATACAATATGATGAAGAAGTTTCATAATCAAGTGCGGTTTTATGTTATTTAGCATATAAACGTTTATTATGACACTTCATCTGTCAAAATAACGCCTCTCTTAACACCTTATATCATTGTCACGTGTCTCAAAATGACAGATAAACAATTCTTATTAAAAATTACATTAGAATTTTAAGCCTGTTTGATTATTAAACTTTTTCATCATAACAAATCATTCTATACTCAAAAAGCTTCATTTCTAACGTAAATAAACTAAATGTCAGTAAAATAAAATTGTCAAATAAGTATTTGGAACAAGCATTAATACGTGATTACTCGAATTTGCGTGTTTTTTACTTAAAAAAAATGCACACACGAAAAAAAATAAAATAAAAGCCATGTTACACAGTAACATGACACACTATCTTAACCTTATATGTATATATGCAAGTTTAAAAAATAAAAAAAAACATTTTTGGTTTATACAAGGTAGGTTAAGTTAAAGTTTAATATTAACTATATACAATAAACCTGAAATGAGGTACCTATAAGTTTACTACTTATTTTTTTATAGTGAAATAACTCCGATATCATTTGGTGTAACAATGTAGCTGCTTTACGTTGAGTTACGCCATTTTTTTGTATCGGACACTGCAAAAGTAAATCCACTTAAAACCTGAAAAATAGAAAAAGAACATATTTAAATGAGTTATATCAACTTATCAATAGTAAAGACAAGTTAATTATCAATAAGAGAGTATCATAAGCTATCTCTACAGGGTCTGGCAATATAGCCGGAGAGCTGGCAAAGTTAGAATAATAAAAAAAATAAAGTTTAATAACTTGTGAACCCAGAATCATAAGTCTGGCTGGGTGGTTGGGGGTATTTCGCTACTGCGCAACCCATAACATTTGCAAAAAAATAAATCAAAAAACATTCTTTAGGCAACTTGAAATTTGTTTATTCTTAAATTTTAGCATCTATTTAATCTAGAAATAAGTATGCCAGACTTTTTTTTCGGATTTACAGTGTAACCCGACCGTTCCAAATATGTTTAATTATTGCTTATTACACCTGGAAAACATACTTTAGGCATTCTAAAATTTTTACAGCGTGTTTATTAGATGATATTAAAAAACATGTGTTAATTGCCAGACGAATTCAACGGGTTTTAATACTTGCCTGACGCGAATAAAGATTTTAAATGAGCGCGACAAAAAAGTCTTATGAGTATCTATAAGCGCGAGAAAGATAGTTTATTGAGACCCGTCGGCAGCCGATGCGGCTGATGTAACAGTATTTTGGAGTATGTACAGGTGGTTTCAATAAAATTGAATACGATTTAAAACATATTTTTATTATTTCGGGCAGTATATTCTATGCTACCAGTCCCCCATTTCTCTACTCATGTCATGCTGACATTCTGTAAAAATTTATTTGCCACTTTGTCAAAAGCAAAGTTGTTTTTTACAATGTCACAATAACCTTAACATGTCAAAATACTTGACACATTAATATACACTGCCCAAATATTCGAAAAAAATGTGTGAAGAGTCGTATTCATTTTTTTGGAACCTTGTTAGCTGTACTTCAAATTTTCATAAAAACAATTTTTTTTCGGTTTCATTTCAATTATTTGCAGGCTTTTAATTCAGAGATTATTTTGTTGGAATTAAGTTACCATGTACAAATATGTATTTATAAATTAAATATTGATGTGCATAGTGTAAATAGTTTAGAATAATTACTGCAAATAAATATTTTAGTAACTACTAATTTCGCTACTAACTACTAAATCACAATGGATAAAAAACATTTAAGTTGTGTAGTTTGTAAAAAAGTTATTGTTTTTGATGAAGGCAGACTACAAAAATTTAAAGAATTTTTAAAAGTGCGCCAACAACATGGTTTAAAATTTAAAGAAGTGGTTTTACCAGAATACGTCCCGACAAAAGGGTACCATGTACAGGGTGGGTCAAATTCGACGCTTTTAAATGGAAACACCCTTTTCTATAGGAGATAGATAAAAACTAATATCGGTGTCTGGAGCTCAATTTTTGTCAAAAACATGATGGTGAAAACCGCATATCGATATCTGTTACCGTTTCGGAGTTACGGGGTGTTTTTCAAAAATATGCATTTTTAACAAATCGCTGTAACTTTTTTACTATGGAAAATTTTGTATTTCTATGAAAACATTTTCAAAGCACCTTTTTACGTAGAATTTAATGGTTTAAGTGTATTTTTTTTTAAATTAATAATTTAAGAATTATCAACGGAAAATTTGATTTTTTATATGGAAAACCCTGTATATTTTTAATTTATTGAAAAAAATTAAAATTACCTTTCCAAAAATATAACACCCTTGATATTTTGCTCGATTCCTCTTCGAGATATAGAGTATATAAAAATTCGCCCGCTTTAAATAAGTAGGCTTTGAACGGCACCGGCTGTAATGCAAAAAAAAATCTAGCTGTGAGCATCAATTAAAACGAAAATAATATTAGCTATGAGAGATGCAGAGTCTTATAACAATTTAAAATATATTAAACCAACATCAACACATTTAAACTATATCTAATAACAATAAAAATAAACAGCAAACCAAGATATGAGATTTTGCTACAGGTGTTCGACATATCGATCGTCTTCTGTTATGGACAGACGGGGCAGTTTCTGAACATTTCTCGCGGAATTCATTACTCAGTGGGGGTGAAAGATACCCTCTCATAACTGCTAAGTATTTCTAATTGTTGTCTAGATTATACGGAAGAATAAGGAACCTTTATTCTTCCGCAAATATATCCATAGGATTAGATCCATGGGCACTAAGTCAGGCGGCCTCGACGGCCAACGGCTGGGATTTTGGTTAGCTATTCGATTATTATTGAAATTGGCTGCAAAAATTTGCTGATAACTTCAGCGTTCAAAGGCGGTGCGTCGTCTTGCTGGAAAAATATGTTTTCGAGTTGCATTAAGGGCATATCATTAATAAGGGGTCCAAAGCCTACTAGGTAAAAGTGGCGAACTTTTAAAAATTGTATATTTCGAAGGGGATTACAACAAAATATCAAGTGTGCTATATTTTTGGAAAGGTAATTTTAAATTCTTTTCAGTTAATTAAAAATATAGAGGGTGTCCCAAATAAAAAATCAATTTTTCTGTTGATAACTCTTAAATTATTAATTTTAAAAAAAATTATACTTAAACGATTAAATTCTACGTAAAAAGGTGCTTTGGAAATGTTTTCATAGAAATACAAAATTTTCCATAGCAAAAAAGTTACAGCGATTTGTTCAAAATGCACATTTTTGAAAAACACCCCGTAACTCCGAAACGGTAACAGATATTGATGTGCGGTTTTCACCATCATGTTTTTGATGAAAATTGAGCTCCAGACACCGATATTAGTTTTCGTCTATCTCCTATAGAAAAGGGTGTTTCCATTTAAAAGCGTCGAATTTGACCCACCCTGTACAGTGCTAAAAAATTAGTATTCTGGAATTTTATTAAAGTATCATTGTTAACCTTTCTAAATAGATTCAAAAGTAAGTAAAAGTGCTTTACTTTTATGCTTAGGCGTTAAAATGACTTTTTTATATTGTCAATCAGGTCGCAAAAATTAATAATAATATAATATGTCACAAAAGTATAATATTAATAATACTTTTGTGACGTTTGAAAAAAAATATATTTTATATTACGCTAGTTTTTAAATAATTATTCGTCTCTTTATTCACGCTGTAAAAATTTTAGAATGCCTAAAGTATGTTTTCCAGGTATAATAATTAAACATATTTGGAATGGTCGGGTTACACTTTAAACCCGAAAAAAAGTCTGGCATACTTATTTCTAGGTTAAATAGATGCTAAAATTTAAGAATAAACAAATTTCAAGTTGCCTAAAGAATGTTGTTTGGATTTATTTTTTTGCAAATGTTATGGGTTGCACAGTAGCGAGATACTCCCAACCCCCCCAGCCAGACTTAGGATTCTGGGTTCACCAATTAATAAACTATACATTTTTAGTTATTCTAGCTTGCCTAAAATATGGTCTCTAAATATGTCATCAGCTCTTAGGCTAATAGTGCGTCGGGCATCTGTAGCTCCTAGAATAAAAAATATTGAGAATTTTGTTTAAGTGCAAACGTCCATTTAAAGTTAACTTCTTTAAATGGAACACCCTGTATAATATTTTTTATTAGATGGAGAGTTAAAAAATTACTATTTTGTGTATTTAAAATATTTCAAAATTTTTAATTGTTTCGCAAATACATGCAGTATTATTTAATATAGCTCTTTCAAAAGTTTTTACTGTGGAAAACGCCATAATATGAAATATAAAACCGCGAATATCTGCGAAACCGTTAAAAAATTTAAATACTCTAAATACAAAAAATATTCATTTTTTAATTCTCCATCTATTGAAAAAATAATGTACGGGGTGTTCCATTTAAAAAAACGAAGAAAAATTATTTTATAATTTAGAAAGTTTGGCGTAGAATTTTGAACATACTGTACGATTTACAATTACCATATTTATAGCAAAGTAAGTACAGATCATTTAAAGTAAATACCTAATATAGTTTTAATTTGAAGACAGTTCTTGTATTTTTTATATTTTTTTTAAGAAATGCTGATAAATATATATTTTTAATTTATTTATTATCTTTAAAACTATCGAAATATATTTACTCATATCTTAGGATTATGTAAAGCGATCTGAAAGGAAGCCAAAAATTAATAATATACAGGGCGTTCCATTTAAAAAAAATTATCCCGATCCACTCTTACTTTTTTGAGCCACCCTGTAGACGTTAAAATATTTTTGTGAAATACACCCTAGTACATACTTTAGGTTTGCACTTAAACAAAAATCTCAAGTTTTTTATTCTAGGAGCTACAGATGCCCGACGCACTATTGCCGAACCCTGTATAACTTATATCAACTTATCAATAGTAAATGACAGTTGATGATAATTTCTGATAATCCTTTCTTAGAATTATTTCAGAATCTTTTATTTTTTTTTGAATGTCGATAAACGAGATTACTCAAACTTTTGTAGTAAAGCAAGTTCTACAGGAATATGTATATTTTTTTTATGAAATAATAATAATAATAATAGGACGCAGAGTACTTATTTCAATCAATGGCAATAGTATATTAAATATATATTTACCCATTTTAATCAGTATAAACGATATATTCGGGATCTGCCACCTCAACCTGCATGTATGGTTGCATTATTTGAATATTGTTCGAAGATCTCGATTGGGTATTGTTCCTAGACCTAAAAATACTACTCATAAGGCGACGAATGTTTCAATACAACACTAAAATATGTAATGGCATGAGATATAAAGCCTAGATCAAATAAAAATCTTTTATTAACTATAAATTTAACTTGGAAAGTATGTAAAAGACTATATTTGATAATATAATTGACTTACTTGGCTTTAGCGTGCGTCAAAATATGACTCTTCAGGTTAGTAGACTGCGCGAATTTCTTGTTGCAACCGTCAAACGGGCAGACATATGGCCTATCTCCTGTGTGTATTCTAACATGCGTCCTAAAAATTAATCAATATATTATTACGCAACTTAAAAAACAATACGTTATATTTGTTATGAGTAAAATAGATGCTTGGATAGTTTTAATTTCATATTAATTTATAAATTTTATTTATAAAACTCAATGGCTAAGCTTCCAAAACGACTATGAGTGCGCCTGTAAAATAGAAGTAATTTTGCAATCATCCTTCAGTTCTATGGTATATTCAGAAAAATTAAAAACTATTGAAGAAGGACCTCCAAAGCATATTTTGAATATAATACTAAATTAAAATCGTGTATTCGTCATTTTAGTGAAAATTTTTATAAAAGTGAACACTGGTTATGTGGTTGCAAGGCACCCAATGAACTTTTTGTTGGTCTTGTCTATTATTTTATCTAACAGACATGTTCACAGCTTTGTTTTTTTACATTTTAGTCCTTTTTTTAATTGGTTTGATTATTTTTTCAACCTGTTACATTTTTATTTTAGTTAACTTCAAAATTAAAGACTTTAATAAAAAAAAAAGAAAAAATTACATCCCCTTGTGTTCCACACCATGCTATGCCGCTGTTAAATTGCTGGTAAGTTTTAAAACCAACCAAGTATCCATTTTAGCGGTACTATATCTAAATGGTTTACCTCAAGTTAAAATCAAGGCTAAACCTTTTACCGCAGCCTTCAAAAGTGCATTGAAATGGTTTCTCTCCAGTATGAACTAACTAAAATAAATTCATTTTTAATTAATAAAAAAGTTTTTTTTGCAATAATCCGTTTTACCTGATGCCTTTTTAGTTTGCTACTCTCTACAAATGCTTTTCCACATTCTGCACAAACGTGAACTCTAGGCCCGTGCGTGTGCAGATGCTTTCTCATGGCTGAGTTATCTCGAAACATCTTGTTGCATCCTTTGTGGGGGCAGGCTGAAAAAAATGGCGAGAATTCCGCTTCAGAAATCATAATTAACAGCGAATTCGATAAAAAAAATCAGGAAAATTAAAATAACTTGTCAAATTGTTTGACAAATATGTCTTGGTTTGAAAGAACGCGCTAAAAACGACTTGATTGTATGATTTGCCAGAACCTTTTATTTCCTGGCCCTAAACCTGGTCCTCAAAATTGCGTGGTCTGGATTTTAACGTGCAAGACAGTGATGTAAACAGCTTAATGTGAAATCAAATGTTTAAAAAACAGATAAAAGTTGAGTTGATACATTTCTTCCGTGCGGTATTGCCAGATTTGCATCAAAATTCAAACCGCACAAGTAGGCGTTTATGAAAAATGTTGCATCTAGGGTTGGAACTTTATTCATTAGTTACTCGTTTTGCTACAGCAGTAATAGACTATATTTAGCTTAGATATATTATCTTCGTTTCAGAAGTATACATGAAAGTTTTTAAAATAGTTTATTTTTTTCTATTCACATTTTCCTACAAACGTAAAAAACCGGCAACACTGTATGCCGCTTTTTTATTTTGTCTCTTTGTCTGTCAACCGGTCATTTATATTTATCTCTGTCGCAAGAATTAAAATACAGACCAGGCAGATGAAGTGATGATTGATTTCCCTATAGATTAACTATTAAAAACCCGGTAAACTGAAAAAAAAACGTAAAAAGCGGAAAACCCGCTAAGTTGGCAACACTGATAACAAGTGACTTACCAATGGTTCTTTCTGTCATGTCTTGATTAGGTTTCCTGACTCTGGGGCTCTTCAAGCCGGGCCTGGCAAATTCAGCAAGTTGCTTGGGATCTGATAAATCTAATCCTGGCATACCATCGGTTGCTATTTTCTTGCCGGTCATATATTCGGTGTAATCTGGATCAGGTTCTGGATTCGAACCTTCATCTAATAGAATACATATATAAATAAGAAAAAAAAATGGAACAGGAAACTGAATTTTTGTGGAAAGTTCATATCCTATAACTTTTTTAATTTTTCAGATAAAAAAACGAGATTTGGTAGTACCTATATGACATAAGGATTGATTGACGTATTCAATTAGTTTCATTTGCTTCCTGTCTCATCGGAAATGATTACAACTTTTCATATTTAAAGGGTATGCTCAGTATTTTTTTATTTTATTTGATAGAAAATGGCATACTGAATAGAATGACAATAATGACATATCAGCTGTCCTCTTCTGACATTTTCGATCTACAACAATCATTTCCAGTGAAACAGGAAATGACCGAAACTAGTTGAATAGGTCAATAAATCCCCACTTATGTCATTGTATTAACATACCAAATATCGTTCTTTTGTCTGAAAAAATAAAAAAATTATAGGGTTAAGACTCTTTTGGAAAACACCCAGTATAATCCGCCATTATTTTCAATATTTTTTTTAAATAGCTTCACAAAAAAAGAAAATAAAACACCTGAAAATGTTATCTAATTGAAAGCGAAAATAAGTATATAATTAAAATTAAGAATCTAAAACAAAATAAATAAATTGAAGATAAAAATACAAGATGGAGATGGCCGTGACAGTCCTCCATTGCAAAAGCTTGCGGCCATTTAAAATATGTCAGAATATTTAGTATGGCCGCTTATTATCAAAACAAGTCGCTGGAGTTCCTTTAATTTTACTTATAACTTAAATTACAGAAGAAATTTCCCAATTTTTCATGGGCGTTGAGAGTTACAGTGACCCTTATGACCTTCAAGTGGTTGGGGAATTTGAAACGCATCGTGGAAAAATCCCGTACTAGTTGTCTGGGTAATTATCTACTTATTATAAAAACTCTGTATCTATTCTATCACCTACCGTCGCTTGCCCCAGAAGCCCACATAGTTACTGAAAATTCGCCTTCCATTGTTTTGATTTGCACCTGTTTCTGTTCCCATTTTCTGGGTTTTGTTTCCACATGCATATCGCTCAACAGGAACTCGTTTTCTCGCCTTATTATACCCCGACTTTTTATGTGCTTCCGTTTCTTGGAGGGCCCCGCCGTTGTCTCAACGTACAGCTCAGTTTGATCCGGGACAGGGACTTCGTAAAGATTCAGAGGATCCCCCGAATCATCTACAATTTCTTCGTGCGTTTCTAAAATGAGTTCTCGGCCTTCCAGACTTTGCATAGACATCATAGGCTCTCCGCATTCGACTATAGTTTCGACCGTATCACTCATATCCACGGGAATCGTCTCAATTTCAACGCATTCTTGAATGTCCGGCTGTATCTCCACTTCGCACATTACATGTTGGTGATCCGCCATAACTTTTATGTTTATAAAAGATGGACGAACAAATATGGCCACGCACAAATACCACAATGGCGGACATCCACTGACTAATGAACGTCACCGGTGCCAGAATCAAGCTAGACGCCTAGCTTTTCTTTTGTTCTTAAACGTTTCCGACATTTACCATTTCACTCTGGTAAATGAAAAGTAAATAGGTCATATTGAAATCGAGAGAGATAAAGATATGATCCAAAGGGATTTTGACTGTGTGACTCAAATTTGCTATTTGGACCAGTGCCTTCTATTAAAAGATCAGCCTACGGGCGGACTTTTGTTTACTTCATCAGCTGTACATACTTAGATATTGGGTTAGATTCGGTTTCATATTTTGTCGGTTGATTTTTGGTTTTAACTCTTTGATTTTTGGTATTATTTATTATTGTAGTGCAAAAACTAATTATTTTGGTGTTGAAGTGACATAAACTACTACCAGATATATGGTCACTCTCGGTTTCTGCATAAAAAAAATAGAAATTTTAAAATTACACGTTGTGCAAGTGATTTAACCTAAAAGTGCCCATACATTTTTTACTTATCGTGATTTTTGTGTGTGTTTTTTAAGACTCTAACAATTCATCAATAAAGCTTAAGTGGAGTGTGTTGTGGGTGCTATGCCTCATCTTTGTTGTGTTCCTGGTGGAAAGGATAGTTATTATACTAGGCAGCCTAAAGTGTCCGGAAGAGCAAGAAAAGTGGGTACGAGTTATAAATCAAGAGAATTTTATTGAAAATATCTTTAATAAATTTAAAAATAATATTCTCCCATGATGGTATTAATGAAAACTGGACAATTATGTTTATTTTATTCATATTGTGGAATCACCACTCCAAGTGTTGCTGGTTCAGCTTCGATAGATTCAAACACGTAATTAGGTATTATGAACTAGGGAAAAATAAAGAATATGTGTATTAGAGATCATGAAAAAGATTATTATTTTGAGTTCAAATTTTAAAAAAGATTTTTGTAAAGACAAGACTGATACAGTTTAAAAGAAGAATGTGTTTTTGTTTGATAATATATAATGTATGTTAAGCATAACATATATTTGTTCAGTAATTTTAATGAATAGTATTGATTATTTATAATACCAAATTAATATCAAATATTTAAGTGATGGCTGAATACAATATGAATAAAATAACAATAAAATTGGTATATTTGCATAATACAAAATTAAGTTTTAAGAATAAAGGTATTACTAAAAATACTAAGAAATTCATATTTCTTTGTTTTAATTGGTCTAATGTTAACCTTTTACGTAAGAATTATACCGTATCATCGAAAAAAATCGGCGTCTAGTTGGCTTGGAAATGAACATCGATGACATTCCCTAAATAACTGTACACATAAAATAATTAACTAGAATTTTACAATCTTGGAAAATTTGATATTCTTGAACCTTGATTCTAAATATTCTAAATTTTTTGATTTTCTTGGAATTTAGGTTCGGGAAAAACGCTGATTGATTTTTCATTATTTTTATTTGGTTTAAAAAAAAAAACGGTTCGGCTAACATTATAGCCTCCATCAGTGTTGTGTCATATGAAAAAATAGTGTCGAATATAATCCAAAAATTGCATATAAAATATTCACACCACGCACATAATGTTTACTGCGTACTCCATAGTCAATGTAGATAATTTTAGTGTTAAGAATAATAATTTTAAAAAATATGTGGTCATCTTTTGATAAGTTTATATTAGTTTATTAATTGCAGTAAACATTATGAGGTGTGAATTATATTGTATATGTAATTTTTTGGATTATATTCGACACTATTTTTCTCATATGACACACCACTGTGAAGGCTATAGTTAGCCGAAACGTTTTTTTTAAACCAAATAAAAATAATGAAAACCCAAATGAAAACTTAATCAGCGTTTTTCCCGAACCTAAAAATCCCAAGAAAATCAAAAATTTTAGAATAATTTAACATATAAAATGCCAGCGATCTTCATTTCATAGCCATCGCTGACGCCTTTTTTTAGATAATATTGTATTATTTATAAATATAATTTTTCGAACATTGATACTTGCAAAATATACATATAAATTTTGTGAATACAAATAATAATACATCACTATTAGTAGATATTAAATGTTTTTTGTTAAATTAGATCGATTTTCAAACCCCAAAATTTAAAATATATTTACATTTTACCCATTATCTTATGTACCTATACATTATTTGTACATTGTAAAACATTTGCTGCATTTGTATGGTTCATAGTTTATTTGCCAAAGTATTTATTACTATAAATATGTATATATGTTGTAGTTATTAACTGTATATTATGTATATTTCATTTAAACTATATCATTTTTAAAATACAAACCAAAAATCTGAGAAATAATTATGTTTTCCATGTATTCTACAACATATTTATTAATCCGTTATATCTAACTAGCGTGACGTCATAAATCTCGCCCGTAGGCTGATCTTTTAATAGAAGGCACTGTTTGGACATCCTTTGCGGAAGGCGTGGTGCCCGTTACCTTGACAACAGCGTAAAATTATTGGTGTTAGAGAGAGATGGATTATGACATTTATATGTCGAGAATTGATTCGTTTTTTGAGACAGCCAATATCAGCTGTGCTCTGTTCGAAAATTGATTTATGTTTATGAGGAATAGAAAAAAACAAAATTGTTTTTTTGAGACAATAATTATATTAATGTACAACTGGATTTAAAGGTTCAGCTTTAATATTCGATAAATTAAGTCTATTGTCTATTTCTTCATCTATTAATCCTATAATGGCCCTAAAATACAAAATAGGTATACCTTCAGCTAGAAACATTTTATATTAAATACATACACATTATCGCCTCGTATTATATGAAGTCCTAACATCACTTGTTCAATTCCTGAAGTTGTTGAATAAACTCGTTCATGAGATTCATCAAGAATAATGTTTATTGTCTGGTCAAACCCTTTTAACGTGCCCTGCAACATAGTTTAATAAATATATGAATTAAACAAACTGTGGCACATTTCTTACAATAAAATTACGTCCATCTGAGGTAATAATCGATACAGTATCTAATGTCTACGTTAATGAAAACTATTAAAACAAATGTAGGTATAGATATGCAAAGAATTAAAGGATACGGTTAACAAAGCTATCCAATCCAGAAGCCATAGCTTTTATAAGTGATTAACTTGACGAAAAACTTAAATAAAAATCAAGCCACAATTCAAAAACCTCAATTTTGTACTGGATATTGTATGCATATAGGTTTGTTTTGGTTCCTAAAATAGAAGTCCTGGAATAACCAAGCTAAAAAGAAACCAAAACTGATATTATCACTTAAAAACACGCTTTACAAGATATTATTATAAAGATAGAGTAGACTTTATAATTCAGCGGGAGTTATTTGGAATTAAATATACAAAACCGGGCTCAAAATCGAAAATAAAATTCAAAATGACAAAGCTAGGTTATGAATGTTTTGATCATATATAAAAATTACGGGATCGCCACAGAATATACCTGAGCGATAGGTCACAATTTTGATCTGTAGTAGTCAGATGTTTGTCACTGTCAGTGCTGTCAGTACTGTCACTTGTCTTGTCAATCTTATAAAAAATATCAATTTAACTCCGGTTTTTACAGTTTTTATAAAATATTATAAAATTAATAACAATTATTAAAACAATGAGCAGTGAATTTGTGTGGGCAATAAAGAACGGAGATCTCGAACAAGTAAAAGATATTATTGAGAAAAAGGTACGAATTGTATATTTATAAAACTATTTGGTAGCAAGTAGAAGTAGTGTTAAATGAGTCACATAAATTTTAATAATTTTTAATTGTACACTATATTTTAGTCGGTAGATGTAAATCAAGAAGTTGATGGTCGTCCACTAATTCTATACGCAGCCGATTACGGGCAAAGAGATGTAATAGAATATTTAATCTTATCAGGAGCAAACGTAAATGTAAGTTTAATTTACTGAATTATTACAACATGTATTAAAACGTTTTTTAATTTTAGGCTAAAGACAAACATGGAATCACTCCTATACTAGCCGCAATATGGGAGGGTCACAAGTCTTGTGTGGAGTTATTGTTGCAAAAAGGGGCAGAAAAAAATGGTGTAGCACCAGATGGGAAGTCGTACTTAGATTCAGCAGAAAACATCGAAATTCGCCAGTTGTTAGCTTAATTCTGTAGTAGTGATGAAGAGGTCTTAAAAATCATTGCCCCCTATCATAAATTCTACTTAAAATTTTATTCTATTTTCTCTAGAGGAATGGGAAATTGCATACATAAAATGTGTGCTGGGCGATATATGTATTTTTGATAATTACTCGGAGATCTTGAATATAGAGATTGGATTTTAAAATTATATTGTTTAGTGTTAAATAATGGTAATGGATGCTATACATTGCTCTACATTCGTATATACTTAAGTGCTTTTAATGAAAATTAACAATGATATAATGCTGTCCTTAAAAAAATGTATTTTATTCAGAGTACATTCTGAAAATGTATCATTTTAAATAGAAGTTTATACTATATTATTAAGATTACTAGTGTAGTGCTATTTATTTTATAATTATACATGTTTTGTAATAAAAAAGTTATATAGGTTTTGACTGTTACTTATTTTAGGTACTTAGGGATTTGTTACTTAAACAATTCATTACTGAGATTTACAATTTTTTTCCTAAGTTATTTAATTTATCCAGTTAAAGAAACACGAGGGTTTTTAAATTTTTGACCAAATTTTAGCTATTATATATATAATTTTTTTTGTAGATTTAATAAAAATATGTTTATTTAAATCGTATCTGAAGAGGTATATATAGATAACAGAGCTAGGATTATTAGAGAACGGAGGTATTAAAAACCGGTAAAAACCTTTATAGGCTAAATAAAGGCATATTTTTTTATTTTGAATTAAATAAATTTTATCCCTTCATTTTATTTGTCCTAGAGAATAAATATTTGCTACACCATTATAAAATCCATAAGTAATCTTTTGATACACATAATCAAGATTTAAATTGGTCAGCTATTTGTTTTTATTTAAAATCAAATGATTTAATTAGGGAAAATAATTTTTAATTTTTTACATTGAACATTGATGTGTAAAAAACACTATCCACAGAAAAGATTAAACTATCCTATGTCGACCATAAATAAAGGTCTTCTTCTGCTTCTTTGCTCGACTCTCTAGGCTTTTGGATTGGCATGCTCTTTCTACGTATCTATGGCTATACGCTAATAAAAAAATTAAGAAGATTTTATATGACAGCCGATGCCAGCTGTTCATTGTGTTTCTCTAAAATGTTGTACTGTGATGTTGTAAACCGTAGTAAACAAAGTTAATTAAGTATTTAATTATTAAAAATGTGTGATAGATATAATGCAATAGAAGAAAAGTTACGAATAAACTGAAATTAAGGATGAATTAAATAGGAACTCGACTTAATACAGTATCGTACTAAAACTTAATTTTAAACATAAGTTCTGTGATATTTACTTTTGTGTATAATATAAAGAAAAATAAACCAAGTTAATATGGTTCGAATTAGGTGGCTAACGCGGACATCCCGTATCGTTGCACTATGTAGTTTTGCGAACTTTATTAACAGTGCAGACCGAGTTATAATGCCCATAGCAATTGTACCGATGACCAAAGTTTTTGGATGGAATTTACATTTGCAAGGATGGATTCTTTCCGCGTTCGCCCTAGGCTATTTCACTTCTCAAATCATAGGTATGTAGTGTAATATAGAGCAAGATAATGATTTAGAAATAATATTGAATCTATATAATTATTAATTCTAGGAAGTTTTTGGGCTTCAAAATTGGGAGCCAAAAATGTCTTAATATGTAGCGTTTTATTATGGAGCATAGCCACATTCATCACACCGTTTTTAGCCAGTAGTGTGGCTTTATTAATAATTTGTCGTATTATTCTAGGATTTGCAGAGGGCTTAGGTGAGTTATTTGATATACCGTGTATCGCGTCGCTGACCTAAACATACAAATCCCATGTTAATTTTAAAAAAATGATGATAAAAGTTACCCATTTAATTTTAGAAAATTTGCCCTACCTTCTTCACACGCGTCCAATAGTTCTTGATGTTTAGAATATAATATTTAAATAGCTTAAAATTATGTTTCTTCAAAATTCGCCAAGCAGTGGTACAACGTTTTTCAACATTTCTTTAAGCATTATTAATTACTAGTCTTTTTTCTTCCACTTGTAACAGAATATTTCATTTATTAGAGTTCTACAAGGCATCCACAAAAAAAGTTACACATCAAAGATGTGTTTTTTTGTATTGGAACACCCTATATATTAACTGATTTTCGTATTCTAAGAACAAATAAAGGTGAATTTTTTGGAGGGACATATGACTAAAATGTAAGGTTTTTGACATATTTAACATTTTCTAAAAATGAAGAATAAATTTGAAACAATAAAAGCTACCTAAATTGGAATTTGCCAAGTATAGCCTAATATGTAGTTACAATATCCATTGTACTTTAAATCAAATTAAAACTTAACCAAAAGAATACTTAACCCGAAAAGTTATACAGGGTGGAACAAAATTGATATTGATCATTGGTCACTTTTAAAAGCAAGTTACTCCTTTATTTCAAATGGAACACCCCGTATATTATTCCGTCATTCAATGGAGAATTCATTAGAGATGAGCAGAAAATCGCAAACTGCGATTTAATCGCAGCGATTGTAAATTCGCAATCGCAACCTGTGATTCCTTTCCATAACAAACTGCGACTTGCGATTGAAACATATATCTGCCGATTTTGGATTTTTAGGCAACCAATATTACACCAGTTGCGATTTGCAATCGGTGCAATTCGCAGCAAAAGCTGCGAACGAAAATCACAGCATTGCGATTTTCTTTTGCACCGGCGGCGGTGCATCGACACGGCACTGAGAAGCCGAACGATGAGCTGGGAACGAAAATCGCAATATTGCGATTCTCGTACGCACCGGCTGGCGGCGGCGCGTCATCAACACGGCAGTGGGCAGGCGAACGAGGAGCTGAACGAAAATCGCAGCTCATCCCAGCATTGCGATTGCGATTTTCGTTGGCACCAGCGGCGCGGCATCGGGAGTGGGCACGCCAACGAAGAGCGGCGATTGTGATTTTCGTTCGCAGCTCCCAATACATCGGCCTAGACTAGATCGCAAAATCACATTCGCAATCAGGGCCCCGTAATTTTTATGAAGCGTTGGAAAATAGGCTTATATATGTTTATATACCTACCCCATAATATATATGTAAAATTTTTTAGTTTTAAATTTTGATAATAGTTTTAGATTTATAATATAATTATGGATTTAGAAGGTTAAAAAATTCTTGTTTTCGGTTATGACTAATTATAGTTTAGTTTAGTTTAGTTTAGTTTATTTATTAGTAATAACATACAAGAGAAGTATTTTTACAAGTCAAAAAAAAAAAAAAAAAATATATATAGTTACAGTTGCTCCCAGGTAATGATTAATAGTAATGGTTTTGGATTCAAATTATAAAAAATTATCTATTTTTATCCTTTATTTACTAGAAGATATAGAGCACGAAAAAGAAACAGCCTTTTCTCTTTATTATATTTTGTTATATGTATATTATATTATTACAAACATTTTTATAACAATCCATAATATAATATAATTTTCTGAATATACTAACAGTTGTGGATCGGCTGCTATGTTAATTTAAATACATCCTTTACAATCAGTTTTTTCATTTTAGAGAAATTTCAAATATAATAAAATGTGATATTGTCTTTTTATTTATCTAAAAGTTCGAAAGTTTGCACTTGCACTGGACGGGCCGCATCAAAGCCGTCGGCGTCGGCTTCTTTTGAGTTACATATAAAGAAAATGTTTTTAAGAGAAAAAAAGATAAAATAAACAGTTTTTTTCTCGTTATCTGAATTAAGGTTGGCGGCAACCTTTTTTATAATAAATTTTTCGTTAGTATACCTACAGACTGTCTAAAAGCACATTCGAATATTTTGAACATTTTATGTATTTTTTTCCCTTTTAAATTTATTCGGTCTATTCTAATCAAAAATGTTTAAAAAAGGAAACTAAGTTATTTATGGTTTGGTTTGGTTTGATTTTTTTTTGGTAATTGATGAAAATTTTAAGTGCAATATGTGTGCAGAGCAAAAATATCATAAAAAACACTTTAAAAGGCATATGGCATCGAAACACCCAACAGTTTCTTTGTAAGATTTTATTAAAATAAATTATTCCCCTATTTATTCTGTTTTTTCTCAAAAATTTTGGGATTAAGCTTCCCAGTTTACAGCGTACCAATTTAAAAATATCAAAATCGCAATCGCAGGTTACAGTCGCAGCGATTTACAAATCACAATCGCAGTTTCAACTGCGATTGGAAAATCGCAGTTTTACTCATCTCTAGAATTCATGGCTCTTCGAAATACTATCAAGGTTGCCTACCCCTCAGACAAAGATTTTCCTAGATATTTTCATTTTTAAGGTGCGTTCACACCGGCTGCGCCGCGCGAAACATTTTTTTAACATATGATCGCACCTTTATGATTTGGTGTCAGTAGATCTTTATTATTTGATAAAATTTTGGTAGCTGTTATATACCTGATGGACTCAATTTGACATTAAAAATTAAATTTCAAGGTGGCATGTTTATTACGCCAATTAAGGGGGACTAGATTTGTTTTATTAATTTTGTTAACTTCAAAAATAATTTGTAGAAGCTATTGAAAATTAAGCATTTGCTTCCTTTGAACAACTTCTTTTAAAAGTTTCAAAGAGATTTTAATTTTTTGTGGTTTATTCAATTTACATGTAATTTTCTATGTTTAGTTCGGTGATACAACAGCCGAGACAGTATAAAACGACTAAATTTTAATATTATTAATTCTTTTTAGGTCTTCCGACAATTTTCCATCTATTCGCCAACAGCATACCTGTAGAAGAACGTTCTAGAGCATTCTCGTACTTACTAGCATCCGGTTCGGTAGGCCAGACCGTAGCCTCAATACTATGCCCCCATTTCGACTGGGAGGCTTGCTTCTTTTGGTTTGGTTCCTTCGGCTTCATGTGGGTGTTCCTATGGTTCTGTTTCTACCCAAGAGAAATCTTCGGATCGGAAGAAACCATACCTTTACACATGCCTAAAGTTATTTCAAACAACACACACTGGGCCGATTTCATTTTAAGTAAACCTCTATGGGCGATATATACAGCTCACTTTGCTATGAACTGGTCGTCCTATATAATCATGAACTGGCTTCCAACATACATGCATACTTTTCTAGGAGCAAACGCTCACAGCTTAAGCTTGACAGCTGTGCCGTACATTATAAATTCGTTATTCGGTATAATATCGGGTCATGTAGCTGACGGACTTCTCCTAAATAAAAGCTGGAGTATTCTGAACGTAAGGAGACTTATGACGTGTATAGGACTGGTAGGGCCAGCTCTATTTCTAGCTATGTTTGGCGTAGTGGAACATCTTTGGTTCGCGCTGATTCTCGTGAGTATATCCATGGGTTTAAGTGCCTGTAACTCGGCAGGGCATCTAAGTAATCACGTGGATGTTGCACCTAATCATGCCGGGACTACGTTTGCTATCAGCAATACTATAGCAACGATTCCGGGGATTCTTTGTGGTCATGTTACAGCAAGTTTAGTAACGATGTCCGATGGGAAATGGTTGGGAGTGTTTTTGGGAGCTACGTTCATTAATTTGACTGGAGCTTTTGTGTATTTTACGAATAGTGTAGCCACGCAGATTTTGTAAATATATATACCTGTTGTATAGATGCATATATTCGTATTTCCCTGTAATATAAATTATTGTAATATGTGAAAGTATATGATTTTTTTAAAGCCAAACTTTAAAGTTTGAATTGTTTCAAAAAAAATATTGAATTTTGTTTGTTTTCCGAAGGGGTTAACGCTCATACAGAAAGGATATTTAGGGTGGTCGATAAGTTGTGGACAGATTACAGAAAGTATCTCTACTACCTTCATTAAAATATATGGTAACTAGCGTTTACCCGCGACTTCGTTCGCGTCGAATTAGTCCTTTGTAATGGTGATGATAAAGCAAAGCAAGAATTTCCATTAACATACAAACTGGATAAATTTTTCTCACATCTATGTCAGCATGAGAAAAAAACAATATGACGATATTATTATATAACTTGGTAATTTTTTAGAGGTAGTTTCATCTCGTTGGAATTTGACTTTCGAAAAATCCATTTGCCAAAAATAAGCTTTTTACGTCAAGCAGTTTAAGCAGAATTGTGGTTAATCAATTACCCAACTTTTTGGAACACCCTGTATGATTTTTTAAAAAATTTCAAAATATGTAAAAAAAACAAAATAAATTATGCGTGTCCAAGCATTTTCCCGAAAGACTAATCGTTTTTTAAATAACAAATATTGTAATATTTGAGGGGCCTTTTCACCCTCTTGGAATTTGAGATTCGAGAACCCCTCCTTATCGAACCTCTACACCCCACAGTCAATCCGTTTGCCAAAAATCAGCTTTAAACGTCAAGCAGTTTAAGCAGAATCGTGATTACTCAATGGTCATATTTTATGAAACACCCTGGATATTTTTTTAAAAAAAAATCTTAAAATATGTAAAATAACAAAATAAAATATACGTGTTTAAGAGTTTTTCCGAAAAACTTACCGGTTTGTAAATAAAAAATATTCTAATATATGAGGGGTGATTTCACCCCCTTAGAATTCGAGTTTCGAAAAATTCGAAAAATCAGCTTTTTACGTCAAGCGCTTTAAGCAGAATCGTGATTAATCAATGACCAGATTTTTCGAAACACCCTGTATACATTTTTAAAAAATCTTAAAATATGTAAAAAATAAAATAAAATATACGTCTTTAAGCGTTTTTTCGGAAACTTGACCGTTTTTTAAATAAAAAATATTGTAATATTTGAGGGGTTGTTTCACCCTTAGATTACGAAGTTTCACCCCCTTAGAACTGGAATTTCGAAAAATCCTTTCTTATCGAATCTCTACACCCTAGAATCTACCTGTATGCCAAAATTGAGCTTCTTACGTTGAGTGGTTTGAGCAGGATCGTGATTAATCAGTGAGTCAGTCACTTAAGGATTTTATATATTAGTATAGATTAAAAATGACAGGGTCCGGCGAATATTTTGTTAAAAAAGTAAGAGATAATATATTAGCCAATTATTTATTGAATGTTTCTATGTGCTTATGACCAGTGGCGTGCATTACATATAGGCAAAAAAGCATTGCCTACCCTTCGATTTATTCAAGACAGACGCAAAATAAAAATATATTTATCTGATCAATTTTATATGGACAAGCAAAAGCAGTGCGTTACCGCAGCACGGATGCACCCGATGTCTCGATCCCGCCGATGCGGTATTGCCAGTTCCGATGTTATTACAGAACTATGTAAGAAACAGTCCCTGTTATGATATGTTATGATATGATCAATTTTAAATAACTGTGTTTTAGAAAGATTTGTATTATGTAGCAAATTAGAAATTTGCTTGTCTGTCATCTGTATTTGTTTCCAAATGATTTCATTATTATTTTATTTGACTGTAAAATCATTTTGGTACATAAAATCTATTAGGCAGTGGCAATTGGCAATCTGGCAATATTGTGTACGGTTATTGTTTTAGCTAATTCGCCAGTCGTTGAGTCGCCTATCGGGAAGAAATAATGATTGAATAATAGACAGATTATTCGTTTTGCATCTACAAATAATTAAATTTATTTGCTGTTATTTGAATTTTCTTTTGTTTGAGTTTAAAGTTAAAATACGTTAGACAGTAAATATTATATACGTACATTGTACATATATATTATGTAATACATACGTTTTTTTAGTTTTTTTTTTCATATTTTTGATTCTGTTGCCTACCCTACTGTAAATGGTACTGCACGCCACTGCTTATGACTGACAAAGCACATAGAAAATTTTGTATAAAAAAATATGGATATTGTGACGGATAAAAAAATCCGCAGCTTATGAAGACTTTGCCTTCTACTTATTTGAGAAATAGTCAATCTGTTAGTTTTAAGTTACACGCACACTGGTGCGATCACGATCACGATCAGGGCAGCGATAATATGAGCGATCATTTAGCACACACCAACGCGTTCACGTTCACCGCTGTACCTATATGTAGTGCGCCATCCTGTAGGTACACATAGGTACAAATTAAAAATGTGAATTATGTATACCGAAAAAAAAACATTCTTAAATATTTACCTACAATATTTAAACTTAAACAATAAAAATGTATACATATGTACTATCCAATCCAATTGCAACTCCAATTTAATATATAAATATAAATCATATAGAATTTTGTGTATTTTTACAGCCTTAATTAGCTGCTCTGTTAACTCCATTTCTAAATTGCAACAAGAAAAAACACACAAAATAACGGAAAATTCCTATCAGTTGGGTCGCGATCACGCGATCAAACTCGACAAGTTGAATCTGATCGCCACGGCAGAATACAACGCCGCCAGGCCGCTTGGTCTCCAAAACTCGATCGCGCCAATGTGAAACGACTCATATGTATTCTTCAGCAACTTTTGGCCGCGGCCGCGTGGAGATCGTGATCGCACCAGTGTGCGTACAGCTTTAAGGTTGCCTCAGTAGGAGTTCTTGGGAAATGGGCTGCCAACTGTCTTTCCATCCTTTGGAGGTCTTCTTGGCTGTCTCTTACCCACACAACCAAGTTTCCCAAAAGCTATGCGCGGTAGCCTGTTTTCTTCCATCCTTTGTCCTCCCGAACCTTTGTCTGTATGAACATGAACATCTCATACAGTAGAAAAATTTAAGAACCTCTTTTAGAAAAAAAAAACACTAGACAAAGTCTTAAAAAGTACTAATTACATAATTTTGTGAAGGATCTGTGTGAACAAAAACAATTGTACCATGTAGATATACCTTATATATTTTGAAAAATAATGTAAAGAAACTTGTACATGAGTATACAGGCAGTATTAAAAAAAACCTTAATATTTCTCTATATGTACGTACTTTCTAATACTCTTTTTTTAAACAGTTTTTAGTCACTCTCGTCTTTAAGTTTAGCCAGTAATAACGCACGCTGTTTTTCCAATTCACCCTCACTTATTTCGCCACCTCGTGCATCGTTGTCTGGCTGGCGGTACTTTTCAGAAGGAGTACTCTGACAACAAAAAATCAATATAGTGCAAAGATATAGGGACAGGGAGAATGAGCGTGATATTCTAACCATGGTGGTTGCCAATGACTAAAGAATATAAGGACATGTAACGCCCCTATACGGGCTGCAGCAGAATTTGTGACCTTAGAGACCTTTCTTTTGGTGGCAAACAATGAGTCATCATTTGTACACCAGCAACAATTTTAGCGATTTTTAATAGTTTGTGTGTAGTAAACTTTGTATAAACTTTATTATAATGGTGATTAGTTGTTCAGCTTTCAAGTGTAAAAGCAACAGCGATAAGAAAGAGCCAGGAGTTACGTTTCATAGGTAAATAAACAGCTTACTCCAACTTTTTAGCGTTTTCTTATTGAATTCCGATAATTATTCTTCAATTTCAATTAACATCTATATGTACTTGATATGTGCTATACGTCGATACTAGTTTTGTACCTTTTGTTAACATTTTAATACGTTTTTTTCGTAATTAATTAGGAGGATGCACCATAGGCGTAGTCAAAACAATTATCAAAAAAAATATATATTGCTTCAAACAGCTAAGTTAAGAAAAATATGTGCCACGGCACTGTTTGGTGACATCGGCACAATTTGCTCTCGGGTGTTATTTGTCCTTGGATTCTTTAGTTATTGGTGGTAGCCATGTTCGCGCTTAGGTCTATACAGGACGTTCAGAAAGTAATCATGAATGTAAGTTCTCGACGGTAATCTTTAGTTTAATCTTAACAATATTGCTTAATGTTATTTAGACCTAAGGTAATAATAAGAACCCTAACAAAACAAGGAATAGACATGCCTTATACAGGGCGAGTCTGAAATAAGTGGAAAATTTGGATTTTTTTTTTAGTTTTTAGTTAAAAACCATAATTTCTTGATTATATGGCAATATAGGTAGTAGATTAAATTTACCAGAAGAAAAACCCAGAAAAGATACTGTGGTTCTCAAAATTTAACCAAAAAATGTTTTTTTGGGGAAATTTTCAAAGTAAAATAACAATTTTCGAGTTATTTGAAAAACGGTAAAGAGAAAATATGTTTCTTTTATCGAGATCTACCAGCCCTGAAAAAATTGTACTTATTTAAGACTCACCCTGTATAGGAACTCTTGCCAATATACAGGGTGGTCCGAACTGTATTCCGGGAATTTCGGCAGCATATTCTGCACATAAAAATAAGTAAAAAAGTTTGTATAGTGTATGTCCTATATTGCTTAGTTTTTGGGATACAGGGTGTAGAAGTTTCATTTTTATTTTAATTTTTTCTATATAATTTCTGAAGTAACGATAAAAATTGGTGAAATTGGGAGTTTTTTGACATGAGAAATTTGATTTTGATGTCAATATGATTCATACTTGTAGAGGGCGCCACTTACATATTTTTTAACTGGTTTGAAGCGTAATAACTTTTTGTCCGTACCTAAACTACCGAGCGAAAAAATATACATCTCTGTGATTTTTTACGTAAAAAATATCTCTTTGTAAAAATCGCTTCGAGCAACCCTTCTTAAGCTATTTAGAATTGAAATAGTAAATGCATGTCATTATTGACGAAAAATAAACACGTTGAGTAGATAGTTATTTCACTGAAATAATAAATTTGGGAAATTTTTATTTTTTTAAATTAATCATAAATTTTTGTGCAAAAAATGATGATAAAACAGTTTCTGTTGAACATTTGGCACAAAAACATTTCAAATTTATGATTTGAGTCTAATAACTATTTAGTCAACATGTTTAATTTATGTCAATGATGACAGGTATTGATAATTTCTATTCCAAATATCTCGAAAACCATTACTCGTAACGGCTTTTACCTTTTTCACGTAAACAACGTCGTAAATGTATATTTTTTTACTCAAACCAGTTAAGAAATATGTAGGTGGCGCCCTCTACAAGTAGAAGTCATTTTGACATCAAAATCACATTTCTCAAGTCAAAAAAATTCCGGACACCATTTTTTTCCCAAACATTGACGTTACATCAGAAATTATTTGTAAAAAATCGAAAACTTCTACACCCTGTATCTCCAAAACTAGACATTTTAGAACATACATTTATACAAACTTTTTTACTTATTTTTATCTGCAGAATATGCTACCGAAGTTTCCGGAATACAGTTCGGACCACCCTGTATACAAACAAGTCAAAGCAAGAGTAATGATATATAAAACAACCCCAAAGTTCCCAACTCGCAAAGGAGTATAACAGGCAGCCGCGATATCCCACAGCAACACTAGAAGAAATCTTCCATCAACTAGACTGGACCAAAATAGGATTGAAAATAGAGATGGAGAATATCTTGTGTCTATAATGGCGGCCACCATGGCATAAGAACATTTTTCGTTGCGCACTCGTAGAAGCTCATTCTCCCCACCCCTATATCTCTGATATAGTACAAAGTAAAGCGAAAGAAACCAGAAAAATAACTTAGTTTGTAATATATATTTTAAGACTCTCTAATAAATAACAATTAAAAAGCATATAATAATATGTTAATTGGTTAAGATTAAAGTTAATAAATTATAACAGGGGTTTTAAAAATGTCATGAACTCACAGATCGACTCCTCTTCTTATGCTTCTTCTTCGATTTCTTCTTTTTACTGCTGACGTACTCCTGCTCGCTGTCCTGCGATTCGGGCGTGGCACTTTTAGCTTTGTGTTTCGATTTTTTGTATTTTTCTTTCTCCGCTTCAGAATCGCTAGAGCTGGTCGATCGGTATTTTTTGTTTTTCTTCTTTTTCGATTTTTTTGAGCGCGAGTGATGATGGGAACAACTTTCTTCCATCTCGTGTTGAAATTCCTATTTTTTTAAACAAGTGTTTCAATAGTCAAACTGGCAAAATTACCTCCGGCGGTATAGACAATAATTGACGAAAGCAAGACCGCCGTTAGACGGTTTTATATACTTATGTATTTATTAAAATAAATACCGCCGAACAACGAGGTAAATTTTTCAAGCACGGCGATTGTTGCTAAATATCTAAAAAAATACCGCCGGTATACTTTTTAAAATACAAACATATCGCCGGTATACTTTTTAAAATGCATACATACCGCCGGTATACTTTTTAAAATGCAGAGATACCGCCGGTATATTCTTTAAAACTATAAAAATGCCGCCGATTTTACCCAATTTTATATGTATTGTTTTTCCCAACATAATTTCCGCGGTTAAGTACTGGTGTCAAAATAGAACCACATTTCCTGCATACAAAAATAAATATTATTGACATTTTGGATGCTAAATAAGAAAGCAATGAACTCGTGTTGAACTTCCTATTTTTTAAACAACGAAGTGTTTTAATAGATAAACTGGCTAAATTACCGCCGGCGGTATAGACAAATGACGAAAGCAAGACCGCCGTTAGACGATTTTATATATTTATTAACATGAATACCGCCGAACAACGAGGTAATTTTTCAAGCAAGGCGGGTGCTGCTAAATATATAAAAAAATACCGCCGGTATAATTTTTAAAATACATACATACCGCCGGTATTTTTTTTTGAATATAGAAATACCGCCGACTTTACCAAATTTTATGTTATTCTTACTAAAATTGGAGGGACTCAAAACAGTAATGGTTTGGCAGTTGGTGGACCGTAGGTAAATGTCTGTCTAGCTATAGCTAGACCAGGTTAAGTTCAAACAGCCGTCAATGACAAATTAATTCAACTTTTCACAGGAATTAACAGACAGAGAAATATCATACCGCTGGATGTCGGAATATTTTGTATACACTAACAATACCGCCGGCGGTTTTTTAGCTAGTGTGTTAATAAAAACAAACCTAGCATCGAAATACAATTGCTAAATTTCAGACAGGTGATTCCGCATCAAAAAATGCGAAAACAGTTCCCATAAACATGGATCTGGAAATGCGTAATTTTAAAGATACAGGAAATTTTTTAAGGAAGAACCCTATTTGTATATTTACCTTGTATATTCTTTGCTTTTCAACCTCACTTTCAATAGCCAAATATTCCTCCTCGTTCTCAATTTTCTGTTTAATTGTTTCCCAAGGTTGTTCGAAATCCACGTTCAAATCTTTGAGCAGGTTTTTCATGCCAGCCTCTAATTTCTTCATTCGTTTTGATTCCTCCTTGATTCTCTCTTTTTCTCGTATTTCAGCCTGAAAAAAAAAACAGGTCTTAAGTGTAAAAAATCTATTTATTTCTTACTGAAAAATACTTATATCGTCTTGGTTACGCTAACCATAAATACAGTCATAACATAGAAAATTATTTTCTTTTATCTATGGTCATAACTCCCTTGGCACATTATTAACGGGAATTAAGATGCCATAATTCCCTCTACCTTTTATAAGTAACAACCATGAAAACTTTCAAAATTAAACAAGGAAAAATTTGGAAATTAAAGAAGTAAAAATTTTCACGTAAAAAATAAATAAAATAAATAATGGCATCAACCAAACAGTACAAATTCCACACAATAATTATTCAATTTTGTGTTTACATTATACAGGGTGTTGTGTGACTGACGGGTGTTAATGATATTCTAATATTTAGAGGGATATTCTTGGACGTATTAACTAACATAATATTGTTATTTTGGCAAAAGTTTAAAACACTCTGTGGAATAGTTTAACAAAGCAAGGAATTTAAAAACCACTTTATCATCAAGGTACATCTTTTCTCGATAGTTTGTTTTTTGATTCATACCAATAGCTTCATTTTTATTGGAGATATTCGCTTTTGAAGAAGACACTAACGATTTACAGCAATTTTAGCAATAAAAGAATGCCTTTGCTTTTGGTATTAATCAACACACCCCTCAAAATAGTGTTTATGATTTTTGTCACGTCACTGTCATTGAAAAGTCATATTATTATTGTTTTTTTGGCAGTTACTCTAACAGAGATGGTTTTAAGTACAGAAGTTTTATCGGCTATTGAACATGATACAAATTAGTGATGGGAATACCGGTTCCACATGAGTCGCGTTACAGTAACGACCGTTCCAGAAAAAAAAACCGCGACAAAATACCGCTATTTTGTAATCGAGGTTCCGACTTCCACAGTATCGCGGTCCTCGCTTATGCAGTATTTCTGGCATTAGTTATCTACTCCCAACCAGTGTTATCAAGTTCTTACAATTGTACCAGCTGTTAAACCATTCGTGCCACGAACTTAGATAATGAACTTAATAGAACGCTTATGGAGAGCGGTGTTTACTTTATAGAAAATGGCCCTATATTTTTTAAAATTTTCGATGCTGAGAAATACAAAAATAAAATAAGTTAGTTAAACTAGAGTTAGTTGCTTGCGAAATTGATTACCTGTCGCTATAATGCTTTTGTTCATTATATTGCGGGAAGTAGCATTATATTTTAATTTTTAAAGAAATATCAAGGAATGACGTATTGTCTTTAACGGCTCATATTTATGTGTATTGCAACATAATATATTTAATGTTAAAATCAAGAACAAAGTCCAAACCACTGTCAAAAAAATTCTTTATTGGTGACTGGTTTCGGCCATTCCAGCCATCATAGGACCTTAAAAATAGATATAAACAATAAAACTTATATAAATGTATAAAAGCCAATAACATTTTTATTTTTTTGCTTTTACGTTACACCTTTCTAACAACGCTATTTTATACCATGCCTAGTACATACCAAAAAGCGCTATTTCGAAAGTAACGTAGCGACGGGAGCACCAACGCCAGTAGTCACCGACCAAATCGCGACAGGCGAAAACGAAACCCTAGAAGCGCTCCAGCAACTGCTGAAACGAAGTACGTCGCCGCCGAGGTCCAGCGTCGATAATCAGTTACAACAGTTACTTCTGTTCGCGACAGGGAACTAAAACTCTAGGAGCGCGACGGCTGGAGCGAAGTAGGTCGCCGCAAAGATCGAGCGTCGATGCCCAGTTACAGCAGTTACTTCGGTTCGCGACAAGGAACTACAACTCTAGGAGCGCGACGGCTGGAGCGAACACGTCCCGATCGAGATCGCGCGGCGCTACGGACATACCAGTTAGAGATACTACTGTTGGCGACCGACGAAATCGCGACGGCTGGAGCTAAACACGTCGCTATGCGGTTACTACGGTTCGAGCTAACTTCAAAAGCGATTATAAATAATTTATTTGAAAATTATAAATAATTTATAATTTTGTCGTCATTATGATCGTCGTTCTTCAATAACAGGTTTCTGATTTGTTGTGGAGCGCGACACGACGTTACAAAAAAATACCGCTCCAAAATCGCGTTACTCAAATACCGACGCATCACTAATACAAATGAACTACTGGACTTAAAAACATTTTTGCTAGAGTTTCCGCCAACACAAACAATAATTTGACATTTCAATGACAGTGACATTACAAAAACAAAAAACAACTAGGTCACAGGTGTGTTGATGAGGACCAGAAGCAAAGACATGTTTTTAAAACTGAAATTGCTGTAGATCGTTACTCTCTTCTTCAAGATGGAATATTTTCAATAAAAATAAAGCTATTCAAATAAACCAAAAAATAAACTGTCAAGGAAAGATACACCTCGAGTATAAAGTGGTTTTAAAATACCTTACTTTGTTAAACCATTCTACAGGGTGTTTCAAACTTTCACCAAAATAACATTTTGTTTTTCTTTGTATAATAGACAGATGAGAATAATTTTTAACCGTTTAGTTATAAATAACTCGAATTTTAACTTACTTTTTCTAGTAATGAATTGTAAGTCAATTTCACATTGCCTGCATCTAGAGAAGCACTTCGTTTATCCTCGCAAATAACGGTTGCAAACTGATCAAAAGTGGTGGAGGCTTTTACTTCAAATTCTTTTTCTCTTAAAATTTCCTTGATTATCTTCTTTTCATCGTGGAATCGCGATTTCAAATCTTCTACGTAAAATTTGAATAAATCTAAGGGTGTTGATCCAGACTGACCTATAATTAAATATCTAATAAAATCCTTTTTATCATTATTTTTTTTGTGACACCCTGTATTAAATTAAATACATAATATAATTTATACCTAACATTGCTGAAAATCGAATATCAGCAGATATAATCGGATATAGTTCTACCCACAGCGACATTGAGGTTAGCTTTCCTTCCTCGTGCAAGTGATCCAATAAAGCCAAAAATTGATCCCTATTCTTCCTGTACTGGCGTTTATGTCTTCGCTTTTCTCTCTCCTGCAAATAAAAACTATGTATTATAAGAAAAAGTCTTATATACAGAGTGTGCCAAAAAGTTAACAAACAAATGGAAATTTTATTAACGAATTAGTGAAACAAATATTTATTAACCCTTCAGAGCTTTTTTTAATCCTGAGCATCAAAAAAGAAACGTTACACACCAATTTGATGCTGTACAAATTCGGCACAAATTTTTTGGCACATCCTGTATAAATAATAGGTTATATTTACCCTTTCTTCGAAATATTCTTTCTCCAGGACCCTTATATGTTCTTCAAAAACAATCAAGGCGTCCTCCTTGTCCATCGCTAGTAGATTGACATCATTTTTAAATGCATTATTGTCCAATAACATAACCTGAAATTTATTTGTAATTTTTTATGGTCTTGTGTAATATAAATTCTGAATAAATAGTACTTGCGCTTCGCTCCAAGTGGTGTCGTAATTGATTTTTGTCATGCTGTCTAGAACCTCAGATAATTTCTTCATGTTTCGCTTTTTCAATGTTTTTGCTTCTTCTTTTTCACGTTTGGCTAGTGCAAAAACTACATCGTCGTAAATATCTCTACGGTCAGAGTCTCCAACGTTCTGCCATATCTAAAAACACACAAATACCATACTATCGAAAAAAAAATGCGTCAAAGACGGCTGAGAAATGACAATCGATAATAATTTTATTAAGTGAGAATGTCAAAAGTTGACATATGATATGTCATTCTATTCAGAATGTCATTTTCTATCGAATAAAGTAAAAAAATACCGAGGGTGCCATTTAAAAATCAAAGAAGTGCCAAAAATAATTGAATACGTCAATCAATCCTAATTTTAGTCATATACTAACATACCAAATCTCGTTTTTTTATCTAAAAAAATAAAAAATTGTAGGGGTGAACCACTTTTGAGACGCACCCGGTATAAAAAGAATTATTAAAGGCATAAATATATAATTCCCTTCCATGAAAAATATTAATAAACTTTTGCATTTTTAGAATGCTTACAACTATATAATTAGGAAATTATCATACTTCTAGATGTCCAAACATTTCGTCGCACTTATAATACTTTACAGTGGAAGCCATTTTGTCCGAATTGGTTAAAAATTCTTCTAATTGCTCCTTAGATCTTTTAGCCTTGATTCTTTGTTCTTCCTTCTCATCTTTTTGTTTCTGCGTTTTATAAGCATTAAAAACCTACAGACAACAAAAATTATGTATTTCTTACTATCAAAGAATTAATGAATTTTCCAATGACTAGAGAATACAAGAACCAATAATTATGCTGGGAATAACCAACAAAGACAATGGCCAACAATGGCAATTGGAAATGGTTGAATAAGCTGAAAATGCTGATGATGAATGATGACACAAAGTTTGCTACACAAAACAAAACTATTAAAAATAGCTAAAATTATCCCTTCTGTCACCTCCCACGTTTGGCACCAAAAAAAATGGCGTCCTATAATTTAATATCACAGATTTTGAGCGTTACGCGTCCTTGTATTCTTTAGTCAATGGAACTATAATATTTGAATGTAATTAAACAGCCGTTAAACGGTAGCCTACTAAAATGCCGTTAATAGATATTATAACGTCGTTGATGTCGGCGAAAAGTAATGCCTAGCGAAAGGCATTTTGTGAGCACTTGTAGCTCCGTGACTGAGGCTATTGCTTCGTGAGCTTAAAGGTCCGTGGTTCAAATCTCACGCTGGACCAAGACCTTTTTATATTTTTTTTTGCTTTTTGGCGGGTTGGTTAGCGTGGTTATTTGAAGGGTGTTAATTCATTGGTTAGTGGGTTATTTGGTGGGGTTGGTTGGTTTTTACTAATTTATATGTTTTTTATATTTTTTTACGAGTGTCGAGGTTAGTTGCGTTGGTTAAGTTGGTTATTTGGTGGGGTGGATAGCGTTGGTTAGTCCCATAGACTTAAAATAAAATATAGACGACACTATTTACATCTCAACGCGGACAAACAACCTTTTTTGTACACATGTTTACTTCTGGGTACAGTCGATCGAGCCTTCCTCATCCAGCCTATGTTGTCACGTCTTTAATATTATCAATATTTTTTTTCTTGTTATACACATATATTGAGATATTAATACTACAGTTTAATAAAGTAGGTTTTAATATTCCATAGATGTATTAAATAGTCCTTATACTACTAAATTATAAGTCGGATACTGTTTAATAAGGATAAGTTCTTTACAATATGACAACACCGATTAGAGGCGAGGGAGCCTATTCATTCATTTATTACCTTGTAGTACGTGTCGCACGTGTGCGGTAAAGCTTTGTTACCGCTATCTCCCCGGCTGTATTAGCGCATTTTCTTAGCTTGTAGTCCTTAAGTGTTTATTTTATTGACTTTTTCTGTTCAAAAACTATAAAATATGGTTCGCCAGTGCCAAATTTGCAAGAAATTTGACTTAAATAATCCGTTTAAGTCTCGAAACGACTTTTGACCGGTAGGCAACTCTCAATTTACCCATTGGCAGTCAGTGGCGTTGTTGTAAAAAGGCGCTTATTTAGATAATATTTTAGTAAAATGTAAAATCTGAATTTTTTCTTTTACATTACATTATTTACTTACTTACATTGTAACAAAATCATAATTATAACCCTGTTAATAATTAATAATGTTTTTATTAAAAATATATTCCGGTTTATTCTAAAATTATAAGAATTTTAAAATGATATTACATTATGAAACAATGTTTTTTAATATACCGGGTCGTCTCAAAAATGGCTCAACCCTATAACTGTTTTTATTTTTTCAGATAAAAAAACAGATTTGTATGTTAGTAGGTATATGACATAAATTAGGATTTATTGACGTATTCAATTGTTTTTGGTCTCTTCCTGTTTCACCGAAATGATTACATCTTTTGATTTTTAAAGGCACCCTCGGTATATTGCTACTTTATTCGATAAAAATGACACTCTGAATAGAATGACATATCATATGTCAACGTTTGACATTGTCGCTTAAAAACATATCCTATTTTAAATTTCAATCCAGTTTTTTCAATCCACTAAGTTTTAATCAAGGAGCCTTGGAAAAATAGTTTTGATCGTCTAATAGGTTTCGTGTCTTGTCTAGGCCGGTTAAAAGATGTACAAATCGTATTTTTAATCATACATATGTCAATTTTTTCAAATGGAACAAGGATGACTCATTAGCATATTTGGAAAAAGCATTTTTTATGAATATATTGATACCACACACTTGGTATTTCGAGTCAAATTGTCGTTATGAACCGCGTGTTACAATTACAATTAAACCATATGCGAAAATGTCAAAAGTTGACATATGATATGTCATTCTATTCAGAGTGTCATTTTCTATCGAATAAAGTAGAAATATACAGAGGGTGCCGTTTAAAAATTAAAAGTTATAGTCATTTCCGGTGAAACAGGAAGTGACCAAAAACAATTGAATGCGTCAATCAATCCTAATTTATTTCATATACTAACATACTAAATCTTGTTTTTTTATTTGAAAATATAAAAAAATTATGGGGGATGAGCCACTTTTGAGACGCACCCGGTATAATAAAGACAGTACCGAGTTAAATAAATGTAGTTTTTATTTTATCCACTTCCTATCACCTTCCTTGCTTTAATGGAACAGATTTATGTTTTCTCTAATTTACATAATAAGACATCACTTAACCAGAAAAAAAATTACAACAATCATATTTTTTTTTCTCTCCCTGTCGCCGATTCTATTATATCTGTGGAATAGATCCTGTTTTGATTAATATTAGGGGTTGTAAATGTTTGACTAAAATTAATAATTTATTATTAATTTCAAAAATTACCTAATTTCGATTATAAAATTTCTTCTATAACGTGTATTTTATTATTTTTATCCTTTTTGGACTCTAAATTGTTTTTTCTAAACTTTTATTTAAAAAACCTGTCCTAAATCTCAATAAAATATAAAAAAGTTTAAATACGATATATTTTTAATTTAATTATTATAGCTTCATTAAAATAAAAAAAATACCCGGCTATGATACGGAGAGTTCAGGTGTACTTGAGAAACGAAAGACAGTGTTGTGTTTCTCGGCAGAGTCGTCAGGGAACGACCGTTACGACAGAGACAACCTATCTATCGCTCGTGTCGCACTCGTTATAACCTAAAACAATAACACAACAATAACAAGACAGTGTCTGACCGCATGTTCCAGCTATTTATGAATGAGATGCTCAGTCTATATTTTATTTTAAGTCTATGGTTAGTCCTTATAAAATTTCTATATTTTATAAAGCCGTCAAGTGCGTCTCATCAACGACGTCATACCTATCAACGGCATTGTAGTAAGCTACCGTTTAACGGTAGTTTAAGTACAGCGATAATATTTACCTGCTTTTTTTCGTTTAACTTTTTAAAAGACTGGTATCTAGGATCGCTAGATATTATCTTGACGCACTGATCCCAGGAGGCGTTGGAAGGAATGTTTTTCTCTTTAAGTAAATCCTTGAATGCCTCCATCGCCTCTTTTTTATCTTTGAATACTCGCGGCTCTGGGATTGGTATTTTAGACTCTTTCGATTCGTGAATGGTTGCTTTAGAATTATCCTCTAGTTACATTAAAAACAGATCAGAAATGTTTAAAAACCACAATCAGAATATAAATACTATAGTTCGTACCAGTTAAACTTTTAGTCACGTGATTAAGCTTGACCGGCACAGCGTTGCCCACTTTTACACATTTTCTTTTAATCAAAATATTTTACGAAACAAAAATAAATTAATCATAAATGTATAAACAGTTATTATTTACGTCAACAAAATTCACCTTCTCAACAGCACTTAGGGACATAAGGGACTATTACTAACGCTTTCCCGTTCAAATTATTCTAATAAGGTTGCGCTGAGTTTTTTGCAATGGCTATTAAGCTATCTTGTACACTTCCTACTAAAAGAGGTTCTAAAAAGAACAATGTTCGACTGCAAAGTCTGCTAGTAATAATTTTTAAGCTTAAATTATCACAACACAATTCATTTAAACCAAAAACTCGTAATACAAAACTAAAGTATCTAAATGAACGACTATGTCAAGTAATAAATAAATAAATGTGGCAACTTGACATTTTTTACAGCATTGTTACCACCTGAATCTCAAGCGGGAAATTTAAATTCCAGATAGTCAGCCCGGCGCGGCGCCGGATATGTCCATGGTTGGTAACAATGAATTTAAAAGTCGCGCCCTCGATTATGTAACTAAAAGTTTAATTGGTTGTGACTAAAAGTTTAATTGGTATCGCTTATAGATTTCAAAATATCACTGGTCTGCAAAAAAAATTGCCCTGGCACCATTCCTGCCGATTCTTATGTAAAAAATCCAAATCCAAACGTTTTTTCAGTAATTCTTAAATAAATTATTAAAAATACAAAAACTGTCCTGAAATCAAAACTAAATTGGTTATTTACTGTAGATAGTCTGTACTTAGCTATAAATATGTTAATCGTAAATCATACAGGATGTTCAAAATTCTACGCCAAACTTTCTAAAATATAAAATATTTTTCTGTTTTTTTTTGTAAATGGAATACCCTGTATATTATTTCGACATTCAATGGAGAATTCATGCCTTCAAAAATTTTAATGATTTGGCAGATACACGCAGTATTATTTCAATACCAGGGAAAAATCATTGAATAGCTTTGACAAAAATTTACTATGGAACTGCGAATATCTGCGAAACCGTTAAAACTTTTAAAATACTCTAAATGCAAAAAATGTTCATTTTTTAATTCTCCATCTATTGAAAAAATAATATACAGCGTGTCCCGTTTAAAATAAAAAAGAAGAAAAATTATTTTATATTTTAGAAAGTTCGACGCAGAATTTTGAAGACCCTGTATGCTGTATGAATTAAGATTACGATATTTATAGCAAAGTAAGTACGATTTGTAGTAAATACCTAGTATAGTTTTGATTTCAGACGAATTAAGATTACGATATTTATAGCAAAGTATTTTTTTTAAAAAAGGCTGAAAAATATATATTTTTTATTTATTTATTAATATCTCTGAACTATCAAAACATATTTAATAACATCTTACGATTATGGAGAGTGATCAGAAAGGAAGCCAAAAATGCAATAATATACAGGGTGTTCCATTGTAGAAGTTAAAATATTTTCCTGAAATACATCCTAGTGCATTCTTTATGTTTACACTTCTTAATAAAAAATGGTAAGTTTTTTATTACAGGAACTATAGATGTCCAAAGCAATGTTGCAGAACCGTGTATAACAAATTACCTGGTCTAGGTGGTGGTGTTGGTATTGAAATTGCGGCCAATGTAGCTGCCATAGCGGCATCTAATGCACTACTCTTATTCCCTGGACTATCTAATAAGAAAATGAGTTAATTTAAAAAAAATTAAAACTGAACTTACGGGAACATACCTGTATTTGAACGACTAGGAGAGTTCCCACCTGACAGTGATGCCAATGGACTTGCAACTTCACTAGGTGTAACAGAAATGGGTTTTGGTTTAGACCTATAAAATACACATTGACAACTACGTTGGTAAAATATTCAAGTACATTGACCAAGCGGAAGCTCCAAGTGGAACGATAGTTTGTATTGAAATTAAATTTTGGGAGCATAATATGTTAGTGATGGGCAAAACTGTTATTTTTAGATAACAGTCGAAACTGTTATAGTTATTTATAAAAAAACAGCGTGAAAATAACAGGTTTCTTTATTTTATTGCTAAATATCTGAAAGAGTATGAGGCGGTCACCGCCAGGCGTATTAACGCAGTTGCAAGTTGCAACAATGACGTGCTCGGTGGTAGTATTTCCAGTTTGTTTACAAATAAGCGCTGTTTACAAATTGCGATATAGAAAATGCCAAAATGCCGCCACTCGTCTATACCTATACATTCCGATCTACCTACGGCCCTGCCCCTCGATCCGCCTTAATTGCATAGCAGTGTACAGGGTGCATCTCACTCGACGGGCGAGAAGCTCTTAGCAGACTCTTAGTTATGATTTTACCATTTGCGGTCAAAAAATAGCAATATAAGAAAATGTGTAGTATACTTTTATAAGTAAACCAACTACACACTAGAGTTCGAATTAATTTTACACTTAAATTTGCAAAGGAGAATTTCTACTTAGGTATTTACGGTATTTATTCTGAAAAATTATCTAAAACAACTTATGGCGTTATTCACCAACCTGTTTCGAACCTCCATCAACAATTGACCGATGCAGCAGCGTTTCTTTCCCACTCCTGTTATCTCGACCGCCAGGCGTTATGCCCGCAACTGTTTCAAAAAAGCTGCTTCTTTTATATCCTATTATTTTTAAGCTGTTGCAAGCCCAACACGACCATCGACCGATTTAGCTACGTTCGTCGCGCCGCCGTAGCGCATTCCCCACTCCGTGGTCTATTGTATCTCGCCGCCTGTATCGATGGTTGTCGAAATAATATCTTTTCCATCCATTCTAGTTGTTTTTTGGAATTGCTTCGAGCAGCATCGAATTTCGTGGCAGTGCAGAGCGCCGACTTCGTTTCACGAACTGTCGATCTCTACGTGTCGTTATTTTATATCTGTTATTTTTTATAAGTAATAACGGTTGCTTTATGTTATTTCTAAATAATTGTTATAAAATAACAGATAGTTAAATAACAACCCATCACTAGAAGAGACATTAACTCTCCACTGAATAATATACTGGGTGTTCCATTTAAAATAAAAGAATAACATGCTTTTAAAAATGACTAATGTTCAACATTAATTTTGTCCCAACCTGTATAGCTTTTCGGGTCAAATTTTAATTCAGTAACATACAATGGTTACCAAATTAAAATTATCATACCATGGTTATTTTAACTAATACTAATTCTGAGGCTATACAGGGTAAATTACAATTTAGGTAACTTTTATAGAAATTTAAAATGTATTTTTCTTTTAGAAAATGTCAAAAACTGTACATTTTAGGCATATATATATAATAAGACTCGCCTTTATTTTTTCCCTAGAATCTGAAAATCAACTAATATACCTATAGGGCGTTCCATTACAAAAAACACAACTCTGATGTGTAACTTTCTTTTGGGGATACCCTGTAGAACTCTTGTATTTTTAAAAAATGCCCCAAATTAATACAAATGCTCACTAAATTTTCTTGTCATTCTCCTTGAAGACTCCACCTGTTATGTAGATATAATATAAGCTTACTCTTCTAATAGAAGTTTTTTCTTTATCTCTTCCAGTTCCGGTGGTATAACCCATCTTGATTCTTTCGTAGTGACATTATGGTAATATATTTTACCATTATCTGCAGTATACTCTTTCCAAGGACACTGAGATAACAGAAGCTTAAAAAAATAGTTGTTTAAGTTAACTCACAACAATTAATAAGATTTATCGGTCTATATTTACTTCGCCGGGAGTTTTGAGACAGTCAGGTTTTTGCCAAGAGCTCTGTTTCGTTGCTGAGTTGTAATAGTAAGTTCTACCATCGGGTGCTTTGTGTTCTGTCCATTCCCCTTGAGATCCCCCTACACCAGTAGGCATAGCACCGAAACCAGGAGGGGGAACGCTAAACGGGGGAATAATGGGGGGAAAACTAGGCATGCCAGGTAACGATACCTAAAACAGAATGAAAATATTAAGACTTTCACAGCAAAATCTCCAAAAAGGTTGAAACTCTTTAAGAATACAGTTAAGACTAGAAAATTATTATTAAATTAAGTTTTGTATGAATGTTAGCATAATGAATTGCTACAATTGGTACTCTACAAAGTTAAATGTACCTGAGGCATTAAAGGTGGTGTACCTATTCCAGGAGGAGGAACAAATCCTTGAGGTGGTACTGAAGATTCCTACAACATAAATATATGAAGATTATTTAAAAATTATACAAAATTAATATAACCTAAAATTAATGCAATCAATAGAATAAAGTTACTTACCATACTGTTTATAGTTGTAACAAACACTAAAATTAAACTGCCATATAACTATTTTTGCAAATGATATTGTGGAAAGTCATTAGAAGTCCTTTAAGAAATCCAAATAAACATTTTTTCAATAAAAATTTCATAAAACCGGCATCAAGTTGATTTTTTATGAACCACAGAACATAGAATAAAAAATACAAGTCAAATGTCAGATGACAAATAGCCACAGATACCATTTATGTATAAAATACAATGCATTAACATTTAACATTCTGATTTTTTACCCATCCCTGTCTATGTCACAAAGACTTTCTGATCTTGGCAGCTGAAGCCCTTATTATTTTATATGATGTAGTTACATATCCACAACATATCCACAATTTCATATTTCATATATGATTTTGATTTTCTATATCCAGTTTTGTGTCAGTGTCAAGTGCATCAGGAAATACCTGATGAAATTTTCCAGACAATTTATTTAAATTTTAAGTAAGTTTGAAATAAATGATAAGTCTACGTTATAAATTATAGGTGTTGATCTATCGTTATTATATTTTTTGTTTAAGATTTATACGTTATCATTCAAAACTATCGATCTTTAACATTGTCCTGTTGTGTCTTGATGTTTGGAGTTGTTAATCATGTTTTTTTAATAATTTAGAAGCCTTTTATATCCTATTTTATAAGAGTCTGCTTTAGATAGGCATGTATTTGATTCTTTTAAAGGTAAATATTTATAAGAGATGCCTTTGTTAGTCTTTTTTGACAATATAATAGAAAACATGGGGAACAGTTATGATGATTATGTATGTATGTATGTATTGTTATTACTATATGACCAAAGTTAATGAAATAAAAAAGTTGTTTAAGTGATTTTTTCTACAAAAAAGTTTATTACAAAAAGAGGAGCTTACATGGTTGAAATTCTTAAACTAATTTTACATCTCTCGTAGGCATCAAGTAAAATGAATTGTAACAAACCACAATTTTTTAAATCTAAAATTAAAAGTAAAATTAAATATTAGCCTTTTAATTATAGGTAACAGTCTTTTTCAATCTCCTTATAAGTCATCGAAGTGCTATCGATGTAGAAATGTCTAAATTAACATTTTCAACAGGTTGATTTCTTTTCTCCGTTCTATAAGTTATGCTTTCAGAAGGTATAGATGCATCCATTGGATAACCAAATACTTCTTGTGAAGCATAAGTGATGTTTAGGTATCCATTGGGTCCGCAATATTCAGCGTATACTTGTCCCAGTGTCAGTGATTGACTCAACATCGACTTTTCATTAACCAGAAAATATAGAGCTTGTGTTTTTGGCATCTGCATACGTTGGCTGGAAGTAAAAACAAGAATTATTGATATATTTGAAGATCTACAAATGTGTGTTATACAAAAAAAAAATTCTAGAGAAAATACTGTAGGAAAATACTGTACATTTCAGTCAATAACTATCTAGTCAATATGTTTATTTTTTTTGTCAATATAAGGACAGCTGTTTTACGTAAAATATGACGAAAATATATATTTTTTCACTCAATAGCTTTATCCAGGTACGGACGAAAAGTTATTACACTTCAAACCAGTTAAAAAACATGTAGGTGGCGCCCCCTAACAAATAGGAGTCACATTGACTTTGAAATCCAAATTCCTCATGGCAAAAAACACCCAGACACACATTTTTCATCCAAATATCGACGTTTTAGGACGAAATTTACACAAACTTTTTTTTACTTATTTTTATCCGCAGAATATGCTACCGAAGTTTCTCGAATACAATTCCACCCTGTATATTGAATATAAAATTGATAAGTTATTTTTGGAGCAGTAGTCTGGTCTCGGTGGAAATTCAAATTCAAAGTTCAAAATAATAAGCCGAAAATATGTTTAGCTAATTTGTTTATCGTGATAAACTAACAAATTAATTATTTTTTTGATAAAATAGTTTTTTCGAAATTTGAGACTCCTGGAATGCACAATTAAAACATTTTAATGAAACAACCTTTTTTAATACAGGGTTATCACAAAAGACTCCTGATATAAATGTGTATTTGCTTTTTTAGTTATCAAGGTTAATTCACTATATGGAAAGGAGTGAGTTATCGTATTTATATTTTCAGTTAATTGGTATTTTTCTCTTTATAATTTAATTAAACGAGTGGTTTGATACTATGTACAGGGTGGGTCAAATTCGACGCTTTTAAATGGAAACACCCTTTTATATAGGAGATAGACGAAAACTAATATCGGTGTCTGGAGCTCAATTTTTGTCAAAAACATGATGGTGGAAACCGCATATCGGAATCTGTTACCGTTTCGGAGTTACGGGGTGTTTTTCAAAAATATGCATTTTTAACAAATCCCTGTAACTTTTTTGCTATGGAAAATTTTGTATTTTTATGAAAACATTTCCAAAGCACCTTTTTACGTAGAATTTAATGGTTTAAGTATATATTTTTTTTAAATTAATAATTTAAGAATTATCAACAGAAAGTTTGATTTTTATATGGGACACCCTGTATATTTTTAATTTATTGAAAAGAATTTAAAATTACCTTTCCAAAAATATAACACCCTTGATATTTTGCTCGATTCCCCTTCGAGATATAGAGTAAGTATATAAAAATAAGTAGGGCTTTGAACGGCACCGGCTGTAATGCAAAAAAAATTCTAGCTATGAGCATCAATTAAAACGAAAATAATATTTGCTATGAGAGATGCAGAATTTTATAACAATTTAAAATATATTTAACCAACATCAACACATTTAAACTATATCTAATAACAATAAAAATAAATAGCAAACCAAGACATGAGATTTTGCTACAGGTGTTCGACATATCGACCGTCTTCTGCTATGGACAGACGGGGCAGTTTTTGAAAATTTCTCGCAGAATTCATTCAATTCAGTGGGGGTGAAAGATACTCTCTCATAACTGCTAAGTATTTCTAATTCTTGTCAAGATTATACGGAAGAATAAGGAACCTTTATTCTTCCGCAAATATATCCATAGGATCCCATCCATGGGCACTAAGTCAAGCGGCATCGACGGCCAACGGCTGGGATCTTGGTTAGCTATTCAATTATTCTTGAAATTGGCTGCAAAAATTTGCTGATAACTTCAGCGTTCAGAGGCGGTGCGTCGTCTTGCTGGAGAAATATGTTTTCGAGTTCCATTAAGGGCATATCATCAATAAGGGGTCCAAAGCCTACTAGTTAAAAGTGGCGAATTTTTAAAAATTCTGTATTTCGAAGGGGATTATAACAAAATATCAAATGTGATATATTTTTGGAAAGGTAATTTTAAATTCTTTTCAGCTAATTAAAAATATAGAGGGTGTCCCAAATAAAGAATCAATTTTTCTCTTGATAACTCTTAAATTATTAATTTAAAAAAATATATACTTAAACCATTAAATTGTACGCAAAAAGGTGCTTTGCAAATGTTTTCATAGAAATACAAAATTTTTCATAGCAAAAAAGTTACAGCGATTTTTTAAAAATGCACATTTTTGAAAAACAACCCGTAACTCCGAAACGGTAACAGATATTGATGTGCGGTTTTCACCATCATGTTTTTGATGAAAATTGAGACACCGATATTAGTCGAATTTGACCCACCCTGTACACTCAGATGCAAAAAAAACGCAACCAAGAAATTTTTGGTCAAATTTAAAGTGTTATATTTTTGTTACTTTTAGCCCTATTTTCATGATTTTTTTAACAAACTGTATATAATTATATCAACATTAATTCGTAAACTTGTTTTTTTTTTTATAAACTTTAGTAATTAGCATATTATACAGGGTTAATCGAGGGGTTGTTTTTTATCCAAACTTTAAAACACCCTGTGCAATAATTTCGTGTGTAAATTTTCCTAAAATATAATTTTACAGTAAGAACCATGTCCCTGAGCATTTTATTTTTTGGATCATGTCAATACAGGCTTTTGTTAATTTTTGAGAGCGGAATGAACTGATCACGATCAATTTGCAATTTTTTCAATTATCATTATTTTTTATGTAATTTTTTAATATGACGAGATGGGGGTTTTGGTGACTATTGTCGTAAAGTCATATTACGCTGCATCGGATACTCTATACTAAATTAAAAAAAATGTTTGGTTTGTCGTAGAAATGTATTGGATTTGTCGCAATTTTGTCGTAAAACATGAATGTTTCTGTTTTGTCGTTATTTTGTCTGCTTGGTCTGGACCCGGCATATGAAAGGAATGCGGACAAAAAATATTTAAATAAACAGCAATATATTTTATAAATCGCTATCACAGGACTGAACTCTTTATGTAAGACATTCAAGGCAGTATAATTTCTATCAAAATTAAATTCAATCATATCTCACTCGTGAAACTTTGTGTCGACTGGATAGAGAGTTACTGGTAGCGATTAGGGGTTTCTAATGAGTTGGCGGTTGACATTTGTTAATCATAAAAATCTCATGTAAAACATTTAATTTTAAAATCAAAATCTTCAAAGCTATCAACTCACCGTATAAGTGTTTGGAATTGTGACAATGTAATATCGTTGGGTACCAAAAATTTCGATTTGTCCATTGGGGGCAGCTGAGTTTCTTTGTGATATTTTTTAATGAGAACCTGTAAGTAACCAGAAATATAAAATTATTATGTACACTCACCGGCAAATAAAACCGGCCACTAAAAACTAGTCCCAATTTCAAAGTTGGATTTCTCGCGAACCACTCATTAGATTTTGATGATTTTTTTTTAAATTGTAAATTAATTCCTTCTTAACGGATGCTACGTCAGAAATTTTTATTCACAATTTACTTTGAGCATATACAGGGCACAACAATAAGACGAAGTTTTTTGCCCGAACTTTGTAACACCCTGTAGGATGAAGCAGCTGTAATAGCTATTGCTAAATCAAATCACATTGTAGCCTCATATTTTGTGAGCATTTTGTTTTTTTAATCACGACATTATCTCCGTTTGTATTGGAGCTAGGCTGCTTTAAAACAAACGCCTCGAAAAAAGATTTAGTCCATTGCTCAATATCCCATTCACATGTAAACGCGCAAAGTGAAGACTGAAGACGTGCTCGACGATGTCTTGGAAGTAGTTGGGGTCCTGTGATAGGCCTCCTTGCAGACAAGCTGTTTTCTTTTAGTCTTCGTCGGATTGTTCTCTCACTGACTTGTGTTCTACGCACGGCTTGTAGCAGATGTTGATTCTGAAACGCTGTAATTCTACGATTTCGTAAAGTGTTCAGGGTAATAGAGCGGTCGTCAATTGCATTTTTCTTCCGTTTTCTTACGGAACCCACTCGCCTGGTGAAATTTTCCGTTTCCATATACCGATTCCAGGCATTGTTCGAGGTATACCCAGGGTATCGGACACTCGGACACATAACGTTGATTTCGGCCATCCTCAATTAAAGCCACACTCACAAGGGGGATGTTTTGTGGCCACAATACGAGCAACATCCGTCACAGATAATGGCATTCAAAGAATATACCTAGCTAGAAAAAAAATGGACTCTGCCATACTGAAAAATGGTCCTACAGAAGTGGCGCCATCAATTGAGTAGGGCTTGTTTTAAATGGATCGAAGCGCGGGCTTTTTAAATGAGCGTATTTATTGAATTTTACTCTAAAATAATTAAATTTGATTATTAAATCATATTTTTTACACAAATTCAACAATACTAATAACAAGTATCGTTGTGATGTGTAAAAAATAAAATTTAACAGTATAATTTATACAATTATTAAATAAAATTAAAGCCAAACGTGTTAATATTATTTATTATTTAAAGTTTTTATTTATAAGTCAAATATTTAAACATCGTTTATTATAATAAAACAAGACCAACGTAATACGCCCAAAGTTTTGTAAATGGAGTAAATATAAATAGGTTAAATGATGGCAAACATAAAAGACTTACATTATATTTTTAGGGCCACAAACAACAGGAATTGTCTAATTAAAACACATATAACTTGCATATAACAAATTATAGTTTGAAAAACGTTTTGATAATCATTTGATAATATTATGATTGGCGCTATGACAACGACAATATTTTTTGAGAGTTTGACAATAGTATGACAATGGCTGTTGGAAACTATGGAAATTACAAAAAAACTCTGATTTAACGCCATCTGGCAATAACTAATAGCAACTTCTTAACCTAAAAATTAATTGCACTACCACCTAGTGGCTAGGGCTGGAACTATTTTATTTGAGATTTCCGTGGAAACGGTGGAACCACTTTTGCTATTTCACTTTCCCGCACCGATGGAATTTTTTAATTTGACAACCGTTGTTGTCATATTGCAAATATTCATAGATCCCTTTTCGTCTATGTCGTCTTGATTATTTACAGATAGGGAATGCAATCCCGCGCCAAAATCTCAATCCCGCAAACCCGCGGGATTAAAGCAATCAATCCCGCGGGATCCGCAAAATTGCGGGATTGTAAACAATAAATGCTCCTCTTTGTACTTAACCTATTAAACTTGCTAATATAATGGTTTTATGCAATTAATTGAAATTTTAACTATGTACGACTAATCTGTATTGAAATTGGAAAAAAAACAATTTGGTGGGTTTTTTAAAATTTTTTGTTTTAAGGAAAATACGAGGTTTTTTCGAAAAATATACATTTATAGTCATACATTTGGTCCTAAATGGTACAAAAGGCATTGTACATTTTATATAGGCCCACAATATATTGATATAGCGTGTATCTTAAACTAGCTGTACAGAAATTTGGACTAATGTATACAAAGTGTTCAAAGAATATATTTAATACTAAATAAACTTATTTATTATAATTTATCTACTTATTTTATAAATAAAAATATTATTCTGATGTTGAAGTTTTTTTTATCTTGTGTTAGTTATCTGCTTTTAGATACACTCTATATCAATAATTTTTTGGCATATGCAGAATGTACAAAGCTTTTTGTACCATTTAGGAGCACACGTATGACTAAAAACGCATATTTTTTCGAAAAAACGTCGTATTTTCCTTAAAACAAAAAAAAATAAAAACCCGACCAAATTGTTTTTTCTAATTTCAATACAGATTAGTCGTACTGTCGTACTTGGTAAAAATTTCGATTTTTTAAGAATTGTAAATTTGCGGTAAAAAAGATTCTTGACCAAATTTTCACACTCTTGTGAAACACCCTGTATACGATAATTCGCTAAATATATTTTCGAAAACCACAGAGCATCTTAGTCACAATAGATGCGTTTAAAACCTGGTCCCAACCACATCCCAAAATCTTTTTTAGTTCAAGAGATATTCAACTTTAAATCAAAAATTCAAAATATTCAACTCCAAACCAAACCAAACAACTAACGTGTTTGTTTCACTTATTTTTAATGGCCAAGGCGTAAGGGGATTTAAGTATTCGGTTACCCAGTAGTAATGTGTCAATCCCGCAGATCCCGCACGGTAAATCCCGCAACTTTGATCCCGCGGAATTTCAGCGGGATCCCGCATTTGCGGGATTGCATTCCCTGTTTACAGATAAAACTTTCTGACTGCGCAGCATTTTTCCGAGACGTTCGTTTTAAAGCAGCGTATCTCCAATACAAACAGAGATAATGTCGCGACTAAAAAAACAAAATGCTCACGAAAGATGAGGCTACAATGTGATTTGATTTAGCAATAGCTACTACAGCTGCTACACCCTATAGGGTGTTACAAAGTTCGGGCAAAAAACTTCTTTTTTTCTTCTTTCTTTCGTCTTATTGTTGTGCCCTGTATATGCTCAAAATAAATTCGGAATAGAAATTTCTGACGTAGCATCCGTTAAGAAGGAATTAATTTATAATTAAAAAAAATATGTTCAAAATCTCATCAAAATCTAATGAGTGGTTCGCGAGAAATCCAACTTTGAAATTGGGACTAGTTTTAAGTGGCCGGTTTTTTTTGCCGGTGAGTTTATTAATACTAATACATATTACATATCGGGTTTTGCCTTAGTACCATAGAAATATCACTTTTAAGTCTCGTTCAGAACCTCGAAATTAGGGGAATAAATTAGTGGTTTCAATTAGCGTAGAAGTTTGTTCACCTAATTTTAATGTAAGCATTCAGAACGTTAAAATTAGTGGTAGGAATTTTCAATTAGTGGCAAAGGTGCCACAAAATTAGTCAAAATTATTTAATTTATTTTAGGAATGTACAAAATATCGATATTTTAAAATATACTTCTAGAAGTATCGATAGGTCCGACACTATCGATTTTTGTAAAAAAGGCTGGATATTTCGCCACTGAACGAGAAATCTAAAAAATAAAAAATATATTTCTTTACAGGGATGTTAAAATATCGATTTTTTAAAATTCGGTAATTCTAAAAATATCGAAACGTCGATTTGTTGAGAATAAATTTGCCACTGAAGGAGAAGTAAAAAAAAATCTAGGGATGTACAAAAATATCGATATTTTGATATATCGATACTTCTATAAATATCGATTAAAACTAAAAATATCGTTTTTTCTTAAAAAGGCTGGGTAGGTATTTCGCCACTAACTAAATCTGAAAATAAAAAATTGATTTTTTTGAGACTTCCAAAAATATTGAAACTTAAAATATCGATACTTTCCCCAGCCTTCTTCGACGCCGTTTCTTTTTTGATCGTATGGTACATACTTATTTGTAATATAAAAAAAATAGTACTTACAGGTATTTTTTCGGGAAACCTATTCCTTATAGCGAGCACTTCTTCTTTGCGTACCTCTGAAATATATATGGAATGCATTATTTGTATGGCCAGGAATGTGAAACTTTTTAATTAAAGAATGTTTTGAATTAGTCTGTCCGATATCTGTGTTATTTTTCAGCAAGTCGTGTTGCCATGTTGAGGTATTTTTATTAATTAAAATAATTTCAACTAACCGTATTATTTTCGAGAGAACTTTTATCATGTTGTTGATTACTGTATCGCGAGGGGGGTCAAACCACATATTATTTTATATTTTATTGCTCTGGATGTGTTAATATACGAAAAAAAAAATTAGAAAATGGAAAACTATATACAGGGTGCGTCTCAAAAGTGGCTTACCCCCTATAACTTTTTTATTTTTTCAGAAAACACAAAAACGAGATTTGGTGTGTTAGTATATGACATAAATTAGGATTGATTGACGTATTCAATTGTTTTTGGTCACTTCTTGTTTCACCGCAAATGACTTCTTTGATTTTTAAATGGCACCTTCGCTTTTTGTTTACTTTATTCAATAGAAAATGACATTTTGAATAGAATGACATATCATATGTCAACTTTTGCCATTCTCGCTTAATAAAAAAAATCTTATCCTTAATCAAGGAGCCTTGGAAAAATAGATTTGATCCTCTAATGTTTTTAGTGTCTTGTCCTGGTCAGTTAGAAAATGCTCAAATCGTATTTTTAATCATATCTCAATTTTTTCAAATGGAACGAGGATGGCTCATTAGCATATTTGGAAAAATATTTTTTTACGAATAATTTGATACCACACACTTGGTATTTCGAGTCAAATTACTGTTACGAACCGCAAGATATAATTTCAAATAAACCATATGCGAAAATGTCAAAAGTTGACATATAATATGTCATTCTATTCAGAGTGTTGTTTTCTATCGAATAAAGTAAAAAAATACCGAGGGTGCCATTTAAAAATGAAAAGTTGTAGTCATTTCCGGTGAAACAGGAAGTGACCGAAAACAATTGAATACGTCAATCAATCCTAATTTATGTCATATACTAACATACCAAATCTCGTTTTTTTTATCTGAAAAAAATAAAATAGTTATAGTTAATTTTGTTTAAGTTCATACCTAAAGTATGTACTAGCATGTATTTCAGGAAAATATTTTAACATCTACAGGGTGGCTCAAAAAAGTAAGAGTGGATCGGGATGATTTTTTTAAAAGGACCACCCCGTATATTATTGCATTTTTGGCTTCCTTTCAGATCACTTTACATAATCCTAAGATATCAGTAAATATATTCTGATTGGTTTAGAGATATTAATAAATAAAAAAATATATATATTTCTCAGCCTTTTTTTAAAAAAAAAAATATTAAAAATACAAGAACTGTCGTGAAATCAAAACTATACAAAGTATTTACTTTAGACGGTCTGTACTTACTTTGCTATAAATATGGTAATCGTAATTCATACAGGATGTTCAAAATTCTACGCCAAACTTTGTAAAATATATAATAATTTTTAAATCTTCGTTTTTTTTTAATGTAACACCCTGTATATATTTTTTTCAGTAGATGGAGAATTAAAAAATGAACATTTTTTATATTTAGAGTATATCAAAATTTGTAACGGTTTCGCAGATATTCGCAGTTTTATGTTTCATATGACATTTTCCACAGTAAATTTTTATCAAAGCGCCACCCAATGATTTTTCTCGCGTATTTTACCGTTGAAAGAGTAAACTTAACATATAACACAAATTTCAACGTTCAATATGCCGAGTTTATGATTTAACCAACGCTTATTCAAGATCATATCTTTGTCAGTTTTACACAATGTGTAAAATGTGTAATAAAACATGTTATGTTTTATTTTTTATCTCGAATACTATCAACCAAAAAACAAATTACCGAGAAAAGATGCACCTCAATAGTAAAGTGGTTTTTAAAATTCCTACTCAGTTAAGCCATTCCACAGGGTGTTTAAAACTTTCGCTAAAATAACATTTTGTTTTCCCTCGTATAATAGATAAATGGAGGCTTTGGTTTTTAATTTAAAAAGAGATACTAAACAGCCAAATAATTTAGCTACAAATTGCTTAAAAATCATCAAAATCGGTCCACTAGAACAAAACATATTGAATGTTAAAATACATGAAAATTTTAAAGTGTTCTTCTAATGCAAGATTAGTCAAGTCAGGGACATATAATATTCTTCAGATATTTTTGTATATAAATATATACAAATACTGGAAATATAACATTAATTATAATTCTAAGGTAAGAATATAAATGTCATTGACCTTTTATAGTAATTGTAAAAATATTACACTATATTACTCTAAAAAAAATACAAACCATGTTTGCTGGAAGATTTTCTTTGTAAATATCTTTGAGTTGGTTTATACATTTCCGGTGTCATTAGACACAAAATCAGTTCAAAATGGGCACTTAAACCGTTTAAACATCGCAAAAAATCACTTGTAATTAAAAATATACCATATTTATTAAGTTTTCTTGCACGTTATTAGTTGCAAGTATGGAAAGTAAATATAAAAATGTGTTTTAATTTTAGATATACATATAAATATGTTTAACTTGCAAAATTCTAGCTCTTTCTGTGTAGTATCTATACCTACACACTGGTTTGGGTATTTTTTATTGTTAAAATGCACTGATCGGTTTTTATTTGATTTTATTTTTATTGACAGAGGCGGAGTAAAGATATTTTAAATGCCCAGATTATAAAAATTTACTAATAGTCCAGGAGGCAGAGAAGATTTTCGGTACTTATTTACTGAGTCAGCAAACACCGACAGAATTATTCGGTATGTTATTCTAAGCAAATTTCATATACAGGGTGCTACAAATTCGGGGTACGAGCATTGATATCTCGGTAACCGTAATTGATACGAACATGGTTAAATTGGGGCAAAGTTGCGCTTTGGGATGTTCACCAAGATGACATCAAAAAAGTTTAAAAATTTCTTTTTTTAAAGAGTTTTTTGGAAAAAACGTATTTTTTTGAAAATCAAAAAACTAATTGCACATTCTCATAGCCACTTTATTAGGGCTATCTGATAGTATTTTTAGATTTTCAAATTAGCTGATAATTTGTGAGATAGAGAGGCCAACTTAATTTTTTAAATACGGACCTGCATTGTTTATGTCAGGTTTTGAAAGAACTCGGTCTCCTGAGTACAATGATATGTCCTTAGACAAGGAAAGAGAGGAGACGGCTAACACGCATATTCTCCCGTGATCGGTTAGTGAGGCCAAAATTCGATCGGCGGCCATACTTTGGTGACAAGATTTCGAGGTGACACCGAGCGAATTTTTATGTTTTTTGTGACAACTGTTTTGTTTTAAATTTATAAACTGTGTTGTTTAGTACGGTGAGATGTTCAGCGTATGGCTGCAAAGGCCGAAGCGAGAAAAAAGTGCCTGGAATTACATTTCACAGGTAAAAATCGATACACAACTTTTGTTATGTGGTCATAAAATGTACATTTTTTCATTATAGCAGTAAAAATATGTAAACTGCTTTTAATATGTTTTGTACCACATCCAAACCAAACTATTTTTAATAATTCCAAGTAGTATTTTCAATATCCTTTATTACAATTAATGTTTGAAACTATAAATAATGCTACTCAACATAGATTTCTCCAGTGGCGTAGGGAATTATAATCAGAGAAATACAATTTCTGCAATAAACATTTTTTTTATTTATTTTACATGTAAAAAAATGTATAAAGTATTGTTATCAAATATGTAAAACAATTGTAAACTATAAAGAAAAATAAAAATTCTAGTGATAAAAAATCTATATGTATAGTTGTTATATAAAACTTAAATTTACCTGCCAAGATTTGCTTGGGGTGGACAAACTTGTGGTGGGCTACTTGTTACTACATATATTTTTTTAAATATTCTTTCAAAAAATTTGCTAATTTAGGTGTATAATAATAGTCTCAGTGAGTAATTAATAAAAATTTAAAAATAAATAAAATAACACAAAGCTTCTAGAATTGTTTATTTTTTTGTGGAAAATTAGGATATTCTTATGATTGAAGGTAACAAATTAAAAATTACATTATTCATTGAATCCGTACGCAAGTGCGAAGGGTAATGGCTAGATTCATTATTATACCGTATGGTCGAAAAAAAACGACGTCCAGTTGGCTTGTAAATGACGATCGACGACATTCCCCATATAATTTTACATATAAAATGACAGCGATCTTCATTTCATAGCTAGCGATCTTCATTTCATAGCTATCGCTGACGCCGTCTTTTTTCGATGTCGTTTTATGTAGTTTTATGTCATTTATATGTAGAATTATATGGGGGAATATCATCGATCGTAATTTACAAGCCAACTGGACGTCGTTTTTTCGATTATACGATATAATAATGAATCTAGTCAATTCCCTTCACACTTGCGTACGGATTCAATGAATAATGTAATTTTTAATATTCATTTGTGAAATTGTCATTTCCAAACAAACAAGACGCCGTTTTTTTCGATCATACAGTATATATGTATATACACGTTTAAAACATATGTTATTACATTTTTATTTAATTATACATTATACACACGTTAATAAATAAATAATTGTCTTGATAATCAGTCCACTGTGACCGTTGAATAAGAAGACTGTAACTGTTAAATAAATTTTGCATTATCGACTTAGATATTCTAATATTATAAAGGTGAGACTATAAAATACAAAATTGTATATGCATTACTCAAAAATGAACGATATATTAGTTTACGTTTTAATAAATATTTTGTACCGTCTAGGTACAAGCTAATTTCTGATGCTACGCCATTGGAGAATTTCGCGTGGTGACAACTTGCCTCACTTTCAGCTGCCGTGTTACCTGTCCCCTCTCTTTCCTTGTCTAAGGATATGTCACATTTCATTTTTCTTTTGTTTCGGACATTTGAACACAATTTGTTTCTTAAACTAATTTCAAGTTCGGCTTTGTTTTTTTTTTAAATATTTAATCTATTCATCCTTACAATATTGATTAGCTTTCAAACTTAACAATGATGTGGGGTAAACCATTGAATACGGAAAATTAAATGCAATAAAATGATATAAATATAATATAAACAATCAAATAATTTCCCCGGAAGATGAATTGGAAATGGTAGAGCAATATAATGGCCAGCGAGGTTCCTGGACCAGTCATTTGTAAAAGTGAAATAAATACTGTATTATACGAGGGAAAACGGAATGTTATTTTAGCGAAAGGTTTAAACACCCCGTGGAATGATTTAACAAAGTAAGGAATTCAAAAACTACTGTATTTTCAAGATGTATATTTTTTGGATAATGATATTTTTTTATTCATCTGGATAGCTTTTTTTTTGTTGGAGATATTCGCTTTTGTAGAAGACTGTAACAATTAATATCAATTTCAGCGTTATTAAAAGTGTTCCTTTGTTTTGGTCCTTTTTTTTGACAACTTGTCGTAAAATATACAAACAAAACATAGACACTTTTATCTTTACCGACTCGAGACGGGACATTGAAAAGTCTCCGAATTTTGAAACAAAACAAAAATGAGACAAAAACGTCGCAGAAATGTGTGGATTTGTCGCAATTTTGTCGTAAAACATGAATGTTTCTCTCTTGTCGTTGTTTTGTCTGCTTGGTCTGGACCCGGCATTACTTTCTTCAAAAGTGAATATCTTCAATAAAAATAAAGATATTGACATGAACCAAATAACAAATTATCGAGAAAAGATACACCTTGATGATGAAATGGTTTTTAAATAACTTAGCTTGTTTTAACTAATGTTTTGATTTAAAAAGAGAAGTTGAAAATTCGGCTCAACTTTCGTTTAGCTGAAATCTGTTATATAAAAAATGACTTTATATATGCGTTGTAGAAGGCGTTAAGAATACAAATATACAAAAATTTTCCTGCGGAAATGCGTCGTTTTCTTTTTTCGGACTTTAGTACAGCTGAAATCTGTTACATCAAAACTAGTCTTCGGGGTGTGTTTTAGACATTTTTCTAAACACAAAAACACAAAAAAGTGTCTGCGGAAATTTTTTATTTTTATTTTACATAGAAAAATAAAAAGAAATACAAAAAAAATCCTGCGGAAATATGTCAATGTCATTCTGTGCACTTTGTTTCTCATACATTTTTCAGTTTAGAAGCTTACGGGACCCGTGAGCGAATAGGGTGCTGCTAAAGGGGGTTAAAACATCTTTCGGAGGAATAACAATTCTTATAGAATAGATAATATAGGTTCTATATATAAGTACCTCGCAATGGTGCACTTATTCTTGTTTTTTATCAAAAGCTTTACGTAAATAGGGCTGATTCAAAACAAACAATCATTGGATCATGCAGTTTTCTTTTATATTTTAATAATTAACTGTGATTTTGCAAAAATATTAGATTGGTTAGGATTTGGGTTGCTTTGGTTAGTTTTTCTTTGTGGAGGGTGTTAAGCTGTGGTTTTTATATTTTAATAATTTTCCTCAGAAAATCGATACAGTTTATTTCCGCAGGAAAATGTTTATTTTCCTCAATTCGTGGATGCTTCTAAAAGGCGGAAATATATTTATTTTTTATATAACTGATTTCAGCTATTCTAAACTCTAATAAATTTCCTTAGAAAATGAAAACAGTTTATTTCCGCAGGAAAATTTTTATGTTTATGTGTTCAGAAAAATATTAAAAATAAAACGTAAAATGTATTTTTTTTATAGCAGATTTCAGTTATTCTAAAGTGCGAAATTTGGAAATTACGCATTTCCGCAGGAAAATTTGTGTTTTCTGTGATTCACAGTAGCTTTTTAAAGACAAAAATTTAGTTTTTTTCTAATAACTGATTTCAGCTAAACGAAAGTTGACCCGAAAATTCATAAAATTTAGCTACAACTTATTGCTTAAAAAATCACTGTATTTTCTCTCTAAAACGGTATAGAAATTTGAAAAGTATAAACGGGATTAACCATTTTAGAACAAGGAAAGGACTTTTATGAAGAATACATTTTTAACAACAAAAGAGTTTTTCGTCTTGCAAAGACAGAGATCCGGGGACATACTGTATAGCCACTTACCTCTGGCGCCAAATCTGGTACGGGTATTCCCGCGCATTACTTCTATGACCATCATTTTCTTCTCGTTTTTCATAGATCTTTACAACTTAAATTCACTGAAAACAACAACAAACTATCATGTATTATCACTACTTGCTATAATAAGACCAGGATTGTTACTAGAGCATTGTTATTTGTGATTTATTATTGATGGAAAAATCATGCTCGATAAAGACAAATAAAGAGAAGTTTTGCACTGGCGTATCTATAACGTTTACGATAACCTTATCTTTTTAAATAGTGCTCAATCTGTGATTGTAGTCCAAGATAGAGGTGGGTATTCTAGTTCCTTCGGAGGAACTAGTTCCTTAGTTCTAGTTCCTCCGGAGGAATAGTTCCGTGAACTAGGTCTTTAGTTCACAATAGTTCCCGACTAACATTGACATCCCCGTCGCTTGCTAATGGGTTTCGTTGTCAGTAGTGAACTATTCACAGTATGATCTGTATAATTTTTATAATATACGAAATATAACGAGACGTGTAATTGCGTATGTTAAAAACATAT